GGCCCGAAATGTTGACCGACGTTCAACGACACGTGGCATCGTGTCCCACTTGCCAGATCATGAAGTCATCACGGAAGCGGCCGGCAGGACAGTTGCAGCCGATCCCACCCCCAGAGCGTGCTTGGCAGCAGGTGACGATGGACTTCGTCACGGGGTTACCTGCCGGAACGAGTGGGAATGACGCGATCCTGGTCGTCGTCGATCGACTGACGAAAATGGCACACTGCGCAGCCTGCAAGAAATCAATCACAGCCGAAGAAACAGCCCGCCTCTTCATCGCCACCGTCGTACGACTGCACGGGATACCAGCATCGATCATCAGCGACAGAGATACGAAATTCACCAGCAACTTCTGGCGGAACCTGTGGCAGCAGTTCGGCACGCGACTGCAATTCAGTTCATCGTACCACCCCGAAACCGACGGACAGACAGAACGGACAAATCAGACCATGGAACAGCTCATCCGGGCCAGGTGCGACGACCCGACCACGTGGGAACAGCAACTGCCACTCATCGAATTCGCATACAATAACTCACCATCCGCCACGACCCAACAGTCACCGTTTTACCTGAACTACGGACAAGACCCCACAGTACCCATGACCCCGAATCCCGACAACCCAGTCCCACGCGCACAACAGTTCGCAGAGATATTACAAGCAGCACGGACCCGAGCAGCAGAAGCAATAAAAAAATCAAACGTCATCGCTAAGCGCAACGCCGACCGACACCGCCGCCCCGTCACTTACCAGCCAGACGACCTAGTTTTACTCGACACCCAAAACCTCCGCCTGCCCATCACCCCAAAACTCCGCCCCCGATATTGCCACATGATCACACCCGTCACCGCCCACCTCCTCCTCCCTGCTGACTGGTACGTCAGCCCGTCATTCCACGTCAGCCTGCTTCGCCCATACGTGCCATCCACCAGCCAATGCCCCGCAACCGCCCCGCCAGCATGACCCGACCTCCAACTGAGCCGGTCATCACTCCCTGATGGATGGACTCCTGCTCAAGGCCAAGAGGGTAGAGGAGCAGGAGGAGGGAGAGGAAGAGGCCGTGGAGGCCGTGGCGGTCGCGGAGGTGGTGCTGCAAGTATGAAGAGTGCCGGCAACGAGAGCGAGTCGAGGGACGATCGCTTCCCGGGTCAATTCTTCTTCGTGTCCACGCAAGCACCGGCTGGTCCAGAGAATGATGAAGGCTTTGAGGAGCCAGCAGCTGTGGGGAAGGTCACCCTACACTCCCTGGACTATTGGGTGATCGATAGCGGCGCTACCTATAGCATGACACCTCGTGCGGACTTGCTCACCGAACATGAGCCGTCACCGGTGAAGCATGTGACATCGGCTTTGGGGCAGCGAGCAGAGGTGAAAGGCATGGGCAAGGCCATGTTCAAGGGTGCTGATGGGAAGATGGTGGGCCTCAAGAACGTGCTTTGGGTGCCCAGCCTTGCTGCAAACCTGATTTCCGTGCGGCGGTTGCAAAAGGCCGGCATGGACACGAGCTCGAAGGGAGGTAAGACCTACACCGCGAGGCTTGGCGAGCGGATTCTTTGGGACCTTCACGAGGATAGGGATGTCTACAACGAGATGTGGCAAATCCCTGTGGTCCCCATGCCTAAGGAGAGGCAAGTGGCAGCAAGCATCAGCACCAAGGGTGAAGCGGTTGGTAGCGGGAATGGCGCGAACGGTCGCACTAAGGAGATAAAGTCCAAGAAGTGCAATCTTGGAGGGACCAGCAAGCTCGGTGAACATGAGGAGAGTGGTGCAGCAGCTCAGAAGCAGCACAAGGGTGAGGAGAACCCCAAGGCAGCAGCGGAGGAGGAGTACGGAGAGAACATGTGGGGCACTATTGCGAGTGCGGCATTCTCCAATCCGACTTCGGCTACGGGGGAGTGTGATTGGCTCACCTTGCATCGGCGAATGGGGCATGTGGCCCTGCCCATCTTGCAGCAGCTAGTGAAGAATGAGATGGTTGCTGGCATACGTGTGAAGGGGGAGCCCGATGAGGTACTTGGCTGCCCGACGTGCATGCAAGCCAAGTTCACCCGTTTCCCCGTTCCGAGGGTCGAACCATCGGACTGCGCCAAAACAGCTTTCAGGACTAGATACGGATCATTCGAATACACGGTGATGCCATTCGGACTGACCAACGCACCGGCGACTTTTCAGATGACCATGAACGAGGCGTTTAGGCCGCTCTTAGATAAATGCGTGATAGTTTACCTCGACGACATCCTGGTTTACAGTCGGGACAATTCGCACCTGAGAAAATACTGAGCCATCGAGTACGTGACCCACGGGGAGCCCGCAGAATCGAATTCCTGATCCGTTGGAAGGACCGCACACCCACCGAAGACAACTGGGTCCCCCTGGATAGAATTGAGAATCACCTGTCCTCACCGAGTATCTGCGAAGCCGAAACTTCCGAGATGTACACGCGCTCTCGTAAGAGGGGCCTCCTTGGGGAGGGGGGGTAGTGTAAGGAAATTTCCTTTTCCTTACTTCGCGTCCCTGCTCAGCGCGTACACCACTGTTCCCACCCACAGCACCCAACAGTAATCCGTTACCACTCGCGACACTCGCTTCGACACCATTCCCGCCACCATTCACGACGCGACCCAACCTCACGGTTCGGTTGGTAACCCGCGCTCCGGACCTCCGCCTCGACACTTTCCCAACCTCGGCACCAGGCCCGTCGCGCACCCCATTTTCCACACATTACCGTTACCACTGTAGTTTCGCTATATATTATTCGCTCAGGCCTTCGCTCATTGTACTCTTGCTTCGATAGTGCAGTTCTCGTTCGCTCACTCAATTGCACTCGTAACAGTAATTATGGTTTCGACTAACCTAGTCTGTCAAGTACAATGACACGGCGATCTGACACGGGGCAAGAGCGCTCGTTCATTTGACAAAGCTCTGGCTGAACGTTCAACGTTCTTGAGTTCAATCAGAATCTTGGGACCATCGCATGTTTTGGACCGGGTTGCAAGCGAGGTTCCGCGGTGATTCCATGGCCTGACAAGACAACGTCCCAATCAATCCCATTCCCACTCGTCTGATTCCGTTAGTGCTGGTTGTCTGTACAACGGTTCTAGCTACTCGAATCACTAGGAGCGTTTCCCGTACTGAGCCGAATCTCTAAAACCCTATCTGTGTTTTCACATAGAGCACAGAACAGTTCAACGGAGGAGTTCTAATGGCACAGTCGATCCACCCATACATGTGTACCATTTAAGGATGACTACCCATGTTAGCACCTGGAATTTCCTCGTCAGCAGACATCCAGGGTTAGGGCGTGTCCAGCGCGTACATTTTGGGAATATTAGTACCTTCACACGTTTCCCGGCTAAAAAAATCTCACTGTACCAAAAAACGAATATAAGGTGAGTCGAGTCCGAAGGATTGGGCCTTCCAGCGCGCGGACACAACCCTCTGCACACAAATTTCTACAGTTCGTGGAAAACGAGGTAACTGGTTGCCTCGTCTATCATCGCACAGAAATTCACGCACAAGCGAAAATTCCACGCTTGAACGAAAATTACTGTAGCGGGCAGGACGCAATGCTGTACCCTTGTTCGCGCGCACACTGATTCCAGTAACGTGTGTTAGACGATTCGTCGTACGCGCAGCGGGCGTGCCGTCTTGTGAACGGAAGTTGATTGTGTCCAACCTTTTTGTAAAATGCAGTGTTACAATAGGAAATGTGGTAACTGAATGGGTTTATGAACTGTAAATGTACGCGCTGGACACGCCCTTAGGACCAACCAAGTCGTGATTCGTGAACTGTGCCAAAGAGTTTCAGCAAATCATGATGCGAGACGCCGCAACACCACCACCTGAAAAATATGGATTGCATTGGTCAAACGCGCGTCGCAGAATCGGCCCTTCCCCTTCCAACTTCCCAAAATAAACCTGGCTCGAATCTCTAGGCCGCCACAGATCTGTACACATACAGTACACACCACAGCGCCCGCTTGTTTCGGAAACACATTCAACGCCCTCAGCTGAGTCCCACCTGTCGAGGGAACTTGTAGGCATACGGAGGAGGAGATACTTTTTGGCAGCGGCCACTATGCAGGGCAACGGCGCCGCCTAACGGGTGTACTGACATTCTACTGTATCTTATCGCGGGTGGTGAGATCTAGCAGCATTTGGGAAACCGGTATGCGGCGCTGCAACCATAATCAGCAATAGAAAGAACAGTAACCCAGCACTTTCAGAAGGTGCGGTTGGCGGGAATGGGAGCGAGCTCTGGAAGCTGAGCCTACAATAGCGAATACCACTACCATCGGAAGCCGCTAGCTCTAGCTCTTCCAGGGGTGACGAAAATCTCGGTGGCGGGCCGTTGAGAAAAGATAACGTTTTCATTGCAGCTGCCCGCGGTCCGCGTCAAGTTGCTGCGGTGAGGCAACGAGCGACAGCCTCCGCCGCGACACGCGCCTGTGGCTCGAAGCCCGAAGCTTCATGTGGAAGGACCACGCACGCCGCGGACTGTCGTAACGCGATGACGACGATTGCGATGGCGACACTTGAGTAGGGGCCTCTCAATCTCCGCTTGAAGCACATGCGATAAAACGCATTGCTCTAATTGCTAGTATCATAGTCGCCCGCTGGCTAGCCACCCGCGCATCTCGCAGCGAGCCATGTCAGGTTCTCAAGCGCACTTCTGTCGGCCGTAACGTTCTGTTGCCTGGTAGTTCCCGTCGCACGTAGCATTCTGTGTGCCGCGGATCAGGTGAAATCGTCTTGTTCCGATAAAGCCGAGCCATGGCGGCGCCAGAGCGAGTGCGCAATCCTAATCAGCACTCTGTGTAGCCCTGCACGCCGCTGCGCCTCCCATCTCCCTCCTCCGCCCATCCAAAAAGTTCACCCCATTTTTCGCCGGCGCCTCTGCGTGTCCGTTCCCCCCCTCCTCTCCCCCCCTCCCCCCCCCCAACTTCCGCCCGCGCCCTGGTGTTGGCGGGCGGGAGGGCGGGAGCTTTCCTCACTCCGGCGATGGCGGCAGCAGGCGTGCCGATCCCCGCGCGTCCCGACTCAGCTGCCACCGCCGTGCCGCAGTCTCCCGGCGCCGTCTTCTGGTCCGACGATCCCGAAGCGGCCGGGCTCAACGCCTCCGCAACTATTAGCGCAGGCGTGAGCGGCATCGGCGGCAACGGCGGCGCGGCGGTAGCATACCCCGCGACGGACGGGGGAGGCATGGCGCAGGTCTTCTCGTCCCCCGCTGACGCCAGACCCGGGGGACCCCCGCCAGAACCCGTTCATGCGCCGTCATCGTCGCTCCACGTCATTCCCGAGGTGTCTCTAGCCGTGGTGGTGCTGGTGCTCGTTCTGCTCGTGTGCCTGCTGCTGCTGCACCGCTACCGCTACCGGCTGCGCATCTCCTGCTTGACGGCTTGGGAGGCGCAACTCGACGGCGAAGGGCGGAGTGCAGGCAACCAAGGAAGTGGCGGTGGAGCGTTCCTTGCTGGCAGTGCTCGCAGCGGCAGCAGCGCGACGGGCGGAGGCGGAGCAGGACGAGGCACGAGCGCGGGTCGCGGGGCGAACTCGCGGCTCCGCGTGGGGGGCGGTGGCGGTGGTAGTGGAGGCAGGGCAGGGCGGAGGGACGAGAGCAGCGAGTGGGTGCACGTGCTGCTGGACATACACGGATTCAGGGACGCCCTGGGGGACGACCACTTGCACCGCGTGGGGGGCGCTGGGCTGGCCCGAGGGTATAGCCGCGGTGGCCGCGGGCATGGCGGCCGGCGGGTGCCGTCTGGGCTGGATGTCGCGACAATCAACTCGTTAGGGGCACTCACGGTGTTCGAGCGCAGTAAGGGCCGCGTGAAGGGCAGCTTGCAGCATGCGGAGAGTGGGGCGGGGGAACCGGCGGAGGCGCAGGCGGAGAAAGGGGGCGCAAGGGAAGGGCGAGAGCGGACGAGGGAGATGGGAGAGCAGGGAGAGGAGCACGAGGTGGTTGGTACTCCGGATTTGAACCCATCCGGGAGAAAAATTGTCGCGTTCGAGCCAGCAATTGGCATGCAGGCTTCGCGAGGAATGAGAGTTGAGGAGATGGGAGGACGAGCGATAGAGAGAGAGGCAGCAGGCTTGCATTCAGGGGCGGCAGATGGGCCGACAGGCGTGAAGGACGGCGTGCTGGGGAGTGGGTGGTCGTGTGTGGGCATTGATGTTCGGGTGCGGGAGGCAAGATGCAAGAGAGGCCGAGGCAGACACAGAGGGGAGCACGGCAGGTGTGGGTGCGACGGCACATGCAATGAGGGGCAAGGCCGGGCAGCAGAACTAGGCCCAGCCGAGGGCATGGGGCATGGAGGCGCAGGGGAAGACGGGTCGGGGCGTGAGCATGAGGTGATAGTGAGCTGCGAGGAGGGGGAGTGCGCTGTGTGCCTGAGTGAGTACGTGGAGGGGGACGTGCTGCGCACCCTCAACAAATGCCACCACCGCTTCCACCAGGTCAGCTCCATGTCACCTCGTGGTAGTTGGTGTTTGATGGACTGTTCTGGTGGTGAGTGGTATGCTGAATCATTGCTCCCAGTTCATATAAGATGCGCATTTTGAGTCTAGTTAGCATGAATGAGGTGATGTGGAGGACAGCAGGAAATTCCAGTTGATACTTTTCTCTTTAGCTTTGCCTGCCGTTGCTGCCCCACCCACGTGCTCCTTGTCACCTCCTCCCCTGTGCGCAGATTTGCATTGACGAGTGGCTTTCCGGCAGCACATCCTGTCCTCTGTGCCGCACGACCATGGTGCCTGACAGATCCCCGCACGCCCAGCAACAAGAGCAAACAGCGACATATGCAGCACTAATGCCGTCACGACCACTAGTGGTAGCAGGTACAGCTGCAGTGCAAGCAGCGGCAGCAGCAGCGGCAGGAGGAGGAGGAGGAGGAGGAGGAGGAGGAGGAGGAGGAGGAGGAGGAGGAGGAGGAGGAGGAGGGGGAGGAGGAGGAGAAAATACCGAGGTATCGGGCGCATCAGCATCATCTGCCCATGTGCATGACCCACAACACACGCTCCATTCTCTGCACCCTGCGTCGTCTGACCCCTTGATGCCTCTAGCAGGCACTGAGGCAACCGCTCTCCCTCGCACCCTACAGCACGGGCAGCAGAATGAACAGCGGGACGAGGTGGCAGAGAGGGGAAGGGTGGCAGAGCAGGTGCAGCTAGTGGAAAGCTTGAGAGGGCAAGGTGGTGAGGAGGGGAGAAGGCAGGTCCGCAGATTCGAGCATGGTGGCGCAGCAGCAAGAGAGCCGAGTGGACAGCAGCAACAAGCAGCGTCGTCAGTGGCCGAGGCCAGGTTACAGCAGGCAAGTGAGGAGGAGTTTTCATGCTCTCAGCCTTCCTGCTGCTAGCGTACTCCATGTGGGGCCAAGGATGGAAGCTCAGCAACCTCCTGCACGCTCACTTCTCAGCTGGCTCTGGCTCGCAGCGGCTCCAGCTACGGGTGCTCATGGGCTCAGTAGGCCGTTAGGCAGAGGCAGATCACATCCTGAGAGTGAGGCACACGTATCAATATAGGGAGCTTGAGCGAAGCGGTTTAAGGAAGGCGATTGAGCTGCAAGTTCTTGCTGAACAGCGCATGCTACCTGCCATGCCCTTGTGGGCATGCATTTTGTAATTGTAATGTTTCCATGTACTGCACTATTTTCTGTATTTCGGCTCACGCGCTGTGTGGCTCAAGCTGGCCAGGCTAGTACTGATCAGATTGTAGCCTGGTGTATTACAACCAATGCCCACTCCAGTCACCCAACTTTTTGTAGCGGTAATGTACCAGAATGAGCATATGCGTTTCCCTACCTTTGCTGAGTCCGCAATGTACACTTGTTGGTATGGGATTTGGTGTGTGCCATTCCTGGTTGTGTCCGGGTAACCCCCTCAACTGTAGACTTCTTATCTCCATGTTCTCAGCTCCAATGCAGATGGGATGGGGTTGCTAAAAGGGATAGGCAATTTTTGAGGATATGGTTGGGAATATTCTGTAGTGTTGTGCAACTCAGTGTACTGCAAACTTATGAAGATATGGCTAAACACCCTTACCCGCAAGTCCCACCGTAAACCGGTTTCAGTCCTTACTCCGCTAGTAGCACCGCTTTCACGCGATCGGCTAGAAGAACAATCATCACCAGCCATCAGTTGCCGCGCCTTATTTCCACGTCATGCCTACAGCCTGACTTCCACCGAGCCGATTTTACAAGCGAAGCAGCCCCACCTCCGTTGGTATCATTCGTGCACACCCACGCTTCGCATTCTAGTTGTCTAGAAACCAACACGCTAACGAAGTTAGGACGCGTCACAAGTGAAACACCGATCCTGCACAAGATCGGTTTTTCGCATTCACGACGACGTTAACTGCTGGTTACCTGTCTTCGTCATCCGTCGCCAATGTACAGTTGTCCCCTCGGAGTCGGGCGATCGATGTGCCCTTGTCACACATCGATCGCGCAATTTCGTCCACATCGGGCAATTTCGCCCCATGATTTTCCGATCGTGTCACTTGGGACTTGCGGTGGGCCCGCGATTGCAAAAATTCAGTCGTGGCACACCGATGTGGCGATCGATTTGGCAGGATCGATGAACATACCCAATCCTTCCTCGGTTTTCCAAATGTGACGCGTCCTTAGGCTTAGGGGACGGAAACAAGTTAGCTTCGACCCTCCTTACCATACGAGAATTTGCCTGTTCCATCCACTCGTTCCGCCTTTCCTAGCCGTTCTGTGTGGACTGGCTGCTCCCAATCTGACATGTATTGTTCTACCACGCATCCATCGATCTGAGCGAACGTTTGCCTGAAGTTAGCCAGGCCTTTTTCGCGCCTGAGTTTGTCAACGTTGGAGTCTTGCGGTTGCATCTCCCGATCCTACCTGCGAGCAGGAAACGGCAGTTTTCAGCGTGTGTTGCACGTTGTGTGCTCAGTCCTAAGCCTGTGGGTACAAGTATTTGTGAAACGCCCTAGTCTCGAAGAAACGGTTGGAAGTCGTTCTCTTCCAGGCGTTTAGCGTTTACGATCTGGTTGGATCCACGTCGTCAGATCCTCTGTTTGAGGGAGGCAGTCGGTATCGACACACCTCTGTGCTGGCTACGCCGCGTGTGACCGTGACGGCGAGTGAGCTGTCCCCATGGTATGTGTGTGGGTGATTCTTGTATAAACATACGCTTTTCAAGATGTAGGCTGTTGAAGAAAGCAATTGTTGAACAATGAATCAGTTGAATCAGTGAGCAGTGCGAATCGATTGAACCCGTCAGTCTCACATTAACAGCATCTCATTTACTTCGCGCGTTTCCGAACCACTCCCCATCCTCTTTCCCTCTTTTTCCATGCGTATCACACTCGCGCCCTTATGCGCACACACCCATCCATCCATCAACCCATCCACCCATCCACCACGATATCCCCCGTCAAAAGCTTATATGGTTACAGCGAGTAGTACAAACAAGAGCGCAAGAGCGCGCAAGCAGCCGAAGCACTTGAATTGAAGACAAGCATGGAACGGGGCAAGCCAGATCCATCACCTTACCTGGCCATTCTCTTCCATACACTGCCTCCGTCTCATACCATTGCCCACAGCTTCCCTCATCCCTTGCTTTTGCTCCAAATGACCTCCCTTTTCCTCCCACAGGCGGCAAAGATAATAGCGAACCTCATTGTGCTGGGCTCAGGCATTGTCATCCGGGCCTTCACTCAGGCCTACCAGCAAGCACTGACCAGTGAGTGAATGCACAATCTGAGCACTTAGCTTACAAAGAGCTCGCCAAGTGATTATTCATACGAGCTGACAAGGGCAAAAGCTTTTGCACATCACCTGCTGGCCACCCATGCCGCATGCACACCACTATGCTGGCCCCAGCAGCAGGCCCTTTCCTGGTGTATTAGTCAAGTGCACCCTCATTGTTTTCCAGTGTATGCTCACGGCACCTTCCACCCGCCTTCCGTTAGTACCATTGGCAGGTGGTAGCAGCTTCAAACAAGTCCTTTGTGAACGGCCCTCACGTCCCACCCTTTCCCCCCCCTTCCCTCCGTGCCGTTTCTGGCTGTTGATCCCTGCTCGCCCGTCCAGATGCTTCTCGCAGTGGGGTGGCGCAAGAAGCAGCAGCAACGGCATCGCGGCGGCTATCCAAAGTGATGTCAATCCAGGAGGCACGGATGATTTTGGGGGTCACTGAGGAGACGCCCTGGGAGCAAGTGCTGGAGGTAGGTAAAGGGGAAGGGATTGAGAGACACAGGTGTGGTTGAGGTAGGGAGTGGTTGGACGGATGCAGGTATTGGTAAGGAGACAGGATTGAGGTTTTTTTTTTTTTTTTTTTTTTTTTTTGGGGGGGGGGGGGGAGATGGAGAGGGAGGTGTGATTATGTGCAGGGCCTTCTCATTCAACAGCCCTGTCCCCACCGTTGCCACTCTAATGTTCTCTTGCAATGGCGTTGTTTCTTGGCAGAAGTATCAACGGCTATTTGAGCGCAATGAGAAGATGGGATCATTCTATGTTCAAAGCAAGGTGCAGAGGGCCAAAGAATGCTTAGAAGCAGCAAAACAACAAGGAGATCAACTCTCCTAGCACCTCATCTCTTCTCGCCGACCATTGTCATCTCAGTGTGCTGCCTAGAGGCTTCTGACCTGGGCCATAATCAGTCATACGAGTGCTTCTGACTCCCGCTGCTGGGATGGCGCTTTGAAGTCATTTCACCTGAATAACAGGAGCTGGGGAAGTGGGTAATGGTGGTAGGGGTAGTATGATCGTGATAAAAGACAGCACATAGCCCTTGTGTTCAGAAGGCATGTATGATGGAAGCATGCTTTTGTTAGTGGCATGTGATTGTTGGGATAGGGGGGTGATAGGTTTGTGCCGGCAATGTGTTGCTTCTTGTGGGACTGATAGTTGTATGTGGATGCATAACGTGTCTCTGATTCTGTAATCTAGCCAAACGCAACTGGCATGGGGATTCATTTTGAGGGTAGCTGCCTGCAGCCTGCAAGTTATGTTTTAATTCATTATTGGGGCTACATTCTGCTGAGGAAGTGCAGTCAGAATTTTTTGAATGAACGTAGTCAAGAGAACCGACGAAAGCCACTTTCCGAGCTAATGTCGAGGTCAGCGACCTGCCCCCAAGTCCCCTGGCAACCGCTCCACCCAAGCACCCTTGTCCCGCGCAAAGTCGCACCCTATCGCACAAGCCGCTTCCAAAACAGAACTGAAGCCAATCACGGTACGCCACTGGGTGAGCCATTTCGCCTCTGACCGTCGTTTGGCCGTCGCCCCACCCCAGCCAAGCACAGCTCAGAAAGACAGCGCCAAGCTACGGTTTCTGCGAGCTGTCGTCGACCTGTCAGAAGCGCGGGAGTTTCGCACGACCGTGCAATTTGTGCCCATCGCCCCAGAGACTGACGCGAGGCCAAAGGGAGTGACGGGGAATGAATGATGGGATGGAGAAAGCAGAAGCAGGGGATGCGGACGGGAGATCTACTGCTGCGGCGATTCCACTCCCTTGCTCCGTGGGCCTTCATCCCTTCCATTCTGGAGCAGATCTAGCATCCCACCCATGTTCACAAAGCTAATGTGAACGTAGACAAGTCCACAACGGTGATTAATCTGTTGATTTTCTTGACGAACGATATCTTGTCAGCTGTTTTCAGCAAGCCATCCAAGCTGGGTTTCAGAAAGTGATTTACCATGGTGAGATTGCCGAAACGTCCCTTATATTAGTGCAATAATTGGATTTGCCGTATCCTGAAAGGCGTTCCCTTCTTTCTAGGTTTCTTCACATCGGTGCTAAGTCATAGTATCGTGCCATTGTTGGTATATCACTCTTTCCTGTGCAAACACGGTTCTACTTTACGTCACGTGTTTCCCCACTAGTTATGCTTCTGCCTCGCCTACCTGAGCGAGCGAGTATGAGTTCGCATATTTCCTCTTTCCCTTCCAATCGCATTCTCCCTCGTCACGTTGACGTCAGGATGGGGGTGAAGGAGGAGTCTCCGAGCTTCTCGCTCGGTTTCGACAGGTAAGACAACGTCGCTGCTCCTCTATGCCTCTCGAGTCAACGCAGTCAGGAACGTCATGTGAGTTGGCGTTAGTGCTGCCACTTGCTTTTTCTTGTCGCAGCACAAAGTGGGAATAGTGTCTTGTCGGCCTGGTTCCGGAAATTTTCAGGCCAATACCCGTTGCATCGTATTGCATCGATTTTAGATAGTTGTGTCCGTCAGTTACCGCTCGTCCCCTTCTTCCGCCGGATATGTCTACAAATGACTCTCTCCCCGTGCTTCTCGTTGTGATAACCTCAATATCATATGTAGTAACTGCTGAGAGATTAATTCCTTCAGGTAGTTTTCGTTAGCCGCAATCAGTTAAGGGGCCGCGTATGTAGTAACTGCAGAAATTCATTCCGTAAGGTAGTTTTCGCTAATCCAAGCCACCGTGCTCATTGCCCCCAAAACAACCCACCACTTTTCCCTTCAAGCAGAACAAAACGCGCGAGCCCGCCCCAGCCGATGCCTCGACGGCTGTAACTCCCAATCCCTTCAAAGTGCACCTGCGGGTAAGAATCTGCCTCTATCCATCCTGCTGTAATGAGAAAAGGAGAACAATCATGATAAACCGCGTGCTGATGTACGTTTCTTGGTCAAGGAAATGTGACTCCGTGTGTCGATAACAAGCTTGCAAACGCGAATTCTGTTCGTGGCCGAGACGTGTGTTTTGGCTCCAGTGCGAAGTTTTTGTCTGGTTGCGTGCTGTTGGATTCTGCGCGCTTAAGTACGGATGATTGGGTGTCGAAAGTTCTCTTCTGCATGCCATGTCCCTTGCTCCTCATGTGGTGGCCGTGCGTGTGGATCTGCTTGCTGATGCCTTGCAGCACGCAGGCGAGCACCATGAAGCCCACCCGCCGGAGAAAGAAGAGGACGAGGAGGATCGGAAGAAGGAGAAGAAGGAAAAGAAAGAGAAGAAGGAGAAGAAGGAGAAAAAGGAAAAGAAAGAGAAGAAAGACAAGGGGGGTGGAGAAGAGGAGGAGGATGAGAAGAAAAAGGAGAAGAAGGAGAAGAAGGAGAAGCACAAGGAGGAACTTCATGCTGCGCATGAGGAGACAGCGAAAGCAAAGGCAGAGCTGGAGGTGAGGCCTACTCTCAGCCCTATGTGGCTATTTTATTAACAGCAGTAATGTCATTCCCTGTTCGCAATAATCTTCCCAGTACGCTGTTCGCCTCGTGCTGTCTCTCATTGTGCTTGCCGCTCTGTCCTTAAAACGTTGGCGTTCCGTGCTTTGCACTTACGCTAATGGTGCTGTTTCCTGATTGGGCCTTGATTTCGTTCCCCCTCTGCCGTCGGGACCAGGAGCTGCGAGGCCAGCACGAAAGGCTCGAGGCGCAGCTGAAGGAGCTGACGCAGCAGCAGGAAGCCAAGGATGCGGCGGCGGTGAGTGCCTGGCACTAGCTGATGGTTTTCGGTACACGTACAACCGCATTGTAGATCCTAGTACCTTGGATTTGCTCTGTGAAGGTCGGTAGGTGCTTGCCCAGTGATGCGGGAAGATACATCTCTTTCATGTTTCTTGTAGTGAGCGTACATCTCGTTCACTGCCTTCCGAAATTTTGATATCCCTCCCCTCCTGTTGCTCAGCGCTCAGGAGCGGAAGCAGAGGCGGAAGCTGCAGCGCTGCGGGGACGGCTGAGTGAGGCGCAGGCGGAGGTCAATGCGGCGCAAGAGAAGCTCAGTGCGCTGCAGGAGGAGCTTTCCACCGTGCAGGGGGAGCTATCTGCGGCCAAGGAGGAGTTATCCACTGCGCAGGGGGAGCTGAGCAGTATGCGCGTGCAGCTGGAAGAGGCGCAGGCGGAAGGAGAGGCCCTGCGCAAGGCAGAGGGAGAGATGAAGGTGAGCCTCAGGGTGAAGGGAAGAATGGAGTAAGGGGATGAGGGTTACGAAGAACAGGGCAAGAGGGAGCGGGACGGGTGTTTGATGGCTGGAGGGACTCAGCGTTGGGTAGCTGAGCCTTGCTCTCTCTGGTGTGAAAGGACCTTGAGGTAGGCTGGGGAAGGGAGAACGCGTGGGCTCACGGGCGGAAGAGTATTCGATGCTCAGGGACGTAGTGGGGCATGGAACAGATTAGCCACAGTAAAGGATGGAGGCTTGAGACAGAATGAAGGCTTGACATTGTCGGTGGTATGGTATGCATGGATCTGGCCTGCCCGCGTTGCCAACAGCATTAGTGGCTTATGTGGTGATGCTTGACATGCTGGTTGTGGCGGTGGAACGTGTAGGGTTGTAACACTGTTCATGCTCCCTCGTCATTGCCTAGGATGCTCTCCGTCTGTGCTCTGTCTGATTGTGTGTCCGTGGTACGTCGCACAGGATGAGGTGGAGAGAGTAAAGGAGGCAGCGACAACAGCGCAGCAGCAGCTGGAGCAGCAGCTGGCAGCGAAAGACGCAGAGATGCAGCAGCTGCAGGCGGACGTCAAGGTACCGAGTTGCAGCGCGCTCTAGGCTTTTCTGTTAACAGAGCTCGTTCGTCGCTTGCACTAGGCTCCGTGCCTTGTATGTGTTCGCCAGAGCCTAACAGTAAACCTTCTCGTATCTCACACGTGTGTGATCGCTCACAGGATCTGCAGAAGAAGCTGGAGGAAAGCAGCAAGCAGGCCATTGACGGGGGAGGGCTGGCAGAGGCGCGTGTGGACGATGGAGCAGCAGGAGCTGATTCAGCAGCGGCGTTGAAGGCAGCTGAAGCAGTGAGTGCCCATGCCTGTGCCTGCACTCGTCTGCCCGTGCTGTTATCCTATCTCTGAATCGTTTCACCACCGAGCTCGCTAGTGGCGCAAATACATTGCCTTTCTGCTCAGCCACACTCGTGCTGCCCTGCACTCTCCTCCTGTTTCTGCTGTTCCTCTCGTCTTCTTGTATCTCCTTGCCGCGGTCTGTGCGTGTGCGAATGCGTGTGCTTGCATTTGTGCTGCTGGCCACCCATGATCCCCCACGTGAACCAGGAGTTGGCGCGGCTGAGGGAGGAGGTGAGCGACTGGAAGGAGCATGCGGCGGAGATGGCTAGGGGAAAGCTGGAGAGGGAGAGCGCAGCAGAAGCTGAGCAAGAGCAGCGCCAGCTCCTGGTGAGTGTGCGTGCACATTTTGCAGCTGGAGTCCCTTGGGTGTCTCCTGCACTACGGTTCCCACCCTTCCCCTCCAATTAGAACTACCTCTTCCATTCCCTCTCTCCCACCCTTCCTGTACTCTGCATCTTCTGTTGGCTGTTGGAGTGTTTCATACGGTGCTCAAGCCGCCTCCCTTCCCATTTCCCGCCTGTCGCCTTCCGCCTTCGGCCTCGCCCCATCCTTTCGTGCCTCTTACAGGAGCAACAGCTTCAGGAGGCGAAGCGAGAGATGGAGGAACTGCGGCAGCGGAGCCAGCCAGGGGAAATTGATGCAGGGACAGCAGGTGTTCCGCTGCAAGTGTCAGGTTCAACTGAAGAATTGGATAGAGCAGGGGAGACAGAAGAAGGTTCAGGAGAAGGGGAAGTAAAAGAAGTTACAATAGCAGGAGGGGTGAATGAGGCAGGAGGGCTCGGGGAGGGCGCGGAGGCGGAATGGAGGCGGCGCTTGGAGGAGCTGGAGGGGCAGCTGAGGGCAGCAGAGGCACGCGCAGCCTCTCTGGAAGCAGCTGTGGCGGCTGGCGGGGGAGAGGCGCAGGTCAGTGCTGAGCTCACTGGTGACGATGGTGGGAAGAATGAAGAGGAGAGAGAGCGAAGTGTTGACGATGGTGAGAGTGCTGACCAGCCTGCGAGTGCAGAAGAAGGGGAGGATGTGGAGGTGGCAGATGGGGAGGGGGAGGAAGCAGTAGGTGAGGGCGGGTGCAAGGATGAATTTGAGATGAAGCCACGTGCAATCCGTGCAAGTGCGTCTGCAGAAGGTAGGCAGGAGTTAGACCTGGCAGGCGCGATGGCGCTGGTGGAGGAGCTGGAGATGGAGCTGGAGGCATCGCGCGTGGAGGTGCAGCAGCTCAAGGACGCGGGCGAAGAGCTGCAGGCCAAGGTGGAGGCGCTGGAGGAGGAGAAGGAGGAGGTGGCGCGCGAACTGGAGATCACGAGCGAGGACCTGCGCAAGGAGAGGGACCTGGCGGCGGAGGCAGGGCTGGTGGCCGAGGAGGAGTGGCGGAAGAGACAGGAGGCTGAGCGCGCTAAGAAGGAGCTTGAGAGAGAGCTGGCTAAGAAGGGAGGCAATGCTGGCACCGGTGGCGTTGGTGGCGGTGCCGGGTCTGCAGCACAGGGGGGCCACAAGGAAGGGGAGGATGGGGCGGGGAAGAAGGAAGGTGCGGAGCATGGCAAGCAGGGGGGTGGTGGGGGTGGAGATGGGGCTGGAGGCGGGCAGGATGGGGACGATGGGATGCACGAGCCGTCAGCGGAGGTGTGTCAGGTGAATCTGAAGCTGGAGCTGTCAGAGATGCGTCGCGAGGCACAGGGGATGCGCCTCAACCTGCACAACTCCAAGCTCGCCCTCGCCGCTGCCGAGGCAGAGGTTGTTCGGCTGACGGTGCGCGTGGCGTTTGGGCGCGTGCTGCTGCAGCTGGTGTCACGGTCGCGAGAGATGCATGAGGATGAGCTGATCATGGCCACACGCATGGTGGAAGAGGCCAAGGTGAGGGAGAGCGCAGTGGAGCGCAACCTCTTCTCTCTGCTTAATGAGGTTGCTCGCCTGATCAAGGAGCAGCAGATGCAGGCCAAGAACAACGGAGCCACATACCTCAAGTATAAGATAGGCCCGGCGGAGATCGAGGTAGTGAAGGAGGACCTGAGGCAGCTGGTGCGGTGGGTGCAGACCAAGGCGACGCTGGCCGAGAAGGGGCGCCAGAAGAACAGGGCTGCACGCGTGGGTGCTGCAGGCGTGGCAGACGCAGCGGCAGCCACTGCAGCTGCAGCAGCTGCTGCCAATGCTGCAGCGACACGCGCGACTGTAGAGGCGGTGAGGCGGGGCGGGGTCGCAGGGTTGGTTGGGGAGAGTGGGCGGGACCCGGGGGTGCATGGGGGTCCCGAGATGGTGGTGCAGCTGGAGAGGGAGCTGGAGGAGGCGAAGGCGCGGTCAGAGGAGGCAGAGAAGCTGCACGCCATGGTGGAGGGCGTGCGGGAGAAGGAGAGGCGCACGCGCGAGGAGGTGGAGAGAGAGCTGCGCGCAGCACAGGCTAAAGTGGCGGAGGCGGAGATGATGGTGCAGCAGGTGGACGCCCTGCGCAACACAGCCTCCGTGCTCGCTTCGGAGCTGTCGGAAGAAGTGAAAGAGTCCAAGGTTAAGATGCTGGAGGCGGAGGAGGTGGAGGGGCGCATCACTGCACTCGAGGCCACTGAGAATGTCATCAAAGCGGATCTCGAGGTGAAGAGCCTGCGGCTGAGGGAGATAGACCGCGACTACCCGTACCTCATGGCGCAGGTGGCAGCAGACGGTGTGCCTGCCAAGCCGCGTGGCTCGATCTTTTCCCTGGGGCGAAGCTCAGCAGAGGCTGCGGCGGTGGCGGCGGCGTCGGCAGCGGCGAAGGAGAGGAAGCGGCTGCTGGATGAGATCCGTGTGATGCGCGAGCAGCTCATCTGGACGCAGGGCTCGCTCACCAAGAGCCGCCAGCGCCTGCCTGAGCTCTACCAGGTGCGTCATGGGTTCGAGCGGTTGGTGACGTAAGAGGGGGTGATGGTGGCAGTGGAAGGCAGTGTTGTGCTTGTTGGTAGGTGGTCTTGTGCATGTTGGGACTCAAGAGTGTGGGGAGAAGGCTGCCACGGTTTGGAGCAGTTATTTTTCGTTTTCTCCTGAACACGAACTTTCATTCCCAGTTCTAAATTCCTCTTTGTCCTTCGCTCGTGTTCATGTGCCATCTTTGCCACCTATTGCAGGAGGCGAAGGAGTGTCGGCGCAAGGTGGAGGAGAAGGAGAAGGAGCAGAAGCGTGTGCGGCAGTGGCTGGCAGAGCACGAGCCTATCATTGCAGCCAACCAGGCCAGGCAGGCTCAGACCGCTGCTGCTGCTGCTGCCCTTGCTGCCTCCGCTCCTCCTCGCACTGCTCCTGCTCGTGCTTCTGCCCCTGCCCCTACTCCTGCTCCTGCGCCTGCGCCTGTTCCTGCTGCTAGTTTGGGCGGGTGGGGTTTCTCTAGTGACTCCAGCCATAGTGCTGCCAGTGGTGCTGGTGGTGGTAGTGGTGGTGTGCCTCTGCCTGCTCACTTGGCAAGTGCACGAGTGGTGGTGCCATCAGCCACGAGCTCTGTGGGCGCTGCTGTGGCCAATGCTGCTCACGTCGCAGCAGCCATGGCTGCCGCAGCAGCAGGGGCGGATGAGAGCCGTACAAGGAGCAGCAGCACGTGGAGCTGGTGGAAGAAGGTGAGCAGCAAAAGAAACTCTTTCATCTCCTGTTGTCTCCTTTGCATGACTCTCCCCCTCTTGCTGTACCCATATCTTTGTGTCTGATGAATGTGATTCCCTGGCGTTTTCATCGCATGTGCCTGGATCCTGCTCTCTGTAACTCTTCGCTGTGGTGTGTGCCACTCTTCCTCATCTGTGCGTACTGCTGCGCCATCCCTGTTCTTGCATTCCCTTGCTGCGCAGAAGGAGGAGCCGGAGCATGTGGAGGAGGAGTTTGAGGAGCCAGCGCGAGAGCAGATCATCATGCTGCCACCGCTCACCAACGACAGTGTGCTCTCCAGTGCCATTGCTGCCTTCGCCAAAGCCAACAGCACCACCAAGATTTCCCCTCTTCAAACACCCTCGCCTCCTCCCCCCACTCCTTCGGGTCCACCCCCCATGGCCCACGGTATGCCCCCGCCTGCCCTTCCCACTTCGCCTCCTCGTGCTTCTGCTGATCCATCCTCCCCTCCCGCTACGTTACCATCATCTCCCCCCTCTGCAACGCCGGTTCCTGCTTCTGGTGCCGATGCTGGTGCCATTGACGATGCTCATGCGGGTGATGCTGCTGCTGCTTTTTCTTCAGTTACTGCTCCTGCAGTTGCCACTGTTGTCGAAGAGATGAACGCGGGAGAAGAAATTGAGGGAGAGAAGAGGTGCGAGGAGGAGCAGGTGGAGGAAGAGGACGGTGAGAAGGAGCAGGGAGAGGCTGATGTGGCGAATGAAGGAGAGGTGGATAAGGGAGCAAGTGAAGGAGAGGGGCGCAAGGTAGAGGAAACGGAGGAAGACGAGGTGGATGCAGATAGATGCGAGGGTGGCAAGGTGGAGGAGGCAAAGGAAGAGGAGGAGGAAAGCATGGAGATTGGAAGCAAGGATGAGGATGCACCACTGCAAACGGTAGAGGCAGGTGATGATCCAGCTCCACAGCAGCCTCCTGATGTAGCTGATGCTGTACAAGGAACAGAGGGAGAGGCGGAGGCAGGGGCAGAAGCAGAGGTAGGGGCAGAGGCAGAGGCAGAGGTAGGGGGAGAGGCGGAGGTAGGGGCTGAGGCAGAGGTAGGGGGAGAGGCAGAGGTAGGGGGAGAGGCGGAGGTAGGGGCTGAGGCAGAGGTAGGGGCAGAAACGGAGGCGGATGCAGGGACACAGTCGGAGGCGGAGGCAGAGGCGGGGGTGGAAGGGGAGGCAGGGGCAGAGGCGGAGGCAGAGGCGGAGGCAGAAGGAAAGGCAGAAAGAGAGGTGGTTGCAGAGGCTGAGGCGGAGGCAGAGGCGGAGGCAGAGGCAGAGGCAGAAGAAAAGGCAGAAAGAGAGGTGGTTGTAGAGGCAGAAGTAGAGGCAGCGACACAAGGAGAAACAGAGGCGGAAGCGGAGGCAGAGTTTGATGAATCAGTTGCTCCAATTCAAGCTGCGACTGAGGTTGGCACAGCAGTGGATGCAACTGTGGCAGGCGTCTTGGAGCCAGTGGATATTGCCACGGAACAGGCACAACCGCTTCTCGCTGATGATGCTCAAGATGTCACTGTCGCCACGCACACTGCACCTGCTGTAGTCTCTGAGCCAACACGGTCAGAGCAGGAGAGCCAGTGTGAGCACGCCCCTGCTGCCTCCCTTGCAGCTGTTGAGTCTCCTCCAGGTAGTGATGCTGCCGTTCGCTGTGCCGAGGCTAGTGATACGCCCACTGAACGCCAGGAGGAACCAACTCATGAGCACACGGAGGCAGAATCGCTCTCAACAGCTGAGACTGTTGATGCTGCTGCCATAGATGCCACTGAAGACGTAGCTGCTGCGGCTGACGACTCTGTTGCTGTCTCTGCTGAACTGGTGGATGCTCCTGACGTTCCTGCTGATGTGGCTGATTCTGCTGACGTCTCTGCTGATGTGGTGATTTCTGCTGATGTGGCTGCTGCTGATGTTTCTGCTGATGCGGCTGATGCTGCTGGTTTCTCTGCTGATGAGGCAGCTGCTGTTGGTGTCTCTGATGACATGGTTGTCGCTGATGTGGCTGAAGCTGTTGGTGCCTCTGCTGATGTTGTGGACGCTGAGGGTGTGGTCGATTCTGTGGATTTCTCTGCCATGATGGCTGCTGCTCGTGTTGCTGATGTGGCTGATGCTGCTGACGTGGTGGCTGCTGCTGATGTTGCTGATGTGGCTGATGCTGCTGACGTGGTGGCTGCTGCTCATGTTGCTGATGTGGCTGATGCTGCTGACGTGGTGGCTGCTGATGTTGCTGATGTGGCTGATGCTGCTGACATGGTGGCTGCTGCTAATGTTGATGATGTGGCTGATGCTGCTGACGTGGTGGCTGCTGCTGATGTTGCTGATGTGGCTGATGCTGCTGACGTGGTGGCTGCTGCTGATGTTGCTGATGTGGCTGATGCTGCTGACGTGGTGGCTGCTGCTGATGTTGCTGATGTGGCTGATGCTGCTGACATGGTAGCTGCTGCTGATGTTGCTGATGTGGCTGATGCTGCTGACGTGGTGGCTGCTGCTGATGTGGCTGATGCTGCTGACGTGGTGGCTGCTGCTGATGTTGCTGATGTGGCTGATGCTGCTGACGTGGTGGCTGCTGCTGATGTTGCTGATGTGGCTGATGCTGCTGACATGGTGGCTGCTGCTGATGTTGCTGATGTGGCTGATGCTGCTGACGTGGTGGCTGCTGCTGATGTTGCTGATGTTGCTGATGTGGCTGATGCTGCTGACGTGGTGGCTGCTGCTGATGTTGCTGATGTTGCTGATGTGCCTGATGCTGCTGACGTGGTGGCTGCTGCTGATGTTGCTGATGTTGCTGATGTGGTGGCTGCTGCTGATGTCTCTGCGGAAGTGACCACTTCGATTAATGTTACTGCTGATGCGGCCGATGCTGCTGGTATCACTGCTGAGGAGGTGGCTGCTGATGATGTGGCTAAATCTGTTGGTATCTCTGCTGATGCTGATGATGTTGCTGAGTCTGTGGATGCAAATGGGGCGGCACCCGCTGACGCCTCTGCTGATGTGGCTGATGCTGCTGATGTCTCTGCTGATGTGGCTGATTCTGCTGATGTTGCTGGTGTTGCTGATGCCTCTGCTGATGCTGCTGATGCTTCTGCTGATGTGGCGGCTCCTGCAAATGTCTTTGCTGATGTGGCTGATGCTGTTGTTGTCTCTGATGTCGTGGCTGCTGCTGAGGCTGATCCCGTTACTGTCTCTGCTGATGTGGCTGATTCTTCGTATGCCTCGGCTGCTGTGGCGGCTACCGGTGATGTTTCTGCTGACGTGGCTGATGTTGTTGACAGCTGTGCGGATGTGGCTGCTGCTTCTAACGTCTCTGCTGATGCGGCTGTTGCTGCTGATGTTTCTGCTGATGCGGCTGATGTCTCTGCTGATGTGGTGGCTGCCGTTGCTGATGTACCTCTGGATTCCTCTCCTGATGCGGCTGTATCTAGCACTGAGGTTGCTGCTCCTAGTGACATCGTATCTGCGGCTGATTCTTCCGCTGGTGAGGCTGCCGTTGCTGATGTTGCTATGGCCACCTCGGCAGTGACATTCGATCAGGCAGAGCTGGATGTGGTGGAAGAGGAGCAAGCAGAAGGGCTATCAGATGCCTCTGCTGCTCACACCCTTGATGCAGCTGGGCATGGTCAGACTGTGCATGAGGCAGAGGCAGCTGCATCTCCAAGTGTGTTCGTAGGAGGCGAGGAGGTGGAGAGAGAAGCGGCTGATGATGTAGCTGCCTTGCATGCACCTGCTGTGGCTGACTCCCTTCCGGCGCATGCTGCTGAGGGTGATGAAGTGGCAGTACATGATGCCCCTGCGTCCAGCACCGCTGATCGGGACATGGCCACAGCGGGAGAGAGCGAGGTTGTTGGTGAATTGGCATTGGGAGGGGAAGAGGGGCAGCAGGTGGCAACACCTGGAATGGAGGAGGAAGGGCGTGTTGGTGGGAGTGCTCCTGTTGCCACACTGACTGAGGGGGGTGTAAGCCAAGATGGGGCAGAGGAGGAGGTTGTGAAGCTGGCGGGGAATGCAGGGGAGCAGAGCAGTGGAGCTGATGAGCACGGTGTTCATTAGAACCTCAAGGGTGGCTCCGGGTGGAATCTCTCAGGTAACAGCTCGCATTGTTCGCTACCCAAAATTCACAAATCTGCCTACTTCATTGTTGCATCCCCTCATTTCTTCCGTTATGAAACCCAGACCTGTTGTTTTCTTCAAGCTTTCCATATGTTTATTGCCCCTACTCTCTTCCGTTCCCCTGTTCCCGTTCCCCTCATGCCCTCTTGCTTCCTCACTCCCTTCATTCCTCCTTATATGCCATGTTGTGCAGCTATGGTCCTGTACGAGTTTACTTGCGACATGCTGGTCTAATGCTGTTGGTGCTTGCAAACACAGCCACTTTTTTGGCACTGCATGCTTTGTTGTGTATGAGGTTGGTATTACATTCGTTATGGCTCATCAAGTTGATATTCATCTAGCAACAGCCTTTAATAATGTTAGACTCGAGAATGTTTATGTATTATTCAGCTATTGCATAAAGGATCTATAAGATATAAAATTATTTTGACGTGTTGACATTACGGAACTCGTCTCCCACAAGGACGTTGTATGGTTCCTCCATGTCTTCCCATGCCCATAGCTAAACCCTAATCTGCCACCCTGGTCCAACCCTAATCCCGTAGTTCCCTGCAAACTTGGCAGACTGATAGGTTTGAATCAGTAAAAAAGAGCATGTGTATGTACGTGTGCAAGCTTCCAAGCCGCAGCGCAATCACAGTTTTCGTGACCACAGCTAGTTCCGAGTAACTGGCGAGCACTGCTCGCAGTATCGCCTCATTGCGTAGGTAGACGTTGCTGGAACCTCCAGGAGCCTCTCCGTTTGCCGTCATCCTCTGGTCCCTGCCTTCCCCCAGTCTCTCCGCCTGTCCGTCACCTGTGCCTCGTACCGCCAACCCTGCATTGCATCCGTCATCTCCTCTGCCTCTCCTGCCGCCTATCCCCATTCCCCTCGAGAGTCCTCAGCTCCCCTCCTCCCGTTCAAGCCAAAGCCTGTGCTAAAGCATCCCTGCACCGCCACCGTGACCAGCATCACCGTCGTCTTTTTCACCACCAGCCGCAGCGTTCATCCGTGCGGAGCCTCGCTGCCAGAAAAACCTTCCCCAGGATCCCCTCCTCGTCCTTCCCGCTCCCCGGCTACCGTCACCTCGCTCCGCACCTTACCCCTTTCCGCGCGGTCGTTGCCGGCAGTGGCAGCGCGAAGCATGCATGGGTCGACCGGGGTCAGCCCAGGAGGGTGTGAAAGGAGCAGGAGCAGGGGCGGGAGCAGCAACAGGAGGAGGCGATGGGGGAGAGAGTGATGCGGCCGCTGCTGCCGCTGAGCTGGGGGAGCAGGCAGCGGTGGCCGTGGGGCTCAAGCCGCGGGGGCTGCTGCCTCTTGAGCGGTTGGAGTTCAGGGACCTGCTGCGGCGCAAGGGAGCCATGGCGGGTTACTTGCAGTGCCGGTACGGGCCCACCTTGTGCTCTCTTCACCCGCCTCGTCCCTCCCTTGCACTCAAGTGCCGCCTCTCCACGCCTGCAGCTCAGTCGCGATTTCCTCACGCTTCCCACTCTCGCCGCCACTCATGAAAGCCACAAGCGTCCTCGTTCCCTAGTCTCAGATATTCCACTTGTGTTTTCTGCTCTCCCTTACCACCAGTCCCTGCCCTTTCTCCCCAACCCCCTCGCAAATCTCGTTCTCCTCGTTCACCTCCCCCGGCCGGCCCCGCTCCCCCTATTCCCTGCCGCATGCGCCACAGCAACATGGTGCTGACGGCGTGGTACGCGGACGTGTCCCAGTCGCTGCCCCTCGCGGCCTTTGGCGTGCCGTGCATGCCGCTGCCGGGCGAGCCCGCGTGGCATGGCGTCATGCGCCACGTGTACTCGTTCCTCAACGACAAGGTGCGTGCGCCAGGGGCAAGGCAGGAACAGCGAACTCTTCATCATGGGGTGGGGGGGTATTGCTGACACGCCCTGCCGACCCACCTTGCTGCCCTGCTGTCGTACTCCCGTAGCGTTCTTGCGCCTTGTGCTCCCGTTGCTCCATGCAGGCTGCAGCATCGCTACCTGTGGTGGTGCGTGCTATGCTAGGTGCATGGCATGGCAGCGCTGCCCCTGTGGCAACGACTTGCCCTCCTGGAAGGATACCTGCTTCTGCTTCTGTCTGCACCACCACACCACCACCACAAGCGCAAGCATGCTTTCGACACGCCTATTTTTTTTTCTCGTGCTTGCACCTGGGTGGGTGTGGAGACCAGATACTTGCAGAGCCACGTTGGGTAAACCTGGTAACAACGTCTTCTTCCCTCTGCCCCTCTCCACCACGCCCCCGTGCCGGCATCTCTATCCACCCACGTTGTTCTCACCCACCGCTCCCTTGCACATCAGGCCTTCATCAATCTCTGCAAGGCTGGAGACCTCCCCGCCTCGCCAGCCCCCTGCTGCCTCTGTACCCCGGCAGCACCAGCAGCACCACCAGTAGCAGCAGCAGACAAGCCTCCAACCACCCTCTCCCCAGCATCGCCAACCCCCTCTCTGCACGGGCGGCGAGTGGTGGTGGTGGGCGCGGGGCCGGCAGGGCTGACAGCAGCACGGCACCTGGTGCGGCTGGGGGCGCGCGTGGTGGTGCTGGAGGCGAGGGAGCGCGTGGGGGGGCGAGTGCACACAGACTGGACTTCCCTCTCCGTGCCTGTGGACCTAGGCGCCAGCATCATCACAGGCGCCGCCCCTGACCTACACGACAACCTCCCCCCGGACCTCTCCGCGCTGCTGTGCCAGCAGGCGGGGCTGCCGTGTGTGGTGTTGAGAGAGGCGTGCCCGCTGTACGACGCGGTGCGCGGGGGCAGGGTGGCGGCGGACGTGGATGCGCGCGTGGAGCGCCAGTTCAACCGCCTGCTGGATGATCTTGCGGGGGTGGCGGCGCAGCAGGGGCAGGGCGCCGTGCACATGTCCATGGCGCAGGGCGTCATGCAGACGCTGGGAGAGGCGTTTGGACGGGAGAACCTGGTGGGCGTGCATGGGTCGCTGGTGGAGGGGCAGGGGCTCGAGCGGGTGCTGGTGCAGGGGGAGGGTGGAGGGGACGGGGGGAAGGGCGGTGGTGGAAGGGAGGCGCGCGCAGAGGGGTTTGGCGGAAAGAGAGGGGTGGGAAGCAAGGACGGGGCGGGCAGGGGCGGAATGAAGGTGATGGCGGCTGAACTGGCGAGCAGGGATAGCTTGGGTAGCAGGCAGAAGAACGGTGGGGACAGTAATGGTGGCGGCGGTGGTGCGCTTGATGCTGCCGTGTGTGGGGGTGGAGCGACAGCACTGAGTATCATTACGGGTGGCAAGTGGAACGGCGCTGCTACACCTGCTGTGGTGGATGGCAGTGGTGCTGCAGAGGACGGAGGGGGCGGTTGTGAGGGCCTTGCGGCACAGGCCGTCGTGGGGATGAAGGAGAAAGGTGAGATGAAGGAGAAAGGTGGGATGAAGGAGAAAGGTGGGATGAAGGAGAAAGGTGGGATGAAGGAGAAAGGTGGGATGAAGGAGAAAGGTGAGATGAAGGAGAAAGGTGAGATGAAGGAGAAAGGTGAGATGAAGGAGAAAGGTGAGATGAAGGAGAAAGGTGAGATGAAGGAGGAGCAGCAGGATATTGTTGATGGTGGCCTGGAGACAATGGGTGGGGTACATGAGAAGCAGGGGATGGGAGACGAAGTGGAAGGGAGAGAGGATGGGAAGGAGAGTGGAGAAGGAAAGGAGGAGAAGGAGGAGGAGGAGGAGGAGGAGGAGACGGTGGGCATGGTGGATAAGGAAGGCAAGGGCGAGTGGGAGGCGGAGTTGAAGAAGGAAAGTGCAGATGGGGAGGGAACGGTACAAGTGGAGACGGATGGAGAGGAGGGTGGTCAGGAGAAAGCACAAGAGGGGCAGGAGAGAAAAAAAGAGGGGCAGGAGAAAACACAAGCGGAGCAGGTGATGAAACAAGAGGGACAGGAGAAGGAAAGCCAAGAGGGGCAGGAGAAAACACGAGATGGGCAGGAGAAAACACAGGAACAAACACAAGAGGGGCAGGAGAAGAAAATCCGAGGGGGGCAGGAGAAAACACGAGTGGGACAAGTAGAAACACAAGAAAGGCAGGAGAACTCACAGGAGGAGCAGCAGGCAGCAAAGGAGGGAGCGAGGGCAGTAGTCACGAGTGTAAGTGAAGCGACGGGTGTAATGAGCCATGCTGGTGAGGGTGGCGCCGAGGAGCCTTGTGCATTCCCCTCCATGGGCCGTGGCGGGGAGAGCGAGGGGCAGCAGGGGACTGGAGATGCGTCTGTAATGGGAGAGGAGAGGGAGGGTGGCATGTGTGACAGCGGTGGTGGGGATGTGCAGGACAGCAGGGAGGGTGGTTGTGGAAGCATGGAAGGGTGTGGCGGAATGGTGCAAGGCAAGAGCGACTCTGCTGAAGGGCTGCGGTGGATGGGGAAGAGGAAGCGAGCAGGGCTGGAGCCAACGGAATCATTGGGTGGGCAAGGAGGGCAGGAGGCAGTGAGAGCGCGAGGGATGGTGGTGCAGAGGGAGAGGAGCAGCAAGAGGGCGAGGAGAGGCGAGGGGGAGGAGGGGAGGGCGGGCAATGGAGAGACGACAGAGGCAACGGCAGAGGCAGGAGGGGGAGGAGGTGGTGTTGTGAAGGAGGAGCTGCATGGGTTAGGGAGTCATACGGGTGAGAGGAGCGAGCGTGGGGATGCAGACAAGAGTGGGGAGAGTGGGAGGGGTGCAGGGGGCATGGAGGTGCGGACGAGGGCTCAAGTGAGGCGCGCAGAGAGGCTCAAGGCGGAGCAAGAGGCGTGTGGGGCAGTGAGGGCGGACCTGCATGGGAATGGGGAGGACGGAGGAACGCGGGTGAGTGGAAGCAGCAAGCAGCATGGCGCGGTGAAGGTAGATAGTGCGATGGGGCACGACGTGCACGGGGCGGGGGAGTCTGGGAAGGGAGGAAGGGATGAGAATGGACGTGTGCTGCAGGGTGGGGAGCAGGAGCAGGAGAGGGCGAGAGGGCCCGTGACTCGCCGGCAGAGCAGGGGCGCTGTGGAGAGAGAGCAGCGCAGCAGAGAGAGCAGCAGGGAGAGACATGGCGCAGGGGAGCAGGGCAGGGAGGCAGTAAAGAGGGGAACGAGTGCGCAGGCAGGGGGGGCAGTGAGGGCTGGCAGGCTCCCTGGTGAACAATCGTCAGAGAGGGGTGTGAAAAGGGAGGGAGGAGGGAAGGGCGCGGAGGCGAGGGGCAGCAGCAGCAAGGTGGTGAGGGACGTGCGGAGGCGGTCCATTGCCGACCTGGTGGCCGTGCTGGATAGCAAGGAGGAGGGCGCACTGGGGGAGAGCGGGCAGAGCCTTAACAGGCGGGACCAGGAGAGGAGGGACGTGGAGCGGCGGGTGCTGGGGTGGCACTTTGCGAACCTGGAGTACGGCTGTGCCACGGACCTCACACGCCTGTCGCTGCCCTTCTGGAACCAGGACGACGCGTTTGGGGGGTTTGGTGGGCCGCACTGCATGGTGAAGGGCGGGTTTGCGCGCGCCATGGCGCAGCTGGCTCAGGGCGTGGACGTGCGCCTGGGGCAGCCTGTCACTGAGGTCGCTTGGGGGGGGGATGCGGGCGTGCACAGGGCTGGGGCAGCGGCGGGCAGCACGGAGGTAGTTGCTGACATGGAGCAAGAGATGAAGGCGGTAGGCACACAGGAGACTCACTCACACACCAACGGACATGCAACGGCCACAGCAGCAGCAACGGCAGCAGCAGCAGCAGCAGCAGTGCGAGTGACGACGGCGTCAGGAGAGGTGTTCCCGTGCGACGCAGCGCTCATCACAGTACCTCTAGGGTGCCTCAAGGCCGGCGCCGTGGCCTTCTCACCGCCGCTGCCCACATGGAAGGCACGGGCCATCGAGCGGCTGGGGTTTGGGACGATCAACAAGGTGATTCTGGAGTTTGAGCGCGTGTTCTGGGACCCCCATGTCGACTACTTTGGTGCTGTCGCCCCCCCACACCCCTCGCAGCGCGGCAACTGCTTTCTTTTCTGGAACTTGCAGCGCACCTGCGGTGCTCCTGTGCTGGCTGCGCTTGTTGTGGGGCGTGCTGCCATGGCCATGGAGGGCCGCGGGGAGGGGGATGGACGGGCGGAGGGGACGGGGATGGATGGAGCTGGGAAGGAGAAGGGGGACGGTGGAGGCGAGGGGGCGGTGGGACGAGGGCGGGGGAAGGAGGAGAGTGGTGGTGAGGGCGGTGGGAAGAGGGAAGAGGGTGAGCGTGCGAGGAGGAGGAGTGCACGGCTCAGGAGGGCGGAGGTGGGCGGTGCAGAGGATGAGAGGCAGGGGGAGGGGGGGGTGGCGGAAGGGGAGAGGCAGAGGAAGGAGCGGGTGGTGCAGCATGCAGTGCGTGTGCTCAAGACCGTGTTTGGCCGCCGCAACGTGCCCAAACCCAAGGCCGCCGCTGTCACCTTCTGGGGCACGGATCCCTACAGGTATGCCGTGCTGTTCCCCTTCCTCCTCCACGCATCATTCGTACTTTTCAAACCGCTCTTCTCCACCCCTCCCCCTTTTTTCCACCCGATCCCTCCCGCTCACCCCCGTTTTGAATTCTGCACTCCTGTCCTCATCCCTCGCTTCCCTTGTGACCTTTGCCTCCTCATTCTCCCGGCCAGCCGCGGGGCATACTCATACGTGCCGGTGGGGGCGTCAGGGCGCGACTACGATCTGCTGGCGCGGCCGGTGCGAGCGCGCGTGTTCTTCGCAGGCGAGGCCACGAGCAGGGAGCACCCCGACACCGTGGGCGGCGCCATGCTCAGCGGTAGGCGCGAGGCCGTGAGGATCGCAGGCGTGCTGCAGGGGGAGGGCGATGTGTGGGAGCAGGCTGAGGCGGCTGCTGCTGCTGTGGCGCATAGGCAGACGGACGAGGAGCGAGAGGAGGTGCAGTGGGTAAGGGAAGTGCTGGGGGCCGCGGAGAGAGGGGGGAGAGGAGGTTGGGAGTGGGGGGATGGGGTGGAAACGAAGGGAGTGGAGGAAGGAGCGGATGGAGAGAGGGGAGAGGAAAGGGATGTGGGGGATGGGGGTGATGACGATGGTGGGATAAGAAGAGGTGGCGGGTTGAGAAGAAGCAATGGCGATGCTGATGGGGAGGATGCAGGAGAAAATGCTGGGAGGGAGGACACATGGCATGCGTGGTCGCACCTAGACATAGGGCATAGCGCATGTGTGCAGGCGGAAGGGGAGGAGAGGACGAGGAGGGAGGGGCCTGGACGCAACGCAGGGGATGGCAGAGGTGTTGAGCATGTGAGGGCGGTGGGACAGGCGTGTGAGAGGGGTGCCGAGGTGTGCGGTGCGGTGGGCGGGGTGAGGGTGGCTGGGAAAGCGAACGGAGGTGTTGAGAAGGCTAGCAATGATGCGCCCACGATTGGGGAGGCGAAGCAGGAGGGGGCGACTGCGGGATTGGTGAGCGAGCAGCCGGGTTCAGGTGGCATGGGGAAGGGTGATGGAGTGGGTGCTGTGGTGCACGCGAAACAGGAGGGGGGCAAGGGAGGGGGTGCAAGAGGGGAGAAGGGCGGGGAGGAGGAGAGGGCGCTGAGGAGGCGAGAGACACGTGCAGAGCTGCGGCGAGGTGCGGCGCTGGCTGCTGTGCTGCGCATGTCTGGCGGGCTGCGCATGGGCGCGGCAGCAGCAGGCAGCGGCGTGGAGAGCCAGGGGAACGGGAATGGCAGGCATGGAGTGGGTGTGGAGAGGGAGGGGGGCGTGCACACGGTGGGGGGACGCGTGTTTGTGTGCCGCGAGCTGCTGCAGCTGCCCAGGAGGGTGCTGGAGGCCGTGGCGGGCAGCAGGGAGGGGCTCGAGCGAATCAGCGAGTGGATCGTGGTGAGTGTGAGGGTGACGGTGAGTGTGAGTGGAAGTGGGTGTGAGTGTGGGGTTGAGTGGGGGTGTGAGAGTGGGTGTGAGTGGCAGTGTGAGTGTGAGCATGTGGAGCTGGTGTCATGGCTCACTACCTCCTGCACCATCGCTCCCTGGATCACATGTCGTCACTCACCACACCACCCCCGCCCTCTGTCTTCCGTGTCTCCCCCCACCAGGAGTCCCTGCACTGCAGCTTGTCCCAGGTGCTCACTGCGTCTCTGCGCCTGCTGCTTGCTGCCGCCACCTGCCCGCGATGCGTGCGCTCCTCAGGTCAGCCTTTCCCATGCACTGCTGTCACATCACCACTGCGCTTCACACACACACACACGCACGCACGCACGCACACATACACACAAATACACATACACACACCCGTTCGCGTTCACACTCCCACTCCTTTTTCACCTTCCACCAGCCATGTCAGGTCGGCCTCCCCTATCAGTGAACCCTTCTTGATCTGATCTTCTACCTTTCGCCTTGACGCTTTCTTTCTCCCACTCTTTCCCTCCCTTCCCCTCCCTGTCTTCCACCTCCCCCCCTCGTGTCCCTCGGCGTGCAGGAGTGGCAGTGTGTGTGCGTGCGCTGCTGACCGTGCCACGTGTGGGCAGGGAGGTGCGGTCGCTGGCCGCGCGGCTCATGCGCCTCTGGCACACGTTGGGCCACTTCCCTGCCCCCACCGCTGCTGCTGGCGGGCGCAGCGCTGCACTTGCAGGCACGGGGGAACGGGCAACGGGCGAGGGCCAGGAGAGGGGTGAGGCAGAGGCAAGAAGTGATGGGGTGGAGGTGTGTGGAGCCGTGGGAGGAGGGTTGGCAGGGGGCAGCGCGAGAGAGGAGGACGCAGAGGGAATGGAGGGAGGGACGGGAAGAGGAGGAGGGAGCAGGGTGGAAGGCGAGGGAGGGGAGCAGATGACAGGGGTGGTGGATGGCAGCCTGCAGGCAGAGGCTCGTGATGGGTCGCAGGGAGGAGGGGCAAGGCAAGGGCAGGGAGCAAGTTGGGAAGAAGGGAGTGGAATGAAGGAGGGAGGAGGGGCTGACAGGATGAATGGCGAGAGTTCTGGGGTGATGGCGGAAGGGATTCCGCAGTCTCCACTCGCTGCTGCTCATTCGCCCTCTCATGCTGACGCGGCTGCTTCTCCTCCTGCTCTCACTCCGCCTCGCCCTGATGCTGTTGCTGCTGCTGGTGCTGCTGCCTATACCGTGACTGCTGCTCCTTGTACCGTTGCAGGCAGAGGAGAAGCAGCAGCTGGAGTCAGCACAGAGGGCATGGCAAGCACCGGCGTTGCGGTCAGAGTCATTGCCGTGGCAGTGGCAGCTGCGAGACTAGCAGCGGAGGTGAGGAGGGAAGTCACACACGCTCTGCTCCCACTTGTACTCCCAGTTATCTGCTTTCCTACATCCGTCCAGCTCCCTTCACCCCTTGTGTTGCCGATGTGTATCTGCCATGCCCCTCCTGTGCCCCACTCTGCTGTGCGTGCAGGCGTTGGCAGCAGGTGAAGTGCAGGCAGGCCAGTCACCCATGGCTGCTGCCCACCCATCCGCAACAGCACCTGGCAGCAGTGACGCACCGCTAGCTGCTGCCACAGCAGCAGCAGCAGCATCGCAGGGCAAGCAGCAGCAGGTTACTCGGTTGCGCAGCCAGCGGCAGTCGCCCCTGGCAGGTGGGGCGGCTGCAGCACATGGGGCTGGCGGCGGCATGGGGGGAAGCCGAGGCAGGACATGGCAGCAGAGTAGGGGGGAGTGGGAGGGCGGAGCGAGTGGGCCTGGGCGAGTGAGAGGAAGGGTGCGGGCTGGGGCGTCAGCATGGGCTTGGGCACGAGCGAGAGTCGGGGAGGAGGAGAGGACATGGCCAGGCTTGGATGGGAGTCTAAGGACGGGAGAGGAGGAAGAAGAGGAGGAGGAGGAGGAAGAGGAGGAAGAGGAGGAGGAGGAGGAGGAAGAGGAGGAGGAGGAGGAGGAAGAGGAGGAGGCAGTCCCAGGGCAGGCGAACGGGGTGGGGGGAGGCGCACACAAGAGGTTACGGGTGATGCAGCGAGGCGGCAGTGCTGTGCCCCGTGGTGGTGGGGTGTCATGGCAAGCCTGCCATGTGAATGGCGGAGAGAGAGGAGCGGGTGACAGTGGGAGTGAGGAGAAGCAGAGGGGCGTGAGTGGGAGTGGTGTGAGAACAAGGTCGCAGGCACAGGCGCGTGTGCAAACAGTGGGCAAGGGGGCGGGTGCAGGGTCACCAGGTGCAGCCGCCTCAGTTGGGGGTGGTGGGAGGGAATCATCTATGCACAGTGGTGGGTCAGGCTTAGGCAAAGGTGGGGTGGGCGTTGGCAAACGCCGGGTTTCTGTGGCTGAGTACAGAGCAGCTGTTGAAGGGTATGTGGCGTCCCTGGTGGGGCCACTGGGGGACAAGCAGAGGGTGACACGTCAGCAAGTGAGGGAGATCAGTCGCAAGGCTACAGACGAGGTGAGCAAGCAGGGCGTTTGTGTGATTGCAGAGGCATGGTGGGTCAGTGCGACTAGAAGTGCGATTAGAGGATGCCAGGTCTGTGCTCCCACCAATCCATCACATCTGCACGTGTAGCAATGCAGTAGGCCATGGCAGCAGCCCAGCTCTTGAATCATGGTGCCTGTATAGTCGTGGGATGGGAAGCGGCCAATGGGCATGATATTAGCGGTTCTGTCGCCTTTCTGTGACCAGGAGAGCATCACTCTGTGCCAAGCCCAGCTGGTTTGCCTGCAAATCACTCACAGTGCCGTGCCAAGCCCCCTCACGATCCACCAGGTGATGGAGAGTGTCCGAGAAGGGGGCGGTGCTATGGACCCTGACGCCTACCTCACTTCGCACCTCAAGTCGACGGTAAGTGCATTGCCAAAGGTTGAGAGGGTATCAGCAGCATGGCATTATTATCGCCCTTGCAGTTTGTGCATGCCATGTTGCTGCAAACCATTGTGCTGTTTTCCTGCACCAAAGCACATAATCATGAGCTGCCGCAAATGCCCTGCCTTCGTGTTTTGAACGTGTGGCATTCATTGCTTTTGTCCCTTTTCTTCTGCCCCGGTGCTTGTCCAGATTCGGGACACAGTAGACAAGTACATGAAGGCGTACATTGACTCTTCCACGGATGGCAAAGAATCAGGTTCGATCAAGAGGAAAAGTGTACCCTAAATCCGGCCTTGAGTATCGTGTGGTAGTTGCTCCTGATGTATGATTTGCCTCCTTTCTTGTAGCTCATTATCTTCATTCTTGCTCAGAAGTGAAGTATATTTGCGTTGAATTTGCACACCCCAGGCATGCTTCAGTGTACCAGGGTGGAATCATATTGTTTCAAGATATGTTCACATGTTTATTCATTGAAATACATAACCCTCTGAATTACCGCCGAGGTCCTTTGGGGGACGTTTTGGACAGTCAAGCAAACCTCAGGCAGTATTAACGTGGTTACATAGCCATGAAGTAGTGTTAGCATTTTAGTTCAGGTATAGTTATTTTTGTTAGAGCGCGGTACACCTGGCGTATTTTTAAGGATCACTTAGCTGAGATCACCGCCACCCCAATCGTAGGATCATTGGTAGCAAAACAACAAATTTTGTGGGCACATTACGATCCTCGTTGATGTACCAATTCCAATTTTGCGTTGGTGATCCTCTGCGACCAGGCGAATCGCAACGAGTCACGAACGTTGATACTTCGCGTGCATATGTTGGCCGTGTAATATACTGAGACGAAACAACCTCATTGGTGAGATTTTCATTTTCGAAATGTTTTGATTTGATGCGACCTCGTTTCAGATGTACGACCTGATTGCGAAAGGAAAGTTTTTCGTCAACAAGGATCACCCTGACTTCGGTACAGAGTTGCAAAGATCACCAAGAGATTGGCAGTCACGATGATCCTACGGACATCACAAAGATTGTGTAGCATTGACTACACATGTTCCCGATCCCACCTCTGTTGGTACACCACCTGACACAGTGATCACTGTACTGTAGTAGGTGGGACACTGTTCTGCAAGGATCGCCGACGTGATCCTCAAAATGCAGCGATCTTTCCTTGGGTGTACCGCGCTCTCAGTCTAGTGGTTTTTTGCTCTTGTTAGCGCATCGTGCGCTGTGTTGAGGTTTCTCCGCATTCCTCATCAGGTTGTCGTGCATCCCAATTTGACACGTCTGAGCCCCCAAATTTCTCTGCTCGCATTGGCCCACACGAACCGCAACATTCAGCTCCCCGTTTTGGGGTTACGTGAGGCAACCAATTTTCAGACAAGGTTTCTCTTCCTTTCCACTAGAGCAAAGTGCGTGGGGTGGGGAGAGCACCAGCTGTTGACGCCTCGAGTCGCGGCTACAGAGGGGTACCAAAGGAGCATCAAAGCCGTATAGGAGTTTACGTTCTGCCCGAGAAACATGTATAGGTTACAAGAAAGGATGGCAAACCGCAGAAATTAGCAGTTCAAGTTCCAGTATGGAACCTTTTTGTTTAGTCTTGTCACGGGATCGGGAATGTATTGAATCCAATTTCCGCTGCAAAACACGCTGGATGGGAACTGTGCTTGGCGCCTTTCCTCCCTAGCCATCACCACGCATCTCATCAAGCTTGCACTACCGACTATGTGGCACCACTTCACCTGCTCCCCCGTCAAAGCGGTTTGATTGGTTCACAACACTGTCTTGTGTTGACCGCTTATGATGATAGGCGGCAATACCGCTCACACCTTGTTGGCCACTTCGTGAAGGTCCGAAGTGCACTCATACGAGAGCTTATTCTTTGACTGTTCCATAGTAATTAGGGACGGAAAACACCAAGGGAAGTCATGCCGAGATGCTAGGAGCCACAATGACCCTTGGTCGAGGCGCCTCGCAACGGTTGATACACATGCCGCCCGCACGAGGCCGATATCTCTACGAGAGAAAGGATCGATTGTGCCGTCACGGAAAACTAGCAATGCGCGATATTTTAGTCCTCCTATCCGTGTTCATAGTCGTGTTAGGCGTCTCGGCGTCGCAGTTGGAAAGCGTCGGCAAGGCCGCAGGGTTTCGTCGCCTCTTGCGTCAGGAAGATGTTGCGTTGTTGAACGACGCTTTGACCGTTCGGGAAGGCGAGTGGGTTAAAGTGTCGGATATTGTTGCGCTCGAAGCTGGGCGGGCGGCCGAAAGCCCACCGAACAGTGAGAGCGCGGCGAGCCAGCAGGGCAACGGAAACGGTTCCGTGAAAATGGCCGATAAGGGGAACGGATTAGGGAATAACGATGCATTTGACTATGGAAATGGAAGTGGCGCAGCAGGACTGGCAACGGTGAGGAGTGGGTACCCAGAGGGAACGGGAGGAGCGGAAGAGAAGGGTAGGGCGGGTGGCGGAACTGGTGGTGTGGCTGGTGGCGGCGATACGAAGGGGGCGGAGGAGAAAGAGGAGGAAGAAAGTGGTGATGAGTACGTGGACGATGGTGAGGGCGACTGGACAGCGCAGCCCGGGATGCGGGTGCAGCAGACGAAGGGAGGCGAGGAGGAAATGGTGGAGATGCTCGAAGATACCGCCACAGACGCGGAAATGAAGGAGCTTGCTCAGAACTCCGGGCACGCGGGTGCTGCGCAAGGGGGGGCGCAGAACCGAGAGCAAAGCGGAACTTCGCGAGCCCCGGCGTCGGTGCTGCCTCTGCCTCTCGCAAGCGCCAACGCGCCCGCTGCGGACGTGGCAAGACGAAAGGACTCGACAGGCGCGGGGCAACGAAAAGACGAGCAAACGACTGGGCAAGTCCCGAAACAACAAATAGCCCAGCATGGGGGGCCGGTGGTGCCGCAGGGGGGATATATAGACGTGCGGAAGCGACAAGCGGCGGGTCGCACGGGGGAAGGAGGACAGCTGACAGAGTCGCAGAAACGAGCAGACAGTCAGCAGAGCCCCTCCAAGGTCCCCCGAGGAGACGGGGAAGGAGATGTTGCGAGCGGAAGAAAAGAAGGGAAACCAGAAGCCGGCAAAGCAGGTGGAGGAGTGGGCGGGAATAACGATGGTGGGGGAGATTACCCGGACGGTGGCGATGTGGGGAATGACAAGGGCAGCGACGGCTCGGACACGACTGGTGCCGACAGTGGTACGACAGGCGCGGATGAAGTGATATCGCTTGGCGGGGACGTGGAAGGCGGGGACGGGGACGAGAGGGACTACGGCACGGACGCCGAGACCATGTCCCAGGCGAGCACGGCCGGGACTGGGATGGACGTGGGGAACGGCAACGGACAAGGGTACGACAGCGACAGCGTATTCGCCGCCGCGAACGACGGCGGATTAGACGTCGGCATGATGTTTCTTAGTAGTAATAGCATGGTGGGGAAGCCGGTGGTGGGAGCGGGCGCTGGAGGCAGGGCGAAGAAGCCTCCGGGAGGAGGAACTGGGAAGACGGGGTATGAGGGCGAACGGAAGGCGGCCAACCACAGGACGCGAACTAAGCCGCGGTTCAAAGCGGTGGACTGCCAGTACAGAGAAAAAGGCGCGTTCAGCAAGCTGCATCGGTGCGCTGTAGGCTACGCTGGTCACGCCGGTGTGACAGGTAAGCCGCGGTTGGCAGGGGTGACAGTAGTCAACTCAGGCGGGCCTATGTCTTTGGCACGTGGGTGACATGGGGAAGCAAGAAACTTCTTTCAAGTGGGATTTGTTATTAACCAAGCAATCTGACTCAATGTGAATAACCTCTACCTTTTCCCTCCTTGCCTTGCTTACTGTTCCCGTCAACAATCGCCAGGCGGCTATAAACGTCCGATATACCTGGTTACCAGCGACGACGACATGGTCGAGAACGTGGCACCTGGCACGATAAGATTCGGCCTCAACCGCTACCGTCGATCGGGTGTCACGATCCGGTTCGCGTCGTCCATGCTCATCAACCTGAAGCAGCGCCTGTTTCTTCCAGCACATACCACTATCGACGGTCGGGGGGCACGTGTGGCGATTAACGGCGGCATTGTGGTGCACAATGTAACCAACGTGATCATACACAATGTGGCAGGTGCGAGTTGGAGGAATGTGTGAAAACGGTCAAGTTCCTTCGTCTGTTCCTTCGCCAAGCTCATTCCATTTCGTCAGATATCTTACCGTGTCCACTCGTCACCCTGTTCATTGCTGTCATCTTTCCTCCTGTGTGGTAACAGCTTACCAGACGGGCATGTCATCTTTCATCTTTGCTAATCGATCATCTGTCAACCTTCTCCCGTCCTCCTTCCCGATCCCTCTGTCTCCTGACTCCCTTCATAGTGGGCAATCTTCCTGGCGACCATGACGTCATCCACATATCCAATTCCACACGTGTATGGGTGGACCACTGCGCTGTGTACAACGCCATTCGGGGCACTGTAGATGTTGTATACGGCTCTACAGATGTCACCATTTCCAACTGCTACCTTCGTAACAAGTACGTCAATAATCCTACCTCGTACATCTTCATGCTTGTGTCAACTCCGGCTGTCACGACATTTTTTTTTTCTTTCTTCACAAAAACAATCTCTTCTGTATGTCCATCCATCAGCTCGTGCATCATCTTACTTACACTTTTCCTTCCTCCTCTGTCACCCTTCCTGTCTTGAAGGAACCTCACCATGCTGCTGGGAGCAGATGATGGGGACATGAATGATGCCAACATGCGGGTAACAGTCTACCGCAACTGGTTTGACCAGTCAGGCCAGAGGCAGCCCAAGGCACGCTGGGGCCAGATACACGTGGCCAACAACCTCTACACCAACTGGACCTACTATTGCATTGGTGGGCGGATGTATGCCAACATCAGGTCGGAGAGAAACATTTTCATTGCCGGCAAAAAGCGGAAAGAAGTCACACCCTGGTTTGGAGAGAAGAGCCTCCGAACGGCTGGGTTTGACAACACGCCATCCATTCGATCGTACAACGACCTGCTACTGAATGGTGCTACATTTCACCAGTTTACTGGGTACACACGGCCATTCCTGCCTCCTTAGGCGCTTGATATTCACCGTGCGGATAAGGTTCTGGCGGATTTCGTTCGTGAGAATGCAGGGCCGCAGGTGGGGAGATTCACGGAGCTGGCTTGTACAGAACTAACCTGCACTCAGCAAGGGGATGAGGTTTAGGTGGACGCATAGAAGGGATAGGAGTCATGGAAGCCGGAAGGACAAAGTAGGGCAATCATGGGGCATTGGGATGACAGAACTTTGTTTTTCGTGGCTGCAGGAGCCTCTGGGCCGAGGGATGTGTTTTCTTTTGAGGTTGGCAACGGGGAGGGATGGGAATAACGTAACGGCTAACTCCATGCATTCACTCGAATGCAGTTAGCCTACTTTAGTATAGAAATAACTGTATCCATGTTCTGGTATAGTCAATCTAACTGCACAATGCAGTCTGCATACCTCCTCCATAACATTTGATAAGTTGGAGATGCTCATTTTAATTGCAAAGGTTATCATGAAATTTCACTTGAAGTTATCCACAAGCTACAAGCTGCCGCGTGGTAGTGTACATTCTCTCTCATCTCCGACTTCTTGAAATTTCCGCGTCCGTCGAGTTCCGAACCAATTTCGAGGACTTGCCATCGAGCCGAACCGCCTTTTTACTACAAATGCCTCGTTGTGCAGCTAAATGTCACAACTCAAAACAATCAAGGCATCTCTGACACCACCAGCACCAAGTTCTCAAGATGGCAAGAGCTCCTAGGGCAGCGAAGTCTGTTACTCCCTCTGTGAAGCCGAAGAGACCCTTGTCAGGTTTCATGTTCTTTGCAAAAGACAACCGAGACAAAGTGAAAAAAGAGTCTCCAACGGCAAGCTTTGGAGAAATTGGTGAGTTGGCTGATGGTCTTATCTCTTTTATGTATCCTTTCACCTGGTAGCTCACTTCAGCAACCACACGTTGCAGGAAAGTTACTTGGACAACGATGGGGCTCGCTTGAAAGTTCGGAAAAGGCCGTTTATCTCAAGATGGCCGAAGAAGACAAATCTCGTTACGTTGAAGAAACAAAGGCCCTCAAACGGGAGAGTTAAATGTCCTGGCCAAGGTCGTTCGTCGGCTTGACTAAGATACTCTTCTGAAACCGCTGCATCAATCTCGAGATGCTCTTCGAGCTAAGAACTCCGGAAAGCCTGTTTGGCGGAATTAATAGTGGCTTGACTTTATGGTCGTCCGATTTCCCATGAGCAAGCGAGCAATGTCTCACATCAGCTTTATTATTGCGAGTACCTCTTCTTGAATCTACTTTCACTGAGTCAAGTCAAATCTTGCATACCTAAAAGCACACCTTTGAGGCTGACTATACCACATCTCAAGTAGGGCGTCTGAACTGAGCTGGTGTGAAGTATTGCGTGCACAAGATGATGAACTTCCTTGCATTATCAACATGGTCGGCTAACACGTGACTAGCCTAAGCATATATTGCGTTGGCCAAAGTGCAAGCTGAATAAGTTGGGCAATGCTCTACTGAAGAGTTTCTATCAGCATTTTGAGAGTGTGATTAGGAACGAGTCTGGTGTCATCCAATGGTGCCCCTGTTACTGGTGAAAGACGAGAACTAGTCAGCCAATGCTCTAAGCTGCTCCGATCGTAAGTGAACCCGTCTGCTGCAACCACAGGATCAGACATAGTGGTCTGGCGGAGGCACAGGTGGGAGAAACAAAATGACAGGGCACATTGGGTACGGATCAAGATGGAGTGGCAGCGCAGCGGGTAAGAATATAGCTGGCTCACGCGGAACACTCTCGGCACTTCAAGCTGCTCATCACGAGATGATGACTGTTCAAGACAACTGAGAGAACACCCCAATTCCCACATTGACCAGAATCTAAGTGAACCAACGGAGAGAAGCTGCAAGTGCTAAGTGGGCATGTCAATCATTCTTACCTTGGATATCGGGCACAAAAATTGCAGGCGTGCAATTCGCCGCCTTCTTTGCATCTCCGCTGCCGCTTCCCTTGCTGCCCGGATGACAGCAGGTAAGACCTCCTCAACAAGGTCCGGGCGCAAGGACCTCCGCCGGTCAGCACACTCAAGAGCCAGAACTAGAACCTCCTCCACAAGTGACCTCGGCCAAGTTCCTCCTGAATCATCCAAATGGCGAGAAAGTGCTGCTACTGCCAATAATATATCACCATCTGTGCCAGCCCAGCATTCGGCAAGCAGCTTGTGGACCCTTCGAACATCAGGTATTCCTGTCAGCAGCTGCACCATCACCAGCCCAAATGCGTAGACATCTGCAGAAACAGATATCTCGCAAGTTTCAAGCTCCTCCGGATCTATGTATCCTGTTGTGCCTTGCACCCGTGTTGTCGTTGCACCCTCACCCTCCAACAGGCGTGCCAATCCGACGTCACCCACACGAGCACCGAGGTTTGCATCCAGAAGTATATTGTCTGGCTTGAAATCACGGTGGACAATGGGGGGATCGTGCAGGTGAAGGTATGCCAGTGCCGACGCCACTTCTGCTGCAATGCGCAGTCTGTCAGACCAAGGAATAGGGCACGTTGGTTGGCCAGTGGAACTAGAAGTTGTAGATGAGTTTGAAGCAGAAAAAGGAAGGTGAGGAGGTGTTAGTGTCCGCTGGTGGCCCTGCTGCTGGTTTCTGTCTACCTCTAGGCTCCGGCGTTGTCTCCGCCTCTGCTGCTGCTTCTTCCTCAACTGCCGCTGCCTCTCATCCTCAGGAGCAACCCTCTCAGTCAAACTCTCTTCCTCATCCTCGTCACTGTCGCTCCCTTGAGAGTCGCTACTGCCACCATCCCCCATCCCAGGATCCCTGTCCATGTCTCCACCACCCATGTCTGCCCCCTCACCATGCAACCGATGCCAGCTCGCTGCTTGCTTCTCCCACTTGTCAGCCTCTTCCCCTCCTCTTAGTCCCCCACCTCCTCCTAGCCCCTTCCCAGCACTACCAGGTGCACACGTGTCATCGCCCCACATGCCATGTCTTTGAATGGCTGCTTTGGCGCTCTGAATGGCTGCTTTGGCAGCAGCCGCTGCACGCTTCCTGCGAATGCGCGCCCCTCGGTTCAAGAGGCTCTGCAGGGACCCCCCCGGCAGAAGCTCATACACCAAGCACTGCTCCTCGGGGCAACACCCCATGAGAAGGAGAATGTGGGGATGCCGCATGCGCGTCAGCACCGCCACCTCTGTTTGAAACTCCTGAGGGCCCTGCCAGCTGGCACCTGACAGACGCTTTATAGCCACCTGGCAGCCAAGAAGGGTACCCCGAAAGACTTGACCAAAAGCGCCCTGACCCAGGAGATTGGCGGGGGAATAACCATCAGTGGCCATGAGCAGCTGATCGGAAGAGAAGGTGCGGCAATCCCCCTCCCCTGTGATTCCACCGCCGCTGCTGCTGTGGTTGGTGCTGGCGATGCTGTAGATGGGAGGGTTGGGGATGCTGGCTGACTTGGGAGCACTTGTGCTTGTGAGGCTCGCCTCATAGGCTGCTGCGCCCTGCCAGCTCTTGCTATCTGCCGCCCCCTGCTCACTTGCACATGTGTTGCTTCTGGTGAACGGATCATAGATCCCATTCACTGCCTCTGCCTTGCTAACAGTCATGACCGAGCCGGGCATAGCAGAAGCAGCAGCAGAATCAGCAGGCAGAGCCCGATTGCCAGCTGGCGTGGCAGGCCTGGTGAGCGCAAGTGCGGGTGCGGCAGAGCGAGGCACGGATGCTTGCAGCGAAGACGAGGCAGAGGCGGCAGGAGGGGAGGTGGAGCAGGAGGAGGGGTTGGATGCGGTGAGGGAGGCGGCGGCAGAGATGGCAGCGGCTACAGAGGCGCAGGGCAGCGACCCATGGGACAGCAGGCGGTGCGAGGGGGACGCAGCAGGTGAGTCGCCCATGGCAGGCCGTAGCAGCTTGGTGGAATGCATGGGGAGAACCAGTGTGGGAGGCCCTGCCCCACCACCCTCTGCTGCACCTTGGCTATTGGAGCGATTCACCTGGAGCTGGTGCTGTCCCAAGTGCTGCACCTTGTACTGCGATTGCTCTGGCCCTTCCTCTGCTCTCTCCCTCCGCCCACTGCCATGCCTGCCGCTGCCAGACTGGTGGTGCTGGCCACCTATCCGCTGCTGCATCCACCCCACAGAAGGCGTGGGTGGCTCCAGCAATTCACCCCCATCCCCTGCGTCCTCACTCCCACTCGCTCCTTCTCCACTCGCCCCCACTCCTTTCCTCCCTCTCGCCACACCCAGCGACACCACAGCAGACGAGCCCTCCACACCCTCCTCACTCTCACGCTCCAGAGCAGCAGAAACTGCGCCAAATAAACTCCCTGCTCCATCCCTCAGCTCTACTCCCTCCCCACTCTGCATTCCCATGCCATACCCACCAGCCGATCCCCCCTCGCCTGCACGTGTGCGCGCACTGTCCTCGCTAGCCCGGCGCCTGCCAGGCGGGTCAGCAGCGGGCACCACAGCAACAGCCTCGGATTCGGTGCGGGAGGGCGAGAAGATGGAGCGCGGCGTGGGCAGGCGCAGCAGGCTGTGCGAGAAGGAGAGCGAGCGCGTGTGCGCGTGGTGCACGGAGGGCGTGCGCGGGCGCGAGGGGGAGGCCGCGGGGGAGGCGGCAGCGGAGGAGCAGGCGGAGGCGGAGGGGGAGGTACGGGGAGAGCTCTTGGGATGGAGGAACTGGTGCAGCGACAGTAGCGCTGGTGATAGCGATGCCCGGGACGCCGCCACAGGTGCTGCTGCCTTGTCCGCCTGATCGCTCACCGGCTCAGCTGTGCCCTTCTCCTCCTCTCCACTCGTCCATTCCCTCCCCCCCTCCCCACCTGCACTCACCGGCCCTGCATCGGCGCCAAAGGGCACGTCGGTCAGCCCACTGGACATGCTCAGCCGCGACCTCTGCAGCGTGCTGCCACTCACACGCCCTGCCCCGCTGCTGCTGCTGCCACCGCCCCCGCCCCTGTCCCCGCCACTCCTGCCACCACTGCTGTCAGCAGCAGGGGCTGAGGACCCAGACAAGGCAGCAAGGGCGGCCTTCCCATGCACTCGCCCAGGCGATGACATGGGGGACGCAACAGCCGCTGCTGATCCAGAAACACTGACAGCATCGGCCGATGCATCCGCAGCGGAAGAAGCAGCAGAGGTGTGGGAGGATTCCAGGTTCTCCACACACTGCCAGATGTCGTACTCACCACCGCCCGCCCCATCGCCCTCCGCCTTCTCACCCGCCCGCGCACCACCAGCCTTGACGCCCTCCCACACGTCAGAGGCGGCATCAAACTGCTCGTACGCTGCCAGCTCCTCCTTGAGCGATCGCACCTCCACCGACCGCTGCCTCTCCACACTCCGCCGCTCAAACGCTGATGCGCCCATCCCTGAACCCATGCCACCCATGCTCTCACTCCCCACCAACCACATGCCACCAGCACTGCCAGCAGCACCAGCACCACTAGCACCCCCTTTCCGGTCGGGTGTGTGCGGTGCGGCCCACACAGGGCTTGCTGTGGCAGAGCCTGGCGCAGCAGCGTGTGTGGCACGCCAGTCGGCGGCAGCGGCGCGCAGCAGGCTGCTGTCAAGGCTCTCCACCCGGTGCACTGACGACGGCGTGAGCGGCCGCGACGAGGGGCGCGCAAAGGAGAGCGCGGACGGGACTGGCGAGAGGGACGCGTGGTGGTGCGGGGAGGCTGCAGCTTGCTGGTGGCGCTGCAGCTGCTGTTGCTGCTGCTGCCGCCACGGCTGCGGGTCCTCTGTTTGCACGTCCAACTGCTGCGCCCCGTGCATGTCCCCAATGCGCATGGCGCCCTGCACGTCTGGGATGGCCAGTAGCGACGCAATGAGTGCATCTATGCTGTCCTGCTGCACCTGCCCCTCACCCCGCCTTGCTCCCGCCTCCGCTCCCGCTGTCACCGCTGCCGCTGCTGCTGTCCCTGCTGCTTCGCTCGCAGCTGGAGCTGCCCCTTCTGCTTCATGTGTGCCGGGAGTGCAAGCAGGCTTAGAGGCCGTAGGGAGGGAGGAGGAGCGTGGGGAAGAGGCAAGGGCAGGGCGCGGTGCGTGGAGGGAGGAGGAGGTGGGAGAGGGTTCGTCGTCCCCGGGCAGAGGCATGTTGAAGTCGTCAGTGTACCGCCACCACTCCTCTGTCTCCCCTGCCGCCTCCTCCTTCCCTTCCAACCCTTGCAACGCCTGCTCTGCTCCGCTCCCCCCCCCTCGCCCTTGCAGTGCAGCTTGCTGTGACTCATCGCCCCCCACCCCTTGCCTCTCCTGCTCCATCGCACTGCCATGCCCTGTCAGCACCTCCCCTGCCCGCCCCTGCTCCCTATCGCCAACCTGTGCTACGCTGCTGTATGGAGCTGTCTTCCCTTGTGCACTCCCCACATCGCCCTTATCCCCTGCTCCCACGCTCCCCTCCATCCTCCTCCCTTGTTCCACACGCCCTTCTCCCATTTCTCCCTCATCACCACCCTCCACATCCCCCTCGTCGCTGCCTGACCCGTCCACATCCCTGCCACGTGCAATCTCCACCTGCGCGCCCTGCTCGCCGCTCTCCACCGTGCCCTGGGTGGCGCTGCCCGTGCTGTCGCTGCGCCACATGCGGGCAAAGATGTTGCCGCTGCTGTTGTTGCGCTTCAGCACCGCGGGGTGGCGCAGGGGAGACGGCATGCACACCGCGCCCGTGGACCCGTCTCTCTCCGCGCCCTCCTCCCACTCCGCCAGCGCCCCTGCGTGCTCTGCCAGCAACTCACACGCCTCTGGGAACTCCACCATGCTCCCACTGCCGTTCCTGCTGCCCCGCCCACTGCCACTGCCTCTCCTTCTCCCTAATCCGCCTGCCCCTGATGTTGCCCTCGACATGTAAAATCTGTCCCTTCCGTTCTCCCCGCCCCGGAAACTACCTGTCCTGTCCTGCTTGCCACTGCTATTGTCCAGGCTATCAGTGCTGCCCGCGCCAGCAGCAGCAGTGAGGGCTGTCGCGGGAACATCAGTCAGCGCAGCCACAGCAGTGGCAGGCTCGGCGGGTGGGTGTGGAGGCGAGGGGAAGTCGGAGCGGGAGGAGTGGCGGCGGAGGGGCAGCAGCGAGGAGAGCCACGAGGTAGGGGAGGTGCCGGTGGGTGCGTGGGAGGAAGGGGGGGAGGTGTGTGCGGAGAGGGAGGCGGACTTGGCCATGGTGGCGGAGGAGGAGGCTGCACGGGAGAAGACAGAGGTAGAGGAGGAGCGGGAGGGGGGCAGCAGGGACGAGGAGGTGGAGGAGGCGGAGGAGGAGGAGAAGGCACTGCCCTCCACGGTTTTAGAGCGCGGTAACTTGATACCCCGCTTCTTCTCCTTGCCCATGCTGCGATGGGATGGCAACGCAGCCGCTGCGGAGGGAGGGGGCTCAGCAGCCGCTACATGGGAAGTATCATCGTCATCAGCAGGTGTAGCAGCCGGGGATGCAGGTGCCACGACGGGCGCAGCAGTGTGTGCAGCGGGAGAGGGAGCGAGATGAGGAGGGGTAGATGCCACGTGTGCGTCGAGGGAGAGTCTGCCACTGGTGCTGCTGCTGATGAAGGTGGCAGCGGTGAGCACAGAGCTGTCAGCCGTTGACGTGCGGGGAAGTGACAGCAACCCACTCAGGCTGCCGCTGCTGCCGCGTGCACTCCTGTTGCTGCTGCGCCCACTGGCGCTGCCACTGCCCGCCCTGCTGCTGCGCCCCTTGCCTGATGACCCTGTTGCAGCTGCACGGGGGGAGGCCACGCCAGGGGATGGCTTAGAGCCCGTGCTAGTGGCAGCAGCAGCGGTGGCAGAAGCGGGAGGGGGCGCAGAGGGTGCAGCAGAAGGTGCAGCGAGGCCCCGTGGGCTTGTTGTCACTGTGCTGCCCCCGTGACTACTACTGCTGCTGACAGCGCGGCCTACCTTGTGCCTGGATGGCCGCTCACTGCCTTGGGCGCTGCCAGCCATGGTGCTGCTGCTGGAGGCACTGGCGTCCGCCGTGCCAGCGAGCACAGCGCTGCTGGCAGTAGCAGCAACGGCAACAGCAGCGGTGGGAGAGGTACTCGTGGGAGGAGAGGAGGCAGCATCGGTGTGAGAATGAGAGGGAGACGATGGCAAGTGGTGCGCGTGCGCGAGGTGGTGAGGGGTTGGCGAGGCAGTGCGTCTGGCAAAGGTGGAGGAGGGAGAGAGGGACCTCCCCATCTGCATGTGGAGGGCATGTGTGCAGGTTGGAGGGGAGGGACTTGAGAACCACTGAGCCGTGACAGTCAACATTGATGATGGAACAAGGGGTTGGACACATGAGGGCTTGTGAAAGAGGGTGTGTGAGTGCATGCACAACAAATCGAACGTCAGTGTGTGCATGAACAAGAGGGATGGCCCATATAGCCCGCGACACACACAGAGCATGAAGAGTGCGCAACGCACCTCTAATCGGAAGGGAGCGGGCACACCATTCTCTGCTGCGCTCTGCACTGTGTGCCGCACCTGCGACCACGCCCTGTCCTGCTCCAACCGCCGCTGCATCACTCTCGCCTTCTCCAGCCGCCCCTCGCCTTCCTCCACCCCACCCTCCTGCTCCCCACTACTCCCCTGTGCCTCCGCTTCCTCCTCCCCATGCCGCAATGCCTGCCCTGACTCCTGCCACGCTGCTCTCTCCATCTGCTTGTTCCTCTGCTTCTGCCGCAGCTGCTGCCGGCGCCGCAACCAGCTAACACCACTGCTGCTGCTGCCAGTGTCGGTCGCAGCAGCCCCACTGCTCCGATCCTCCCACCCCTCACCTCGCTCTGCCTCCCCGTGCGTACACGCGCCTTGCTGCTCGCCCTCGTCCGCCCCACCTCTCGCTCTCTCCTCCTCCTCGTGCAGCAGCCACCGGGGGGAGTCACGTTGTGTGGCCGACTGCACCTCACCACCCGCCAGCACCGCCACCGCATTCACCACCCTCACAGCATCTCGCGCCCCTTCCTGTGCAGCCACGCTCCCATGCCTCCATATCCTTCCCTCACCCACCTTTCTTGCCTCTTTCTTTTCGCCTCGCTCCCTCTCTCCTCTCGCCTTGCGCAATTCTCTTCGCGCCAACCCCCGTCCTTCGCCCTGCTGCCCCCACTCCACCCCTGTGTCCGCCACCCCCTCACACCCATCACCATGCCACCTCTCACTCTCTCCCTCCATGTACTCAACCACTCCTTGCCGCCCCTCCTCGCCCCATCCCGCACTCATATAACCCCCCTCCTCCTGCACTGCCCTTCCCTTGCCAAACCCCCCCTCCCCATCCAGTCTGCCCTCCCTGTGCCGCTCATCCCACCCCGCGTCCTGCCCTCCGCCTTGCCCCTGTGGGCGGAACCTAGAGGCAGCTAGCCCGCGCCCACCTACCACCCTGCGCCGGTGCCGCCGCGCATTCCCCTCGTTGCCATCACTGTTCACCTCCCTCCCCTCGCCCCCACTGCCCTCGCCCTCGCTCGCGCCACTGCCCGGGTCCCTGCTCTCCGAGTGGCTCTTTCTAATCCCGGGAGGCGCCTCCCCCTCCCCCTCACCACTGCCCCTCTCCGCGCCTGCATGTGCGCGCCTCACCCTGTCCGCCTGCCCCTTGCCGGCACTGCGGCGCGGCTGGGCGTCCCCAGCAGCGCGAGGGCTGTGCGCATCAGCAGCAGCTCCATGAGGGGTGGCGCGGGGGGAATGTGCGAGGGGTTGGTGTGGGGAGGGGGAGAAGAGGGAGCGGGCGTTGGCGGGGGTGACAGGCGTGGCCACCACAGCCGTGCCATCACCATCACTGTCACCTTCCCCGTCACTGTGGTTCGCAGCGATGGAGAGCGGTGCAGGGGTGTGGGCGTTGGATTGCTGCAGGCGCCAGAGGAAGCCCTCCTTCCACGCCTTGTTCAGGAACGAGCTCATGGCGGACCCTGATGGGGCTAGGGGCGACGCAGCAGGGGAGGACGTGCTGGGGGAGGGCGCTGCTGCTGCTGATGCTGCTGCTGACGCGTGTACACGTGGGTCCAGGTGGAAAGACGGCTCCCTGCCAGTGCCACCGCTCTGCTCCCACGCCGCGCCGTTCTGTGTCTCCCACGCGTGCTTCAGAGCCGGGATCCCATCGCCTCCCCCTGCCTCTTTGCCCCCTTGCTCTGCGCCCTTCCCCCTTCGCCCCAGCTTCGCGTTCTCCCCCACGCCCAGCGACACCACTCTCCTCAGCGGCGACCGGCTCTTGCTGCCTGCCTTGCCCGGCGTGCCCTTCGCCTGCCCGCCACCCGAGGACCTGCCAGGCGCTGCCACCTGCTGCACTGCTGCGCTTGCTCTCCTGCTGCCCGCCTCCCTTGCCGCCCCGGTACCCTCGCCACTGCTGCCGCTGCTCTGGCCGCCATTGCCCATGGTGCTGGCGGCGGCAGTGCCAGCGCTGCTGCTGCTGCGCGCCCTGCTCTGGGAGAGCAATCGAGCTGCCGCTGCTGCCGCCACCACTGCTGCCACTGCGGCTCCTGGTGCTGCAGTGGTGCCCAGTCCTCGTGCCTCGTCTGCTGCCGCCCCTGCTGCCCCTACTCGTGCTCCTGCTGCACTGCCTTCTACGCTGCCCTCCAACCCCTCTGCTTCTCCTGCTGCTGCTGCCATTCGTGATCCAAATGCTGCTGCTGCTACTGCAGGCCCAGCCGTTACCGGCGGTGGCGACGGTATGGCGAGAGAGGCGGCATCAGCAGAGAGGGGGTCGAGCAGGGAGCAGCGGCCTGGCAGGCGCTTGACCTTGTGCGAGGCGAGCACGAGCGTGATGGTGGTGGAGGGCGGCAGCACGGCCTCGCAGTAGTCCACCAGGTATGATGACGGCAGCCCCCTCGCATGTGCTTTCCTGCACTCCACAGGTGGGGGGTGAGTGGGAGGAGATGCGTGTGAAAGAGGTAGGTGGGGGGAAATGGTGGAGATGAAGGCTTGTGTTGGGAGCGAATGAAATGGAGGGAAACAGTTCGGGCAGTGGCTCATGGAAGATCTCAGAAGATGCGAAGCACAAGGCAAGGGAGCACACAGCATGCACACAGATGGCATGGATGGAGGCACATGGCATGGAAGCACTACTTTTTGAGAGAGAGGTAGAGGCGAGTGGCGGAAGCGCGGCGAACAGCAGTGCAGAGACCTCTTTCCCGCCTGCTGTCACACTCCACATGGCCCGTTGCCGCCACCTGCACATGCCATGCACGGGTGGAGAGCACGTGCAAGGAGAGGTGGTGCCGCATGAGTCCACGTGGGCACACGGCCGTGCACTCGTGCTCACAGGTGCATGCGGAGTGCAGGGGCGTGAGTACCATGGGCCGTGCTACGGAGGGTACAAAGTGATGAGAGCACATAGCAAGGGCGTGTTCATGAAACAGGATCAACAAGAGAATCCGTAGCAGCTGACCTCCTTGTGTGTGGCGAAGTGCACGAGGGGCTTGAGCACGTGCTGCTGCAGGCGCTGCACGCTGTCCCTCGTTGCTGCTGCATCCGCCTCTTGCACATCCACCTCCTCACCACCTGCCACGCCATGGAGTGCACACTCGTGAGTCGACACACATTCTCAAAGCACAGAGCCCTCAACACGTGTGCTCATGTGCCTGGAATGCAAGAGCCAAAGAGCCTTTCCCATCCTGATAAACCGAACTGAACTACATGATAATCATGCATGCCATGCCATGCAATGCCATGGCACGCGATGTCGTCCTGTCCCCTGGCGGCGTACCATGGGAGCGCACGTGCGTCATGACATGCACGAGCAGCAGCGCGACGGGGTGGGAGTGCAGGCGCGCGTCCGCTATGGCCATCAGCAGCGCGTCCTTGCACCCCTCCCTCTCCCTCTCGCCCTCCCTCGCCTTCTCCCTCTCGCCCTCCCTCTCCGCGTCGCACGCAGATGCCACCTCCACCACCCACACCTCCCCACCCATGCGCGCGCCACTGCTGCCGGGAGGCTGGGCCGATCGAAGGGCGACAACGGTGGGGGATCAGCGAGGGAGAGAGAGAACGCGATTAGCGAAGTGGGTAAGAAAGCGGGAGATGGAAGCCGGCGACGGGGGAGTAAAGGGATGCGCATGCGTGAACGGCGGCGATGCTATGAGCATGCGCGCCACGGATGCCAGCAGCGCCCATTCCGGTTCCCACAGGCGAGTCCACGCAGGGTGGTTGAGAGAGCGGGGCGCCCAGGCACGGAGGCGGGTGAGAGTCCGCGGGTGGCGGAAGGTGATATAAAAGGGCTACAGCGGGCAACGCGGAGGGGTAGGGACTACACAATAGGTTGCCGCATGCCAGAAGAGGAGGGAGAGGGGGAGGGACGATATGAGTGGCGGAGAGCGGGGGAAGAGGGGGGTGCAGAGAGGCGCGGGTGCGGGGCAGGTGAGGGAAGGCCGGGAGAGATAAGAGAGGAGTGGGTGATTGGCGGGAAGGGCGTGAACGAGGAGCACATGGGGGCTTCGCAGCACGATCCGCAGGGTTCGACGCGGGCCGACGCGCGGTGGGGAGGGCTTAGGAAAGGGCGGGGAGGATGCGGACGAGGGGGCGCAGGGGTGTGAGGAAAGCCGTTGACCACGACGCAATTGCAATGCGGGGGCCGTTGATGCGATGGCACGCGCTGCGATAACTGGCGGCAGGCTAGAAGAAACGGAGGATCGAAGGGGGGACGGCAGGCAGAAATTAAGCACCGCGCGGCCTGCTGCTAGGTGCGCTAATTGCGCGTGCGTGTCCGCAGGCGTCGTACCGTGGTGTGCGGCTGGATGGCCGCTACTGGCGCAACGAGCACGTGATCCTCGCGCGCATCGAGCGATGCGTTAAGCAGAAAGGTCTAAAACGGGTATGTTACACGAGACAGAGAGAAAGCGGTGCTCGTGGGACTTTCCAATTAGCAAGGGCCATCTGAGGCGGCAGCAGGCAGTGTCTGAGCCGTGCAGGCGACATTGCAACGTCGAGGTGGTTACTGAAATATTCGTGGCGTGTGCGTTATTAATTATGTACAGGATCAACGGCGTCGCTCTACAGGAAAGCTACGCGCATTCATAGTTGAGGACATGGTGACGCGTGAACGAGCAGTGAAGTGTATGCAGGTGACTTGGGACATTACTGCGACAAGAAAAGAAGAACCCATTGAGGAACGCCTGCTTGCCCTGCGGGCAGTACTGAGAGTGGGCAGAACACGGAAGGGCAACAACAGCAGCACAAGTAACGAACGACAGAGGTGAGCAGGAGGCCAACCAGCGTGACTGATTGACCAAGGCGAAGTGAATGCGAAGATTAACGAGGGGATGGAAACCCCAGATACTGAATTGCGAAAAACGAAAAGAATCGCCCACCAAGGTGCACGTGACAAAGGGCTCTGTTCACTGCCGAAGAAGCTGCCCGTTACTGTACAGCCAAATGTGAGTGCCCGTTTGTGGGCGTGGAACGACACGACAAACAGTGCATTTCGAAGTGGAGCGTTATTGCGCCAACCAAACGCCAAGCAGTGCTCACCAACCAGGTTTACTCGCTATTACCGTAGGTGAGGAAAGCAGACTGCCATAAACTTGTAGGCTTAAAGTATAAAACGAATGATTCTTCAAAATACACCACACAAGCAAAAATTGTGGTCTTACGGTACTAGTGGCACACATTAACGTCACTGAAGAACTCGGTACTCCTCAACTCTTGCCTTGTCGACCAATGTGGCCGTCCAGATGACAATAGCACCGAAGGCGAAAATCATGAGGCCAAGCAGGTTTGCAACAATAGCCTCTGGGCCCCTTTTGTCAAGGCCCCCAACGAAGCGAAACGACATTTTTTCAAGTATCCCTTGCGACGCAGTGGCGAGTGCGAAGCAAAAAAGAAAGACACCAAGGAAGGTGTGCCACGGCATGAAGGATTGACGAGCAGCAAGAGATGTGGTTGGATAGAAGAACGCGTAGAAGCCAGACAACCACTGTGAGAGGAATGGATGAGTGGGGAAGGATGGAGAAACGAACATGAGCTCTGAATGGAAATTGCAAGGGTCGTGTTAAAGGGAAAGAAGAGAGGGCGATAAGTTAAAGTAAAAGGAACATCAGTGGATCGCAACACAACCAAAAAAAACTAACCACGGGCGGAACACATACCTGAAGCGCAAAGAGGGCGAGAACCCCCATGCCACACCAAGAGTGGAGGCTGTAAAGGTCAGGAATGGACTTGAGGCTGTGGAACTTGAACACTGCCCACACTCCCACCAGTGCTAGCAGCAGCGCAACCCCGTTAATGACCAAGTGGGCAACCTTTCTGGCCGGCCTTGACAGAGGAAGCAGGCGGTACGCAAGGATGCCTGCACTTAGTGTAGGATGCACACAGCCAAAACGAAACGGTCTTCTAGGAGTTGCGAACACAAGCAGAAATTGGGTAATTCTTGCACGGTGCTGGCAGCTGGATCAAGCTACAACTTCCAAAGAAAGAAGAAAAATAATACGCACCTTCGCCGAACACAACTACAAAGCCCACGATCATAAAGAGAGGATGGTACTGTGTCACGAACGGGAAAGCGGAAAGGCGGGGGTGCCCCCATGTTAGTGAGAACGCCCGACGAAAGGCGCCAGGTGCGCACAGCGTAGGGGAAAGAACACGATAGGAGAGTACGGTGACAATTCGTCAACATAATAACTCTATTTTTGCGGAAACTGTATTTATAGAAAAAAACCAATTACTGCCGCAAAAGAAAATACGAACATTGAAAAGGGTGTCAGGCTTTTGCGAGTCCCAGCTTGCTCCACCCTGAAAGCCGACGACCCAGAAGGTCACAAGACCTGCGAGCAACACCGCAGATGCATGGCATGCGGCAACGGCGGTCGTGGGAAACCCTGATTGGTCGGACATGGAGGCACGACGGCTTGCTGAAGTCACTGACGACGAGACTGGAAGTGGAGAGGTCGGCGTGAGTGCAGGCGAGTAATCTGCAACTGAGATGGGGAGGGTTCTGATGGTAGTCTTGCGAGTCATGACGGCAAACACTGCCACAAACAAGCGGTGCAGAATGTCAGGACGAGCTCAGAAATGATTGCGGAGTGGTGTACTTCAGTTACATGCTACACGATGTTGATCTCATACACCAGCCACTTACAAAATTATACTTCAAAACCGTTTGCTAGGCAATATGATGGAAGCTTGTGTACATGAGCAGCTGTACGCTGCTTATACATTCTATCTCAGATTTCACTGTTAAAAAAAAATCGATTATATTGATTGAGGCTAGAATACACAGTACATTGTAGACTAGTCTTTGGTAGGAGGCTTGAGCTTGCTCCATAAGAGTGGTGTGTTGTCAGTCCAGGAGGCAGCAGCTCCATCATCAGACAGAGATGCGCCCAGATAGAAAGGCCGAGTACCTACAGTCTGGTGCATACACGTCGGTTGATTCGTAGTCGCGCATAGAGCCATCTAAGAAACCTGCGCCCTGTTCAGAGTCCACAGCCACGGGGCGGTGCAGCAGGGCAGACAAAGCAGTGTAATCCATGGCCCGCTGCTCTCTCCCTGGGCGATAGGTCTGTCCCATGACGCCATGAATGTCCTTCGTCGCCTCAACATGCTGGAAAGCCAGGTTGATATGAGCTTCTGCGTCATCTGCAGTCTGCAGCAGGGGATGTGCCACTCGGAGCTTCACATCCAGCTCAATGAGGCCCGGGATGCTCACATGATACGCGTCAACCTCCATTGGCCCTCGCATCTGCACACCCACGAATGTCAATTCGAGTCCTGCCAGCTTGAGTGTTTCGCCCTGGCGCATGCGACCGATTAGGACGCCATCAACCTCCAGCCGCTCCACGAACCCCTCTCCGCGTTCCTGCTGGGTCCCGCGTCGTGCCACCATCCGGAGTCTGTGCTCGCGGTCCTCGTCCCCAGGGACAGCGCCCTCCTCGCGCCACATGAGGCCCAGCTCGCGGATCCACGTGCGCACGGCCTTGCCGCCGCGGATAATGGACGCACCGATGGTGCGATCGTCCAAGTACCCGTGCATGCGCATGTTCAGGTGCACACGGCGGTCGGTCAGAAGGCAGAAGGTCTTATCTGGGAGGCCGTTGAACTCAAAGCGAGTGCCGTGCGCCCCTCGGAAGTGCGGGTCGTTCTTGGTGTAGGGGCACGAGGCGCCGACGCGTGAGCAGTTGTACTTGATGCGGTAGCCATTGTTGTTGTCCAGCTGCGTCTCGCACTTGGGCGCGTCACCAGGAGGGTACAACCAGCAGATGCCGCACTTGAGACACTTGCCCGAAGGATTTATCGTTCTGAAAAGCCAATGCCACGACTAGATCGAATGAGTGAGACGCTAAAATGTGGAGATGATCGAAAGCAGAGCACCAAAACAAGACGCACCCGATATAGTGCTGCCAGAGGCGGCAGGGCATGGCACTATTAGAGCACGCGGCGCAGCACTCCGAGACGGTGAGATTCTCGATGCACCACTGGTTGTTTGGCTTCGGGTTGCTGCTGCCTGGAGGGCATTGGAGCGACGATTGCACCGGAAGCTGCACCAACGGGAAAACGCGGCGGTCAAGCAAACTGCAAAAATGGACGTTTGATCGTGCGAATACTCTGTTCATAAATGCTTACCCTCCAGCGTCCTAGGATCCCTGCAGTGTCCTTGCACATGCCTCCAGAGCAGAAAAACTTGAGCGGCGGGCAGTCTTGGAGAGGACACGTGGGGTACTCCTGGTCGTTGTACCAATCTATGACAGCGGCGCTCACGCCATTTCCGTTTCCGTTCTTGTTGTTCTGTCCCGCGGGCGACAGAGTGACTGTGCCAGGGGGTGGAGGGCTCGACGGCGGAGGGCTCGGCGGTGGAGGGCTCGGCGGCGGGCTCGCCGGCGGCGGGCTCGCTGGAGGGCTCGGTTTCGGGCTCGGTGGAGGGCTCGCAGTCACTGCAGGGGGTGGAGGGGAAGCCTTATTGCCGTTCCCATTCCCGTTGTTGCTGCTGCTGCCAGCGAAAGCGGAGGGACATAAGAGTGCGATCGTGAGCGCCAGCGTCAGAACACGCATTGCGAGTGCTCTCATGGCGACGTAAATTATGTCGACGAGAGCCAAACGCAGTACGGGCTTTTGAGTTGAGAAGCGGTGGCTACGTGTGTAGTTAGCCAATAAGAGACACAAAAAGCGGATGGTGAAAGCTAGGACAAGGGATCCGATTGTCTTGTTTATATGTCGACGCACTTAGCACACAACCTCTGCATCGTGCAATGTTGTAACAATAATCGTGTTCGCGACATCAGTTCGCGAAGCCCCGTCTCCAACAAATTTGCGATTCGAACCCTGAGAGCATCAGACTTGTTGACGGAAATTTGTCATCCAGTGCGTGAGGCTCCACCACACCACCTCACACACCTCACTCTCGCCAGGGCATTCAACATCCACACCAAACTACATGCTTGATTGTTCCCCAAATTGATGTGTGTGTTTTTATTCAGACAGAATAACTCGACTTGGAAATTGGTAAAGGTCCAAGAAGAGGCAAGTCTGAAGCTGGGGGACGAAATGGGATCCATTTGTCGTTCACAAGGCGAATAGTTCAGCAATCGCGTTGAAAACATTCGAGAATACTCTGAAATGCACACATGAACTTTATTGCGATTTAAGTGTATAATAAGGACGGGTTCCCCTTACAATAGGGTAGGATTCACAATCTGGAAGGATACAACTGTTTTAGGGTGCAAATGCCACCACACCCGAGTTTCTGATATCAGGGTCGAACTGGGTCATGCTGTTTGAATGAATTCCGAAAACATGTTGAGCTGAGAGTTTAGGAAGGAAGATCATTCACGAACAGCATAATTATAAGCTGTACTTGGCAAAACTCTTGGATGTGGAAATGACTTACGATCGGCAACCCTAGAATGTAGGTTCGTGTCCCTGCCCGAAAACAACAACCAATCAACCAAAGACGGTTTGAAGACGATCACTTCATGCCACTCATTACTACTGCTGGAAAGTTGGAGCCTCAGGGCAAAGCAAGCCTTGGACTTGTTGCTGATAGTCAAGCAAGCGGCCATGCGCGTAATAGCTCATCCCCTTCAAAATGGGGTATAAGGGTATTTCGTACGAAACATCACGGTTTGGTAAAGCCAATTCTGTCAACCCCACTCTGAGAAGTTGCCACTGGTTGTGAACATGAGGCAGGATGGTGTATAGTAACACGTCTTATGGGGGATGAGTCGTAGAAATGCTTCCAACTCTACGCAACGAATTATTTAGGGAAACACTGGAGTTGCTCTGTGCAACAAGTTACCCCCCAGGCATTAGAGCTTCTCCCGATACGACAAGCCCTATGTGAGTCCAAAAGCAGCGAATTCAAGCTGGCATTCAGGAGATACAAACAGACGACACCACTGGGAGCCCGCAACATCTCCTGGGAAGCTGAGGATTTACCGAAATGGTGGTCCGTCCGTACAACAACACTGTACTGTCCGAATCTGTGCGGCATTCAGGGAAAATATGCGGCACGTAAGAAACAAATGTTCCGATAACATTAGTGGTAAACCAAACTCGCGAACGGTCAGTACAAAGGGTAATTTCGCGTGTTGAATAATAGGGGTAACGCGTTCAGACAGTATTAACTGGCGGAAAATCACGCAAATGGTAACAAATGAAACTCCCGCCAAAAGGGTCAAACCCTTAGGGAACCTGGACGCGTTTCCGAGAGGATCAACCCTAAACACGTCACCTGCGTGGTGTTTAGGGTTGATCCGTCCCTAAAACGTATCCAGTTCCGATTGGGTTTTAGTTTTTTTCAACCTTGTAACCTGGGTTGGCGCGAACGGGAAAGTTGCAAAGTTTCATATGTTTTTGGCGGTAGTTTCATGTCTTTCTAGTAAAATTCCGCCAGCTAATAGTGACTGGTCACGTGAACGTCTTATCAAACAAGTGAAAACACCCTTTTCACTGACCGTACACGAGTTTGTTTTCCCACAAAAAATATTGCTGCCCTTTTCACTGACCGTACTCTATGGTGTTTTCCCCGGCATTCAGAGGCAGTGATTGTATAATGAAAACACAGTACACTGCAAGCTAGTTGATCACACACTATAACATAAATATGTCTCAAATATCTCACCATAGAGTCAATCAAGCATGTGATCAGGTCATGTTATTCGATAAGCTACCTTTCTCTCCGCTCTCACCGCCTTACGACATCCATGGGTTTTAGCGAGCTCGACTGTATCAGCGTCCTCGCTACAATACATCGAACTAACATATGCTATAACCAATAAAATCGCCTCTAACAATATTATTGGGAAACCAGTCATTTTTTGCTGACCTTGCTTCCTCCTGTTATCAAGCGACAAGTTTCATTGTTTGTCATGCATTCCCAATGTCGCTTTTCACCCAATTTCTATGCCATATTTCAGTCTTATCTTCAAGTGCACGCTACACTGAAGTGATTGCATTAAACAATGACGACGTATTCAAGGTTCTACCTATCAGAATCCTAGTCACTCGACCGCTGGGATAAAGGGGCTTGTTCCAAATGCAGGTCCGTGCGCCCAAACCCTCCCAGACTAACATGTTTGTAACCCCTCTAGGCTCAATCGCGGATCTCACAGTGTAGCTCTACTGGCACAGCTCATCTAAGTCAGTGCAACCGTGTCTCCTCAGCAGCTCGGCCTTCACTGAGGCCAGTGCGACTCTGTCTGGCGTAGCAAAGACAAGGTCGTCAACGTAGACTAAGATGTAGAACGGAGTAGAGCCAAAGCGAACAAAGGGAGGATGGATCCGAACTGACATCAACAGCATCTGTTGCGCAGATCAACGTTGCAATTAACGTGCATGGAAACCCGCGCACCACTTCGCATTCGTGCGGTGTTGGGTCACCTCACAAAAACAAGACCACAGAGTGGATGCACTAAAAAACCCTCCCTCTCATGGTAAAGGCTCGTAATTGTATGGAAACATGGGTGCCAACAAACCAACGCATGAACCATGTAGCATGGGTAGGACGTATCATGTCTTTATCGAGTCTAACGTGATATAGTTCGCACGGAATAATTCATATGTGAATCGTTGAATCCTCCCCTTTGATTTGGAATAAACCAGGGTAAGGGTAGGGGCTTGAATGTTGTCGATGTCGCGTTGTTATTGTTGTATCCCGACATTATGCTAACACGTTGACGATTTTCGACCTACGGTTCACACATGACATGATGACTATGCGATTATTGCTATGCCGCCAGGGTCCTCACTGGTTTGTTATGATGTTTGATGAAACATACGCCCCCACATAGCCCGTTTGATGAACCATGCGGCCAAAGTTTTGATTGGTTATACACTAGACGAAATAACTATTACGGTATTGGTTTCTGGTTTATTTTAACCATTTTTCCTTACAAACGAAAACCTCCCTCTCCACTGCAGCTTCGCAACCACCACATTCCATCCTTCCAGTCCATCACGCCCCCACGTCCCAACCCCCAAGTTGTTCGCGCCCCATAACCAAACCACCAACAAATCGTGCCCACCATCCAAGCCCTTAGTCATCCACACCCCACAATCCTCTCACCTAATCACTGCACCACACAACCCATCCCCACAACTCTCGCATTCAGTGTCGTTGTCCATGTGCGTTTTCATAAACACACACGTTTTCGACCAAAATTCATATACCCCTCTACCACCTAACATACCCTCCCTTATTTCAGGGCCTACGAAATTTTGCACCTAATAAAAAGAAGTATTTTTGAATATTGTGGTTGCAATATTAAAGCAAAGAATATATTGTGGGCGAAGGCTTGAAGGGACACGAAGAACAGAGAAACAATGGTAACGGTATCGCATTCTCGGAGGGATTAACTGAAAATTGGGGGTCTATACAGGCGTATAATCGACGGTTGCTCGAGGCGCAAGACCTGGCCGCAGGTAACCAGCCGACACATGTGGTGCGGGCACAATGACGCAATTGATATATAAATTGAACAATCGTTTCAGAGTTAACGAGAATGATGTGTGGGGTGGCGGATGTACCTTGCTGTCCGCGTTATGCAAGATGACGCGAAGTAAGGGAGATTGAATTGGATGCGACACGTGCCCTCACGGACGATTGGTTGCAAATTTGCAAGGTGAAACCACAAATTTGACTGCCACAAGGTTTGTCGGCTGGGGGCGGGAGGACTTAGGGAAACCTTTCGATGCAGTCATGATCCCAGATAGTCACATTCACGCGTCGCGTGCGTGCAAATGCCAAGCCAACCGAAATCGCTGGACCAAGGCGCCCTTGGCTCGCCTCTTGGTTGATCGCGATTGCAGAGAGCGATTCGTTGTTGAAATGTGGCTGCTTCTCACTTGCAGATGACGAGCAGCTCGGAGTACAGCAGCCATGAGATGGGATGACGGAACGGAAGCCAGAAAGATACTAGGGCAACGCACCGGGATCATGGTTTTGGTGCATGAATGAGAGCCCACTATTTATTTGTTGCTAAATGTTTCCTCGTATCAAGCTTGACGTCTGATAATCTGATGACTATTTCTAGCTTTCGTGACTTCGCAATATGTTGAACAGTGATCGCAGAAATTCACGCATTCCTTCTACGCTAGAGGAACTCGACGCTTCACGGTCGACTTAGTGATAGATTATTATCCGCAACGCTCCTCACCATTATCGCTTGCCCAGACTCGCCTTAGCCACAACGCGTTCCTGACAGGTTTTTCTCCGTAAGTGCGCGTGGCTGGCAGTGAGTCGGACCCGCCGCTCCCATGACGTGGGGGTGCGTCGCTGGCGGTGTCCGGTGTTACCGAGGCACACCCTTCCGCATGGCGGAATGCGGACGCAACCATGTCGGCCGCGCGCTCTCCTGGACCGGCGCAGCCACGCCCCGCTCTCACCTGCGCCTCCGCCAGCTCGCCCTCATCCCCCTCGTGCTCCTCGCCCTCCACAGCGTGCACTGCCTGCCGCATTCCCCACCTGCCGCGCCACTCGCCCGCCCGGCGGAAGAGACGGAGCACCACGCGCATGTGCAGGGCCCGCAATGGCTGGACTCCGCGCTGTTGGGGTGGCTGGGGGATCTCACGAATAGTAGCTGGCCGCGCGCACCGGAGAAGGGTGAAGGTGCGGGTCTATTGGATCTCGCGGGCATGCGGAAGGCTGGCGGGGTGCGGCGGTGGCTGAAGCGGCAGGCGGTGAAGCCGAACCTGGTGCTGGCGCAGGACGGCACGGGCGACGTCACCACGCTGCGAGTAAGCCGCGCGCTCCCCTTCGCGCTCATTACATTCTACCTTGGCCCGGCCTCCCTGCCATGCGCCTGTTCGGAGTGATGCCATCCGTTACTAACGGATGGTATAGTATGCAGTCACTTCGCACCTCTCCCCCCATTTCCTTACGTCGCAGCCTCGCCCACTCCATTCGCCTCTCTACTTCCGTTCCCACCTCCTCCCCACCACATCCCCGCCCCCAACCCATCCGCCCTCCTCCTTCCCCCATCCGTTACCCGCTCCACCCTGCTTCGCCCCATTATCCCCGGATCCCGTTCGCCACTTCGCCTCATTGCCCCGCATCCCCGCCCTCTCCCCCGATCGCGGCGAGTGTGCAGAGAGCGGCGGAGATAATCAACAACGTGCCGCCATCGCAGGGGTGGTTCGTGGTGCACATCCGCGCGGGCGTGTACGGCGACAAGGTCGACATCGCGCGCCCCATGGTCGCGCTCGTAGGCGACGGACCCACTCGCACTGTCATTACTGGCTCCCGTAGTAACGCGGACGGGTTAGCGACATGGGACACGGCCACGTTCTGTATGCCCCACTCCCGCTGCCCCGCACTTCCCCCGCCACCCGCTGCTCTCGTGCCCCGCGTGCTGGCCCCACGTCACCGCGTCACACCACGCCTATCGCGCACGCCCTTCTTCGTGCCCACTCACCCTTGTGCTATCTCTCCTCCTTCTTTCAGCCATCCCTGTAGTTCCATCGTTCCCGCCCTTCGCGTCCCGGACCGCACCCTTCTCATTCCAACTCTCACTCTCCTCCACTGCCCCCCACAGCGGCGTCGGGTGCCAGCTTCGCGGCGGCGAACATCCGATTTGAGAACACGGCGGGGCCGTACAAGGAGGCGGGCGTCGCGTTCCGCGCGGTGGGCGACCAGTCGCTGCTCTACCGCTGCCACTTCTCCGCCTTCCAGGTGCCCACCTCTGCGCCCCTCGCCGCACTCACCCACGCTGCCCATTCACCTCTTGGCCGCGCGCGGCCTCGCCGCTGTACCGCCCAGCTGCACGGCATAGCCGTGCTGCCATCCAATTTCCCCGTTTCCACGCTCCCGCCCCTCCCTTCCTCCCGCGGCTACTGCGCGCGCGCAGGACACGCTGAACGCGCACAGCGGGCGGCAGTACTACCGCGAGTGCCGCGTGGAGGGCGCGCTGGACTTCATCTTCGGGCGCGACGCGTCCGCCGTGTTCGACAAGTGCCGCCTCGACGTGCGCAAGTGGACGGGGGTGGCGGGCTTCCTGGGGCGCAGCATCATCACGGCCAACGGGCGCACGGCGCGCAGGGGCGGCGGCGGGTTCGTGTTCGTGGACTGCGCCATCAACGCGCTCGACCCCGGCGCTAGGGCCGTGCTGGGGCGCCCGTGGAAGGCGTACGCGCGCGTGGTGTTCATCAACACGTACATGAGCAATGTGAGTCGCGCGCCGCTGCGCTGCCAGGTAGCAGGACGCCAGGGTGCTGCATAATGTGTGCGCGCATCCGCGTTCCATGCTGCCTTCTCTCCCTCGAATTGTCGCTGCCTCCTCCATCTCCCTTCCCTCGTCAACCCTGTCACTGCCCCGTCATCTCGCCCCCCGGCCCCCTGCCCCCAGGTGATAGACCCGGTGGGGTGGGCGCAGTGGAATGGCGTGAACTTCCGCGCCAAGCCGTTTCTGGCGGAGACAGGCAGCTATGGGCCGGGCGCGCGCAGGGCGTACGCGGACTGGGTGCACCCGGGCAAGCTGGCCGCACGGCACGCAGGGCCGTTCCTGCCGGACCCATTTATCCAGGCACGCACTTGGGTGAGCAGCACGCCGCTGCACGTGCCGTACCCCTGACCAGCTGCCCTGCTGGTAAACAGCAGATGCAGCGACGCTTCTCTGAGGTGGGTGGCGACAAGGATAGACCGGCGTGCTGGGAGTGTGTGGGCACGCAACTACCTGGCAGGGCCTGATGCTCAGGCGTATACGTATACTGGGTGCTTCTGGGCGAGGGCTGTGTAAATGGTGCTGGTCAAGAAGGTTTCAGTGGACTGCAGACGCTGGAAGCCACCTTGGTGTTGGAATGGACTAGCTGCCTCTTTCTAGCAGTACGTACTCGTATGTATTATACCTGGTTTGTTTTTGTAGATGATACCGACATGCTGCCTATTGCGTTGGACCAGACATATTGTTTATTTCATTCCGCATTTATTCCAGACAATGGCAACAGTCAGCATAACATGCGGTGTGGTGTTTGACATACAACTGCACAAGTCATGGCAGATGCCAGAGGGTCATTTCAGGCACAGCTGCACTGCAGTGTTGAGGAGTACAAATCGTGAGTTGATGGCATGATATTTTAGGTATGGGCAGAGGCACACGAGTGGTTATGAGTGCAGCCATTCATGCTGCAGCACCTGCTCTGCTGTTGGCCTCGCTTCCACCCGCACTTGCAGCAGCGTCTTCAGCAGCCGGCGAGCGCTCCGGGAAATGCCCATTCCACCTCCGCCACCACCACCAAAACCACTAGTACTGCTACCTCCACTTGTGCTATTGCTACCTAAACCCTGGCTAGACGAACTTTCGAGATGCGTCCCTTTCCTCACCCGCTCGTGTGAAATGTCCACGCAGCCCTTGTCCTCGTTCCAGCTGGGGTACACGCCCAGCAGCAGTGCGTGCAGCACGATGCCAGCGGACCACACGTCTGCCTTGTGGTTGTACTGCGCCCCCAGAGCCACCTCCGGAGCCATGTAGTGCGGCGACCCTGTCACGTCCGGCCCCATCCACTGCCCCGCCTGCAGCTGCGCTGCCAGCCCAAAGTCAGTGATCTTCACCGTGTCCTCCGCACTGTACTCCCACGTGCCTGCTGCCGCTGCCGCCTCACCCATCTCCAGCCCGGCCGTGGCAGAAGGCCCCACAAGCAGCACATTCTCCAGTTTGATGTCGCGGTGTATGATGCCGCGCGCATGGATGTCCGCCAGGCCCTGCACGATGCCACGGAACATGGCCCTGGCGCTCGCCTCGTCCACGCCCCCACCCGCCTCCACCACGGAGAAGAGGTCGCAGCGGCCCAGCTCGAGCAGCAGGTGCACGCGCTTGGGCTCCTCGTACACGCCGCGCAGGGACACCACGTTGGGCACGTGGGCGAGTGCCGTGAGCAGGTTGATCTCCTGCTGCAGCACCGGGATGCGCCGCTCCGTCTTGCGCAGCGTCTTGCACGCCAGCCACTCCCCCGACGTCCTGTGCTGGCACTTGAACACCTTGCCCCACCGCCCCTCGCCCACGCACCCCCCCACATCAAATATGTCCAGAAAGCGCACGATCCTCACGTTGCCATCGCTGCTCGCACTGCACGCCCCCAACACTGCCTGCGCCTCCCTCTGCCACTCCTGATCCCCTGCTGGATCCCCCTGGCTACCGCCCATGGTGCTTCGGCTGCCAGCGGGCCTTGGCTTGCGGTGCAGTGGCAGTTCAACCTCACTCGAGTCATGAGCAATCCCATCGTCCGGTTCCAGCTCAAGGGTGCTCACTGCTCTCGTGCACTGCACTGCCTCGCCCTGCCTCACACAACCAGCAGCGTCCGCTGCCTGCACCGAGCACGGACCAGCGCTGCTGCCGCCATGTGTGTGGCCACGGGAGCTTGCCTCCACCTCCACCTGGACCCTTTCGTCTGTGAAGCACGCACGCTCCGATACTTCCTTCCCCACCTGCACGCCGCAACACTCCTCACTCCCAGCATGTCCCTGTGCTGCAACTTCCACCCTTTCCGATTGTCCCTCGCCCGTGCTGCCACTCTCAGCGTACAGCAGCAGCTTCTCCAGCGCCTCCGCCTCGTCCCCACTGCGCACGCCCAGCCCCTCGCTGTCCGCCAGGTCGCTCCAGCAGATGCCGTCGCTCACCTCGCCATCGCTTGCCTGCTCGCACACAGGCGACGAGCCCCCCACGCCCTGCGACCCACTGTCTCCTTCACTTGCTCTGCCTGTCGCTCCTTCCCACCCATGATCGCCAGAAACACCCACTGCCATCTCTCCCTCCCCTCCAATCTCAACATGAATCTCACTCAGGCCAATAAATGCGTGTCCTTTCCGTATACTATTCCTTATGTTCTGATCCTCCTCACTGTCATCGTCTTCCTCTTCCAAATCACCTTCCTCCTCTTCTTCGTCTTCCTCCTCTTCCTCCTCTTCCTCCTCTTCCTCTTCTTCCCCTTCTTCCTCTTCCTCTTCGTCCACTTCCTCTTCCTCCTGCTCCTCCTTACATACCCGCCTGCCCTCTCCGCCCTCGTTCTCCGCGTCACTGTCCCACGGCCCTGCGTCTTCGTCCCAGCCCCACCAGCTCCACAAGGGGTTGAAGCACCGCACTGTCTCCCGGCCCCACCCGGGCAGCGCCTTCTCCACCATCTCGAACTCCACGTCTTCGATCAGCGCATCGCCACCGTACACATCCGCATCGTCATCGGCCTCCAGATAGAACCGCGGGGATCTGCCCCCAAAACAGGAGCTGTGGCGCGCGGAACGAGGCAGCAGGGCGGTGGGGTCGCAAGCAGGGAAGTCCACAGCAGAGGCGGCGATAGCAGCAGTCACATCGGCGTGGCTGCCGAACCTCTTGGTGCTCTTCCTTCCCGTCAGCATGCCCAGCCTTGGGCCCTCGTCCTCGTGGAGCTTGCATTCTTCCCGCACGCCTTCCCCACCCACTCTTGGAGAGATGAGGTCAGCATCCCAGCTCGTTCCCGCCTTGAGGGTGTGTCGGCCTATGGCGGTTGTGGGCGGAGGCCTGCCGCGGCCCTCTAGCTTGGTGAGCTCGGCCAGGAACTCGCGCTCCTGGCGCTCCTTGGCTGACTCCGTCGAGTTGTCCACCGTGCTCTGCGTCGACGCCGCACAGCTGCTCGCGTCACCACCGGCCGCGTGATCAGAATCGCACTCATCAGCGGCGCCTGTCCTCCACCGCGATGCGCGGATGCCACACATGCCTCCAATTCGGCTCCACCGCACCCCCCGGCTGCTCAGGCCCAAACAGCTAGGCTGCGTGGCTTCAGTCCCTTCACCTAACGGAGCCCGCGGCATGCAAAGGCATGCGATGTTGCTGGCAGTTACGCCGGGCGTTCCAGGGTCTGTTACCATGAAGTTGTCCAGTGAGCAACCTCGTCGCAGGGGTTGCTTTCCGACGACACTCGGCCACGAGTCAGCAGTCCACGCTGGGCACTGCCCGCCGTGCATCCGCTCCTGTGGCGCTACCCGGGATCTTGAGCCAAACCAGGTCCTCTGCAGTGAATCACGAAAGTCGTGTGAGAACATACTTCAAAGAAAGATTGCATAACCAGAATGATGACGGCACGACTTACTTGACTCGGCGCCCCCGGCTGCTGTTTCCTCGCCCTGTTGAACAGTGACTTAAGCTTGATGGGATATGGCTTTTTGAGTAGTCTCGGAAATGCGAGAGCGCGGACTTTGCTTATCGCAGCCGAATTCTTGAAGCTACGTCCGCTAAAGCGCTGCCTAATACCCCGCCAAGCCAGCACCGCGGACGTCCTGCTCGTTGCGAGAAAGCTCTTACCAGCTTTCTGCAAAGGGTTTCGAATTATCCTCGTGACGGCGGAAACCAGAATCGAAACCGCGGTGAATACCCATTTCACAGCAGTTTTTAGCCTCCGACGCGGTCCTACGAGCCCCATCGCTTGCTTATGCCTAGGAGTATTCATACAAGGTCTAGCATGTTCTCCACGCCATCTCCAAGCATAATAGTAATAAATGTCACTCTCACTCGCATCCATTTCACCGTAGACGGTAATTTCTGAACAGGGGAAACCCCTCTTGTCTCCTACAAAGCTTCCACTCAATCTTGAGCCAAGAGGAAGCTGAAGCAAAGCCAGGAAGCGAAGTGACTGGAATGCAGGGTGGAGCCAATCTCGAGGTGGAGTGTGTGTGAGTCAGAGTGAGCATGCCAGGCTCACCACCAGAGCAGCTTGATGTGGAGCCGAAGCGGGGCTTTCCCAAGAGGGCTTCAGAACATCCCGATTTTCCCGTGCTTCCGCGAATGGCGTGGCATTGATATTGCGTGCACCGCCAAAATGCTAATCTCGTGAGTCAATAATCTAAATAGACGGGTGTCATGCTCCAGGTTGTAGTGTCTGATTGCGGGTTGCAGATTAGTAGAATACGAGCTTTGATATACATTATTATAAATATCCAAAACTGGCACCAGTGAGCAGTAGAAATGTGTGAGGGCTTATGCATTGATACCATAAAGTTAGCATCTCAACCATATGACATCCCATGATTTGAATGAATTATTTTGTTTTTGTAATCGATTTGGCATATTCTGCAAAAACTAAATCAACGGTGTCAACTAGCAAAGCACTAAAATTTCAATTTCAAAGCACTAACATAGATTGTCTATAGCTTATATTTACAAATACCAACAAGCATGGTGAACGAGATGAATTTCAAACATATAAATATTGTTTGCAGCCATAAATGGAATGGAGCTATTTTGTACAGACACCTGTGGAAGTATCTTATACACAATCAGTTAGCCCCACCTTGTGACATTGTAGAACTGTCACTGTTTCTGAACATGCATGCATGGCCACAGCATGGGGCTTGTATCCGCTCTCAATCCAATCAGCAGAGGCCTACACTTTCCCTCGCCTAAAATTCGCCGCATCTGTGATGTTTCTATCGCCAATGCACACAGCCAGTGTATCACCCACCTCAGAAGAAGCTCTTCTCCTCCCGAGCCTCGCCGCTTGCACCATCCTTCCTCCAGCAGCACCCGCATCCGTCCTTCCCCATGACCGTATCTTCCCCTCTGCCCGCCCCGCATAGGCGCGCAGCTGTGCTGCTTCCGCGCCCCTCCATCCGTGCCTCAGGAAGTCGCTCGCTTGCCTTGGGCTCGCAGCTGCTGCAGCCCGTTGCGGCGGTGTGTGCGACCAGGCGTGGGCTGCTGTCGTCGTTTCTACCAGTGCACCACGCCTCGCCTGCCTCTCAGGTGCATGCCACCTCCACTCCCCCCCTCTCCCCCTCATCCCCGTTTCTCCGACCCTGCCTCCCTTCCTCCTTCCGCTCCTCATCCCTCTCCAAGTTAATTGCTTCGCGCCCCGGGGGCTCATTCGCCCTGTTCGGTCCGCTTAATTCACAGCCGGCGTGCGGCGCGCAGCCGGCCGTGTCATTTGTATGTATTAACGGCGTCTTTCGCTCCCCTGAATCCCCTGCTCCCCGCCTCCGTTTGTTCCTCAATCAGCGCGTGCGCGTCGCGCCAGTCCCCGTCGCGGCGTCTCCCGCGGTGACAGCCGCCATGGCCTCCGCGGAGGCCGCCAAGCGGCCGTTCGTGGGCGACCTGGGAGTGCGCAGCGGGTTCGTGGACGCGGTGAGAGGGGCTGGGGGAATGGGGGAGCTGCGCGCATGGCGTGCGTAGTGACGGGGTGCGGGCGTGGCAGCGAGGGAGGTTGTGAGTCGTTGACAGTGTGGGTGGTGGCGGGATGCAAGCATGCGTTAGTGTGAAGGCGTCAGTGTGCGTGCACGGACCCCAATTCTCATTCCCCATGTCGAGGCTGCAGGCTCGCCTGCCATGACGCCAGTGTTCACCTGCTCGCTCTCTTGCTCACGGCTGACTCCCTTGCTCCGCGTGACATGGTGTGTGTGTGCACACCACACGCTGTGGCCCCTGGTGGCAGGTGGGCAACACTCCCCTCATCCGCCTGAACCGTGCATCACAAGAGACCGGCTGCGAGATCTACGGCAAGGTGCGCCCATGCACACCGCACGCTGGCAGGGATGGGGCAAGCTGCCTTTTATGTGGCAAGCTTGCATAGACGTGGCAAGCTGTGGTGTTTCTGGAAGTTGTATGACAAGGCGAGGGAGGCATGCGTGCTGGCGGGCTCTGCCATGGTACGTGCTTAGCCATGATGGACTGCCAATAGGCTATCAGCCCACGCCATGGCGCGTGCTTAGCCTTGTGCAGCCTCCTCACTGCGCGCTTCACTTGCTTCGACCTTCACTGCTCTTCCTTCAATCATCCCGCCCCCCCTGCCCCTTGCCTTCCCCATCCCACGCGTTGTGCGCACCCTTGCTTGAATGCACGTGGCATGTGGTGTGTGGCACGCGGATGGGATGAGCAGGCGGAGTTTCTCAATCCGGGAGGGTCAGTGAAGGACCGGGCAGCACTGTACATTATCAAGGTGAGCGCATGGCTGTGGGTAGGCCATGCCGCCCATGCTGCATGCCCCCTCTTCCTTGCGCCGCTGCTCAATCTCTCACATCTCCCAATCCACTACCCAGTACCCTGTTCCCCACTTGCCATCATGTCGCCATCCCGCCGTGTTGCCCCCCCAAGGCGGCAGAGGCGAGTGGCGAGTTGAGGGAGGGCGGAGTGATCGTGGAGGGCACAGCGGGCAACACGGGCATCGGGCTGGCGCTGGTGGCCAATGCACGCGGGTACAAGACAGTCATCGTCATTCCAGAGACACAGAGCCAGGTGCACACACACACTCACACGTGCATTTGTGCAGCAATGTCATGTTCCTTCTTCAGTCATTGCCCTCACTCATTATGGTTTGTGTGTGTGTGTGTGTGTACGCGCGCATGTGTGTGTGTGTGTGTGTGTGTGTGTGTGTGTGTGTGTGTGCATGTATGTGTGTGTGTGCGCGCATGTGTCTGTGCGCATGTGTGTGTGTGTGTGTGTGCATGCATGTGAGCACGGTGCAAGAGCAGGAGAAGAAGGACATGCTGCGCATTGCAGGAGCCACGCTGGTTGAGGTGCGTGTCACCATGCACCTCCCCATGCTCCACCTCCCTCAATCGCCACTCGTCCGACCAAACTATCGCCCATCGCAACCACAACCCCTCTCTCGTTTCTCCGCCCTCCGCCTTCACCTTTCCACTGCTATTTCCTGTGCGCTGCCATGCCTCTCTGCGTGCATGGCGTGCATGCATGCATGGGGGTGGGCGTGCAGGTGCCAGCAGTGCCATACAAGAACCCCAACAACTACGTCAAGTACTCGGGCAGGCTCGCTCAAGCCATTGCCAAGGTCACCTCCCGCTCCCGCACACCTCCTGCACCACGTGTCGTTGCTTCTCTGCCCTTGCATCCCACCGTTGTCGCAGTGCACACCGTGCCTTGCACCAACAGCTCCCTCTCTCCCAACTTGCTCTCACCCTCTTTTTCTCCCGTTTTTCCTGCTCCGTGCGCCCTGCCCTCTGCCGATCCTCGGTGCTGCAGACCCATCCAGGCGGGGCCATATGGGGCAACCAGGTGAGCGCTATCAGTGGAACGGACGAGGTTGGGGGGAAGCACGTGATGTGTGCGATTGCGTGGGTGGGCTGTCTGCTCACTGCATCCCCTGCTGTGTCAATGGCCACCTCTCACCGCTGTTGCTATGCACCATGCCCCATTTCGCTCCCCGTTCCGCTCATCTCTCCTTTGTCCATGTTCCAGCCCCTGTATTATAACCTGGTGTTCTTTTTCTTCGTTGTTAAATCCCCACCTTTCCCCTGTCTTGCTCGTTCGCATGCTCTTGTATCCCCCTCCCATGTGTCGCCCTTCAGTTTGATAACACAGCCAATCGCCAGGCCCACTATGAGACAACGGGTGAGTCACGTCACGTCTCTCCCAGGCCCCTGTGTGCTGCGAGTGTCCTCGCACATCCCTTCGCGCTCGTGTCTCCATCCCCTGCGCGCTCCTCACGAGCACTTCCTCCCTCTGTGTGCGTGTGGCCCTGTGTGCGTGTGGCCCTGTGTGCGTGTGGCCCTGTGTGCGTGTGGCCCTGTGTGCGTGTGGCCCTGTGAGTGTGTGGCGCTGTGAGTGTGTGGCGCTGTGAGTGTGTGGCGCTGTGAGTGTGTGGCGCTGTGAGTGTGTGGCGCTGTGAGTGTGTGGCGCTGTGAGTGTGTGGCGCTGTGAGTTTGTGGCGCTGTGAGTGTGTGGCGCTGTGAGTGTGTGGCGCTGTGAGTGTGTGGCGCTGTGAGTGTGTGGCGCTGTGAGTGTGTGGCGCTGTGAGTGTGTGGCGCTGTGAGTGTGTGGCGCTGTGAGTGTGTGGCGCTGTGAGTGTGTGGCGCTGTGAGTGTGTGGCGCTGTGAGTGTGTGGCGCTGTGAGTGTGTGGCGCGGTGAGTGCAGGGCCGGAGATCTGGGCGCAGACGGAGGGGCGAGTGGACGCGTTCATCTGCGCCATTGGCACGGGCGGCACCCTCGCTGGCACCGGCAAGGTGGGCAGTGCGCTTGAAGGGAGGGTGGCAGGAGGACCAGAGTGGGAGGTTGGCCGAGACAGGGATGGCATTGGTGGATGAGTGAGTCGATTCGTTTCTGTGGCTCGGGAAGCATTTGAAAGTCACGCAGCAATGTTGGCATGATCGGAGCCCCTGAGCCCTGTCGCCCTGCACCCTTACACGTCCTCGTGTCTCGCACTCTCTCAAGCCCAGTCCGCTCTTACCCCCAACGTTTCTGCCTGCCCTTTACCACCCACCCCCCTCCCCCCTCTCCCCCCCCCCCCCCTTGGTGGGCGCAGTACCTGAAGGAGCGCAAGGCGGGTGTGCGGGTGGGCATGGTGGACCCTATGGGCGCCGCCATGTTCAGCTACTACAGCACCGGCACGCTTGAGGCCCACGGCTCCTCCGTGAGACGCCACCTTGGGAATGGGCGCAGGGGGATGACTGGGGAAGGGGGATGAGAGGAGAAGGGTAATGTTGGGAACAGGGGAAGGCGGAAAGAGGGCGAATCGGGAAGGGTGGATGGGTTGGGTGGACTATAATGCCTGGGGCTGGAGTGGTAGCTGCGCCCTTTCCACCACTGTGCTCAGCAGTCCCCACCTCTGCTCTCACCACTGGCCCCTGCTGCCGCTGTGTGCTGTGGATGGTGTGCAGATATCAGAGGGCATAGGGCAGGGGCGCATCACAGGCAACCTGCAGGGGTGGGGGCTTCCGGAGAGAGAAGGGGGATGCGTTGACTTCTGCTGCCAGGTAACTGCTCTCACTCCCCCCACCCACACTCTCCCTCGCCTCTCTTTTCCCTCTCAGCGCTGCTCGCTGCTGCCGTACCTCCCGCATGTACTCTGTGTGCCACAGCACCTTCCCTGCTGCTGTGTCACCCCCCCGTGTGGGGCAGGTGGAGGACGCGGAGGCGCTGCCAGTGGTGTACGACCTGCTGCGCTACGAGGGGCTGTGTGTGGGGCTGTCATCGGGCATCAACGTGGCGGGCGCCATGCGCCTGGCGCGCGCCATGGGGCCGGGCCACACCATCGTGACGGTGCTGTGTGACCTGGGCACGCGCTACCAGGGCCGCCTCTTCAACCCGCCCTTCCTCACCGCCAAGGGGCTGCCCCTCCCCGCCTGGATGGACAGCGATGCCCAACCTGCTGTGGCCGTGCCTCAGGTGTTCCAAGAGGTGGAGGCGTGACGCGCACATATGGTGTGGTAGGGAGAGCAGCAGGGCAGGGAGAGCAGGGACAGAAAAAGCTGGGAGGGGTGGTGCGGTGCAGAGGGGAGTGATGAATGGAGGGAGGGAAGAGTGGAGTTGGGAGTGAGTAGAAGAGTGCTGCTAAGTGGCATGCAGGTGTATCCACACCATGCTGCCTTTGGCCCCCTTGTTGCACATTAGTGTCAATGCATCCTAAAAATGGCATGTGTTTCTTCCAGCAACCCTGCCTTGCAGGCTTGGCCTGCCATCGCAGCAGCTATGCATAGGCAGGCTGTCAGTCGCAAGCAACAACAAACATTCCTCTGGCTAGCCTCAGGAAACCACACAGATGCCCTGACAACACATGCTCTACCAGCCTACAAGAAATGTTTAATTTCACACAACAATACATGTCAAAAACCACCACTTCGAATCTATAGCTGCCTAAAACACAGTCAAGTGCATGCACAAAGCTTGGGTGCCTTAGACAAACAGCGCCAGTGACAATGGCCGTGGGCATGGCTTCTCCACGCAAGCATGCGGGCCACCATCAGAGGTGCACGCAACACATGTGTCCAACCGATCCCAAGGAGGAGTGATGAGGGTTGCCAGCAGCAGTGCGCACACAAGAGGTGCCAACCAACAAGCCCCACACCACCGTGTGCGTACATCATGCAGCACCGCCCTGCTTGCCCCTGCCTAGGATCTTGGCCACCCAGCTGCCCGAGTCACCCATGCGCCGGCCGTCACTGGAGGCCTCCTGCGACCGGCTCAGGTTGATGGCCGACCCCCCCGTGTGGCGCTGCTCCAGCAGCGGCACCGCCGGCAGCTCCCCCACGGCCGCCTTGCTCTGCACCTCTGCCGTGCGCTCACTGTCACTGCGCAGCCCCTCCATCTCCACTGTTGCCCGCGCCTCCATCAGTGCTGCTGCCGCCGCTGCGAGAGCAGTGCTGGCGTGTGCCATGCGCCACGTGGCCACGTCCACCTCGTTGGCGGGGTTCACATTGCACGCACACAGCACCTCCCGTGACCACCCACCCGCCCATGCTGCATCACCCACTGCTGCATCATCATAAGTCGCCATACCTTGTGCAGGCGCACCAGCGCTTGACGCCCTCTCCTCATTCACTGCCTGCAATCCATCAATGCCTCCAGGAGCAGCGTCAGGAGTGGCAGGAGCGGAGAGCGTGGCGAGGTAAGTCTTCTTGACGGCGTGCAGCGCCTTCACCACCTCCACCATCTCGGGGCGCCTCGTGGCGGGCTGCTGCACGCAGTGCGCTGCGATCTGAGCCATGGAGAGCAGTGCGGGCAGGTTGAGTGGCGTGGCAACGCGTGTGTCAACGATGAGGTGGATGTGGCGCGAGGCCACAAAGGGCAGCACCACCGTGGTTATGTGCACCAGGCGGTCCTTGTCATCTGGATCCCTCTCCATCGCCTCCCTGCCTGTCACCAGCTCCAGCAGTAGCACTCCAAAACTGACCACGCACACACCAACCCAATGAGCCGTGGGGAGGAGAGCACAATGGGAAGGGGTTTGTAGAATCACAACGAGAGTCCAAGTGACATGTGCGAGTGAGAGCAGTGGGTTGCGAGTGAAAAGAACGAGTGTGGCAGGGACACAAAATATAGTTGAGGGACACAAGGCACGAATGCAGCGGCAGAGAGCGCAGCGGCAGACATCACTGAGGTACCTGTAGACATCGCTGCGAGTGGTGAGCATTTCGAGCGTCATGTAGTCGGGATCCATGTAGCCCCGTGTGCCCGCCACCTTGGTGAACGTGCCCATCTCCTCCTTGCCCACCTCCCTCAGCAACCCAAAGTCCGCTATCTTCACCTGCACGCACGGCCACCCACACCCACACCCATGCCCACGCCCACGCCCATGCCCACGCCCACGCCCACGCCCACGCCCATGCCCATGCACATGCACACGCACACACACATGCACATGCACACACACACACACACACACACACACACACACACACACACACACACGCACACGCACATGCACACGCACATGCACATGCAAACGCACACACACACACACACACACACACACACACACACGCACATGCACACGCACACGCACACGCACACGCACATGCACATGCACATGCACATGCAAACGCACATGCACAAGTGTGGGTGAGTGGAATGTGGGAGGAATGAGGAGGAGGTGACTCGTGGAATATTGAGACAGAGAATTGCTCGCCCCCTGAATGAGTGGCGCCCTGTGGGGGCTGGCCTTGGAAGCACGGCGCTGACGGGCATGGCCCAGGTGGCAGGAGTGGCAGTGGGGCGGGTACGTACCTGGTAGTCATCAGTGAGCAGCACGTTGGAGGGCTTGATGTCACGGTGCACGGTGGGGCGCTCCGTGTGGTTGTGCAGGTACACCAGCCCCTCCGCTAGGCCTATTGCCGCCTCCACCCGCTGCTCAAACGACAGCAGCTGCCCTGCTGCCACCCACCCACACACTCGCACGCCCACCGCATCACATCACACAGGGGGATAGGTCATGCGGCATGCACAGTGGTGCAGTGGGACGTGGAGGAACAAGGTACAAGGCAGGCACGACATGAGCAGCTGAGCAAGCGAGGGCAGGATGCGGTGAGGGGAGGAGAAAATCCGAGATGAAGCAGATGCAGATGAGGCGAGGGGAGGATGCGCGACGGAGGGCTTGCCTTTGATGGTGCCGTAGAGGTGGTCGGAGAGGGGACCATTGGGCACGTACTCGTACACGAGCACCTGCTCCATGTGGTCGTTGCAGTAGCCCAGCAGCCGCACCAGGTTCTTGTGGTACAGCCGCGACACCGCCTTCACCTGCACCGCCCCACAGCCCCCCACACGCCCACGGGCATTCACACGTCGTGGAGGCGGAAAGCGGCAACAGGAGACAGGCGAAACGTGAGCAAGGGAAACGAGGGTGCAGAGCAAGGGAGAGAGTATGGAGTGCATGTGAGGGGGAGTGGCACCTCCTCCTCGAACATGGTGGCTATCTTGGAGGAGCGCTCCACAAAGGCCGCATGCTTGACGGCGATGAGCTGGTCCGGTGCATCCCCCTGCCCCAGGTACACGGTGCCAAATCCCCCCTTGCCCAGCTTCCTGGCGTCGCTGAAGCTGTCCGTGGCGTCCATGATCTCCCTCCACGTGTACTTGCGGAAGCCCCGGTCCAACTCCCGCTCCCATGCTGCCACGCCCCCCACATGCACGCACGCGTACACGCACACCCACACCCACACACACGCACACACGCACACACGCATACACGCACACCCACACACACGCACACACGCATACACGCACACCCACACACACGCACACACGCACACACGCATACACGCACACCCACACACACGCACACACGCACACACGCATACACGCACACCCACACACACGCACACACGCACACACGCATACACGCACACCCACACACACGCACACACGCACACACGCATACACGCACACCCACACACACGCACACACGCACACACGCATACACGCACACCCACACACACGCACACACGCACACACGCATACACGCACACCCACACACACGCACACACGCACACACGCATACACCCACACCCACACACACGCACACACGCACACACGCATACACGCACACCCACACACACGCACACACGCACACACGCATACACGCACACCCACACACACGCACACACGCACACAGGCACACAGGCACACAGGCACACACGCACACAAAAGCACACCCAGGACAGGAACAACACGAAAGAAAGGCTTGGGGTTGCATGCCAACAATGCTTGAGTGGCTGGGCAAAAGAGAGGAACGAGTTGTGATGAAGTCAGAGGAAAACATCGGTTTATTTAGCACAAGAAGAAGGTATACACAGTAGTGGGAAGAAAGGGAGAAGTTGGTTGGGTTTGTGGCCAAGATTATTGGACCCCACCAAAAAGGTGGGTTTGGAATAATTGGGGGTTTCCAGTGGACTCCAGTATCTCCCAACCCAACCTTGGAGATACGAATATTTGAGCAGAGGTTGGGATGTCAACCCGAACTAGGGTAAAAAGTTGTTGTACACCCAAACTAAGTTTGAATGCCTGACTATATTCAACATCATAGCATATATGCAAGACACACCAAGAAGATGATAATCCGAGACGAGTGAGTGAGAGGAGGGATATGGGGGGAAGCAGTGAGCAGCACTGACCCTGAATGTGGCCTGGGCCGAATCTGTAGTACCATATGTAGAGCGCGAGAGCCAGCAGTGCCAGCAGCGCCACAGAGCACCCCACAGCAATTCCTGCTATCACTGCCGGCGACATGCCTGCACGGGGAGTAGGCAGAACACACAGTCAGGCAAGGGAGGCATGGCAGGGGCGAGACAAGCACAAGGCAGATGTGCGGAGAAGGGGGTGGAGCAGACTAGGAGGGGTAAGGCGCGCGTACCTGGAGCACAGGCGGAGCAGTACTGGGGGCAGAAGTTGACGCAGAAGGGCAGGTCCTGGATGGGGCTGCCCGTGGGACAGCACAAGTCGGGGGACGGGCAGGCGAACTGCAGGCGCGACGCCGCACTGGCAGGGGCGCACAGAGGGGCGTGGGCAGGGCACGGGGGGCAGTGGCAGGCGTGCAGGGTTGAGAAGAAGCACGCCTGCAATGGAGCGTGCACGGATGGGGTGAGGGCGGATCATAGTGCACGAACAAGGGCACTTGCGCGACTAGGGGAGGCGACGAGACGCGAACAAGGGAAGGGACGGGACCGGGAGAGGAGAAGAGGCAGTGGCGGTGGGTGCAGCGAGGGGCGCACATGGTTCCCAGGGAGATGATGTTGGCCCAGCACGCAGGCAGTGTGCCGTTGAGCTTGGGGTTGCCAATGAGCGAGCTGCAATACAAGGGGGGAAGGCGCACAGCACAAGGGCACGGTGGCAGTCCATGGGATGCACAGTGATGCTGTGCCTGGCAGCAGTGTGAGCAGTGCAGCGGGGTGTGCACAAATGTGTGAGGCATAAGCACAGTGCGGGCACACATGGTGCGGTGTACATGCGGTGTAGTGCGTGTGTGGGTACGACTGACATCTCAATGAGGTTGGTGAGGTTCCCCAGTGACTCAGGCACCGCCCCAGACAGATCGTTGTTGCGGAAGTGCCTGAGGGCACGCCACACACACAGCAGCACAGTGGCACAAATAGCAGCACATGGCTTGGGGAACGATGATTGAGGTGTTACTTGGCATAAACCAACTCTGCTTCCTCACTCTCTTCGTCTCCCCCCCTTTTTCCCCTCACGCGCCCCTTGACCCTGCCTCCCTCAGGGCGCCGTGGGTGTGCCCAGGGCGGCACGTACAGGTACTGCATGCGCGTGAGCAGCCCCAGCCACGTGGGCAGCGCGCCGTACAGCTGCATGTCCCTCAGGTCCCTGCGCCCCAGGGGAGTGCGCGGGGGGAACACGGGCACAAGGTGAGGGCGGGAGAGCAGAGAGCAGCATGTGAGGAGGCGAAGATGGTACATATGGCACGGAGTGTGGGCACACCTGAATGGCCGCACAAAAGGAGGTGGGCGGCGAATGAGGGCAAGCGAGGGGCAGAGCAGAGGGTGGTGAGGCGGGGCAAGCAGTGGTCATACAGGTGGGTGAGGTTGCGCAGCTGGCTGTAGCTCTGAGGCAGCGTGCCGTGCAGCTTGTTGGAATATATCTTCCTGATGCCCTCACACATGTGCGAGGGGTGATAGCAGAGAGAGAGAGGAACAGACTCAGGGAGGAACAGAGTGAGGGTGCAAGAACATTGAAGGCGCTGGCATGTTCCCATACTAACTGGTGCAGGTGGCATCCACGATTGCCTCCTTCACTGCGTGCATGTGCCAGGGTCGATAGCGATCGTGGTGGTGCATGCACTGGGCATAGGAGAGCGGGTCATGGGTGCATTGATGCATCAAGGCATCCGGCTGATTGCACGGGAGCATGAATGCATGGGAGCATGGGAGGGCGGGTTACAGGAACGCGAGTTGAGTCATGTCCCCAAGAAACGCAGGGAAGGGTCCCGTGAACGAGTTGTTGCTGGCGTAGCTGTGCGGGCGGGAGGGAGGGAGAGAGAGCGAGATTGAGTATGTGAGTGAGTGCGTGTGTGTGTGTGAGAGAGTGAGAGAGAGAATGCACTCCCTCTAGTATCTTGCTTGTTTGTTCATTTGCACTGACCTCCGTATTAGCACAGATTGCAGTCCGACAGAGATGTGAACGAAGGAGCAGCGCAGGCAGTGACAGGTGGCAGCAATTACCAACTCACTACCGATGACATGGCAGTGTTCAGCTCTGCACCAGCAGTGTGAGTGTCGATTGATTCCGTACGCACAAAGATACTGACAGCCTTGTTGCGGTCCATACAATCATTCAGAACCTCAGAACCATAACACCCAATACAACCACAGTGGACACAGTGACACGGCAGTAATGCTTGCTGCATGCAGCAGCGGCATGAGCCGGGGCGTGGGCATTGCAAGGGAACAAGACGGGTGGGGGGAGGGGTGGCGGGTGGGGGGAGGGGTGGCGGGTGGTGGGAGGGGTGGCGGGTGGGGGGAGGGGTGGCGGGTGGGGGGAGGGGTGGCGGGTGGTGGGAGGGATGGCGGGTGGGGGGAGGGGTGGCGGGTGGGGGGAGGGGTGGCGGGTGGAGGGAGGGGTGGCGGGTGGGTACATCATGGTGAGGTTGGTGAGGGCGGTGATGAGCGATGGGAAGGGCCCTGAGAAGCTGTTCTTGTGCATCTGCCTGCATGGGGCAGGGGGGCAGCGGGGAGCAGGGGGGCAGTGGAGAGAGGAGAGAAGGAAATGAGGTTGAAGGAGAGACGGTTGTGAAGTGAGGTGCATGGGGTACACATGCACGGCACGGTGGGTGTTGTGCCATGCACAAGGGGCACGCAGTGCTCATCCACCATCCCACCAGCACGACACATGGGTGCAGTGGGAGGTGCATGGGTGCAGTAGGAGGTGCATGGGTGCAGTGTGAGGTGCATGGGTGCAGTGTAAGGGAGGTGGGGACCGTACAGCTCATGGAGGGAGGAGAGCAGGCTGAGGGTAGCCGGGGGGGAGCCGTTGAACTTGTTGTTGCTCACCTGACTGCCCAGGGAGGGAGGAGGACGAACATGAGACACACCGAATGAAAGTACTAAAAGATAGAGGGCGCACAGGTCACACAGGTGGCAGGGAGGGAGAAGGATGTAAAAGAGACAGCGGCATGCATGGCATGGCGATGAGAGGAGAGGATGCAACGGACAGTGTGAGGAGGTTGGTGAGCGCGCCCACTTGGGAGGGCAGGGTGCCGGACAGCTGGTTGCCGTCCATGTAGCTGCATGCAGAGGCGCGGGCAGGAGAGTGAGTGGACGGAGGAAACAAGGATATCAAGTCACACATGCTGACAGAGGAGGTGACAACGCGGTAGAGAGACTCAGGAGCGCAGTCATGGACCAGCGGCCATGCGATGACCCATGGGTAGACATGAAGAGACGGAGGAAGAAGACGAGGAGGATGCGGAGGAAGAGGAGGGGGAGGAGGAGGAGGAGGAGGAGGAGGAGGAGGAGGAGGAGGAGGAGGAGGAGGAGGAGGAGGAGGAGGAGGAGGAGGAGGAGGAGGAGGAGGAAGTTGAGGAGAATTACAGAGAGGTATTGCACGAGGAGAGAGGGATTGAAATAACCAAGAGAGGTGACGAGATAGGTAAGAATGTTACAGGTTGCTGAGTCTGGTGAGGGAGAAGAGCGAGCCAGGCAAGGAGCCATTGAAGACATTGCGCTGCACATCTCTGTGTGCACCCACGCCCCATGCACACGTGCCCATGCACACACACATGCACACACACATGCACACACACATGCACACACACATGCACACACACATGCACACACACATGCACACACACATGCACACACACATGCACACACACATGCACACACACATGCACATGCACACACACATGCACATGCACACACACATGCACACACACATGCACACACACATGCACATGGACACACGCATGCACACACACATGCACATGCACATGCACACACACATGCACATGCACACACGCACATACACATGCACATTCACACACGCCTATGCACACACGCCCGTGCACACATGCAAGGACAGTCGCCGTAGGGAGGATGAATGGCAGCATTAAAGGCAGGTGCGGTGCAGAACCATGGTGTGTACTGAAGGAGATACGGGGCAGGAGAACGGATGAAGTAAGTCCAGGTGGGAATAGGAAGTGAGGAATAGGCATGTCTGTGTGCGCGTCTGTGTGCTGTGCGAATATGTGTGCATGGTTGCGTATGCGTATGGTTTTTGTATGTGTATGTGTACGTGTATGTGTGTATGAGTCTGCGTGTGTGTGCATATGTGAGTGTGTGTGTGCATGTGAGTGTGTGCATGTGAGTGTGTGCATGTGAGTGTGTGCATGTGAGTGTGTGCATGTGAGTGTGTGAATGTGAGTAAGTGTGGGCACATGTCACCACGGACAATTGAGAAAGGCTGGAGAGGCCGGAGAGGGCGTCGGGCAGGGATCCATTGAAGGCGTTGCTCTTCAGCACCCTGCAGCGCAGCAGCACGCATGGCAGTGCACAGTGGTGGACGTGGTGGGGTCCATGGCCGCGGGGCAAGAGGGTGGACCATGGGCACAGTGCTGCAAGAGGGGAAGCAGGTGCGGTGTAGGAGGGATGTTGTGTGGGAGCATGCAGTTGACAGGGTCCAGGTGCAAGAGAGGTGTGCGGGCTCACAGCGATTGCAATCTGGCAAGGTTGCTGATGCTAGAAGGAATGGTGTTATTAAAGCTGTTGTAGCTCAGGTCCCTGCACCATGCACCATGCACCATGCACCATGCACCATGCACCATGCACCATGCACCATGCAACATGCAACATGCACCATGCACCATGCACCATGCACCATGCACCATTCACCATGCACCATGCACCATGCACCATGCAACATGCACCATGCATCATGCACCATGCACCACGCACCATGCACCATGCAGCATACAGGATGCAACACGGCCAAAACACAGCAATGGGCGAGGAGAAGCGTGCAGTGATGGGAATGCGTGCACACATCAAATGAAGCAGCAGCATGGGAGGAAGTGCTGGGGTGAAACACGGCTGGTTGCAGGAGAGAAGTGCTGGGAGGACGCAGTGCGCATGGTGGGTTGTGAGAGCAGCTAGTGTGCACTGACAGGAGAGTGAGTGCTGTGAGGTCGCCTATCTCCACAGGCAGCGGCCCTGACAGGTTTGTCCTGGTCAGTGACCTGCACGCCACAACACACACCAACACAGCACGGCAGCATGGCGCGACACAATGGAAAGAGCCTTGGCGTCTTATTTGCAAACGTTGGTATGAGGTAGGTGGGGAGCACCCTGTGGTGCACGTACTGTCACGGGTGGCCTGATTGACAGAGTCATGCATGGAGCGACCAACGACTCACGCGCTGCGTGGGGGGTTCCAAGCGCGGTGCGGCGTGCAGCGGTGGGGATGCGTGCATGCACGCATGATGAGGGCAGCGCAAGGGGCTGTCACTGAATCAGATGACGCAGCGACAGGGAGGACGAGGTGGGATGAAACATGGTTGGCCGGCAGTGCGAGATGGTGGAGAGGAAGCAGCTGGTGACTTGAGAGTAAAAGAAGTGTGCACTGACAGGAGAGTGAGTGCTGTGAGGACGCCTATCTCCGCAGGCAGCGGCCCCAATGACATGTTTGTCCTGTTCAGTGACCTGCACACCACAACACACACCAATCAACACAGCATGGCAGCACGGCAGCATGGCAGCGACACAATGAAAAGAGCCTTGCAGTGACATGGGCACACAGGGCACGAGGTGCGGAGCAACCTATGCTGCACGTACTGTCACGGGTGCTCTCCAGAGTCATGAGTGGAGTGTGCAACGGAGTCACGCTTTGAAGCAGTGCGTGGGGCCATCCAACTGCCTATTGTCGCTCGCTACAGAACGCAAGGATGGGAGCGCGATATGCACGACGGAGGGCGTTGAGGAGCTGAGAGGGAGGGGGCGGGCGGGGCTCACAGGGCGGTGACGGAGCCGTCCTGGCATGTGATACCGGTGGCCCCTCCTGCCACGCCACACACATCGTCCACCTGCCACGACGCCAGCGCCGCACCTGCCTGCCACTGCGCCGCCATGCTCCTCAGAGCTGTCACCCAGCCACGCACGCCCACGGCAAGGGGAAACACGCGCGGCTAAGGGCGCGAGTGGGCGATAACAAGCGGCAGAGGGCAGGGCGTTGTTGAGGGACGAGCAGCACTGCGTAACGGCACTCACCGTGCACATACCGTGCCGCTCTCCCGTGCCCTGTGCGCCTACCTTGCGTTTCATTCGTAACGGCGCTGGCGCATGGAACCGTCAGGCTGGCGGCCGTAGCCAGTGCGAGCGCCAACACTCGCAGCATCGCGCTCTCGCACCTCGCGTCCCGCCGCGCGGCCATAAACGAAGAGAATAACAGAAAACTAAATATAAGTGTTCCCAGGGAGCCAAGGGGCCGAAGTTGCGTTGTGGTTGCTCATGATGGCAAAGACAACATCCAGCTCTACAATCTAGGTTTTGTCTAGCATGCAAACGATGTCCTAGTAGTAGCCCCAACTCTGTATGGGAGCCATACCACTCTCCCAGGTTTCATCAAAAGCTTGTGGTGTAAAGATTACAAATTTGAGTTCTTACAAAAACAAACAGAAAAGCGTTCCAAAACGCAACATGACAATCTGGAATGAAATGTGATACCAACGAAGGGGACACACGAAGTGCGTCTCTCCAGCTTGAAGGGCAGGGCTTGGCGGGTGTAAGGCAAATTTCAGCGGGAGTGGGGTGTCACTTCACATGACTCGAATACCTCGCCGAATTTAGAAGCGGGAGCAGCGCTGGTCGCTCACTGGCCTTGGCTATTGTTCATCCAGTGGCGACGCCACGCTCCCTGCCGCAACGTTTGTCGGCCAATCGTCACTCGCTGCAAGTTGCCAGTATCACAGCCGTGCAGTGCACTGTATAGACTGCGGTCGTTTGCGACTCCCGCCACCTGCACTGCATGGATGCCTTCGCACGCGTCCCCCTACCCTGCGCCTGCTCCCTTTCGCCCAACTCTGCCGCCTCCGACTCGCCCATTTCACTGCCCCCGCCGCGCCTGCACGAACCCCTCGCATGCACGGGCTGCGGGCCTCTCTGCGCGCGCCTGTCTCTGGCGCCCCTCCTCTTTGCGCCCTCGCGCGTGCCGCCTCTTCCGCCCACGCGTCAGTGCCTGCGCTGCGTCCGCAGAATAGCGCCCCTCACCGCCTTTCCCTCCCGCGCGAACGTCCCGCGCACACCACGATCGCGCGCCGTCCGACTCCCGCCCAGTCGCAATTCGGAAGCTTCCGCCTGCATCGTCCACACCTCCGTTCGCGTCCGCAGCGGCGGGCAGGGGCGGTGTGCTCGTCGGCAGAGGAGCCGTTGCGCGGCGGACCAGGGGGCACTGCGGCGAGATCGTGAGGAGGGACGGAGATGCGGCGGGGGGCGACAGCTTTGAGCGCGCGGGGAGAGAATTGGACAGGCGGGCGCGGGGCGCGAGAGCCCGTTCCGGCGGCATTAGGCGGAGGCGGAGCGCCTATCCGGGGACATGCGCCCGTGGGCAAAAGACGGGAAGGGGCGCGGGGACGGTGGCGAGGGGAGACGAGGCGAGGGCGGTGGCAGTAGCGGCAGCGACGCGGAGGGGGAGGAGGGAGGCATGGGCGGCAGAAGCAGGGCGCGCAGCAGCAGGGCGGAGAGGCGGGGCGCAGCAGCAAGACCTCGCATCCTTCTTCCGCACCCAGCGGACGGGCATAGCGCGCAGGGGCAAGGGCGCAAGCACCAGCCTGTGCGCGTTGACCTCAGCAACAACCAACCCCCAGTTCCCTGGTGCCACCCCTTCTGGTTCCCTGGTGCCACCCCTTCTGGTTCCCTGGTGCCACCCCTTCTGGTTCCCTGGTGCCACCCCTTCTGGTGACCCCGCTGCTGGAAGCGCAGGGAGCGCGAGCGTGGCGCAGCTGCGGCTGGGAGGCAACGAGCTGGCAGGGTCCATCCCTGACAGCCTCTCCACACTCACACATCTCCTCCCTCTCAATCTCTCCACCAACCATCTGTCTGGCTCACTGCCCTCGGGCTTGGCGAGCCTGCAGCAGCTGTCTGTGCTGGACGCTTCTTGGAACTCCCTCACCGGCTCCTTCCTTCCGCCCTCTCGTCTTCCCTCCCCTCCCTGAACCTCTCCTCCAACTTGCTCTCTGGTCCAATCCCCGCCGGCACACTTTCCGCCCTCCCCGTGGCTTCCTATGCCAATAACTCCGCTCTCTGTGGCCTTCCCACCAACGTCTCCTGCTCCCTGCCTCCGCCCTCCTCCCCCCCTCCGGGAAATTCAGATGGTTTGCCAGCGGCTGCAGTGGCAGGCATTGTGGCAGCGAGTGTGTGTGCGCTTGCCGTGGTGGCAGCAGCACTGTGTGTAGTGGGGTGGAGGGGGGAGGTGGAGAGGAGGAGGAGGCTGAACGGGTACTTGTTGATGGTGAAGCAGGCGCCAGTGAGAGTGACGGTGGAGGGGGTGGTGGAGGGCACCAAGAGCTTCAGTGACTCCATGCTGCTGGGGAAGGGCGGCCTTGGCAGCACTTACAAGCAATCCTGGGGGTCTACACCTCCTTACGGCTTGAGTGTGCTGCCACCTGGCTATGATTGCAAGCACAGCATGCAGGTTCTTCCCACGTGATCGTTGCACTACCATGCATGCTACTCTTTCCCGCATCACATCCTCCCTTCACTCTTGTCCCCCGTCCATGTGCCTCCCCCCCCTGTGTGCGGCACCAGGTGCAATGTGCTCGGCTCGCAGTGCATGCTGGCCATCAAGAGGCTCCATGCTTCGTTTCTGCCTCTCCCTCTACCACAGCCATGGGCAAGGGGAGCAACAAGGGCATGGGGCCAAGGGGGTTTCAGGGGAGGAGGCGAGGGAGGCAGCGGAGCAGCTAGCAAACAAGGAGGTGCAGGCGGAGGTGCGCATGCTGGGACAACAGCACTGCAAATGAGCGTGCAACAGCAGCCAAGGCCATGTCAGGCAGCTCCATTGCTTCCATCCGCTCTGCTCCTTCCACCACTGCCCTCTTACGCTTTTCCCAAACCTCCAAGCCTGCGCAGCCTTCCTTGGCCTCTGCCTCCTCCGCCCCTCATCTGCTTCACCGTGAGCCTTCCAAGCTTGACCCTCTCTCCTCTCCAGCAACTTCTCATCCACCCCCGTCTTCTTCACCCAAGCATCTGCATCCTCACTGCCATCATCGAACCCCTCCTCCGCCACTCTTTCCTCTGCATCCCTGCCTGCTGCCCAACACACATTCACGATGTTCAGGCGGCACACATGTCCGCGGCCGTGCTGGGCAAGTATGGCGCTGGAGTATGCGCAGCGTGGGAGGGTGACCACAGCCGCAGATGTGTTTGCATTGGGGATGGTGCTGCTGCAGCTGGTGTCGGGGCGATGGCCGTACGACGAGGAGGTGGAGGACAGGGGGCTGGCCAGGTGGCCGGGCGGCCACGTCTGTGTGTGCCGTGCTGGACCTGCTGCTGGGGCCGTCCATGCTGGATGCGTGGACGTAACTCAAGAGTCTGCATGGCATGGTGGCGCACATGCAAGGCCACGGTGGGGACGGCCTGGATCTGTCCCTAGAGCAGCAAGGCATGGCGTGGGTTGCTGGGGGTGCTGGATCAGGGTCAACTTGTGTACTGCCTGGGAGCAGAGCAGATGAGGAGGACAAGGGTAAGGTTGGGAGCTGCTGTGGGGCTGGAAAGGCATAGCTAGTGCAGCGAGATAAGGGTCTAGCATAATTCCTGTACTGGGTTGGTTGTAGACAGCGGTGGAAGGAAGATACCGTAGACTTGTACCACATGATCACATTGCACTACAAGTCAGCATAGGACCAATGTCAATTCCCCTAAAACTGTTTTATACAGGGTAGTGTGGTATTTTTCCAATAAGTCGCAAACCTTCCCTTCCAATACTTTTTTTGAAAGGACGTTTGTGAAAGTGGCTTCATCACAAGTGGTGCTCTAGTTAGATTTGCTTCCTGGGATACCCGTCATTCGTAGAGTGCACCTGGCAAACGATGCGCATGCCTAACATGTCTCGCAGTGAGTGCACTGCACAACTCCACCAGTCCGCTACGCTACGCTATGCAGAGGCACTTGGGCACACCCGCTGCTACACGAGTCCTCAGGCGTCCGCATGGCAGTCTGGTCTGTCGGATGGCAGTCTGTCGCTGGTGACCAGGCAATGGAAGTGACCGGGGGGAGGGGAGGTGGGGGGAAGAGCGGCAGGGACAAGAGCGAAACAGGGCCAGGCGTGCTACACAAATCACCTGGAAAGGGGACAGGTTCTGTTGGGGTTGGGAGGGAAAAGTGGGGAGGGGGTGGGTTTTGTGCGAGAACTTGCCCAACAGTCCAACATGCTGCTCTCACGCGGTCGCTAATCACTGGCGTTTGGTCACAGAGACAAGCACATGCGCCTACTCCGCACTGCCACGAGAATCCCGCGAAGTAATTAGCAAGGGAGGAGAGGCACTAATGGGCAGGGGAGGAGAAGCAGGAATGAGCAGGAAAGGAGAGGCACGAATGGGCAGGAGGAATGAGGCAAAGAGCAGCAATTGCTAACGAGCCCCAGAAGGCAGGCACAAAGATGTGTTGAGGATGAGGATGGATGACGAGGGAGAAGGGAGAGCAGAGAGTGAGCGCCTGTGATGCCCCGTGCATGCACATGCCATGCTTCTCCCATACCATTAATGCGAAACACCATTTGATCCAAAGAGCGCAGACGATGTCACGAGCGCATGCCACGCCATGAGATGGTGGTTGTTTTAAGCCCCCGCCTCACCATGCCCACAAGCTCCTCTGCTGCCTTCTCAAACTTCTCCTTCACCTCCCTGCACTCCTCTGCACCGCACTCAACAAGGGGCAACAATGAGCATGATGGGAGGACGTGAGTCAGAGATGTGAAGGAGTGCCGGAGGCAAGTGAGAGAGCCGGGAAGCACATGCACATCTCACCAGACGGGGAGACGGGAGCAACCATCCACATCTCCTCACGCTGCAACACGTGGCTACTGAAATTCGCGCCCCTCATCTGCCGAACCCACCCGATTGCCCCTCCTCCCCCGCCGCCCCTGCCCCGCCTGCCTCCGCCTCGCCAGCTGTCGCTGAGTCAGCGGCGGGCTCGGCCGGGGCAGCGAACTGCTCGAGGAAGGCCTCGATTGGCTCGGGCTTGAGCGGGCCGTCGTAGAGCTGCCTGGTGCCGTCCGCCTGTTGTGGAGGGGAGGCAGAGGGAGAGGGAGGGTGTGGGGGCAATGGTGGAAGCACTTTGTGGTCAACTCAGACAGTGGGCTGTCATAGAGCTGCCTGGTGCCGTCTGGCTGGTGGGGAGAGAAGGACGAGCGGCGAGAAGCGGCAGGAGAAACAGGATGGACGAGGTGGAGCCGTCAGTGAGGTGGAGCCCTTGTCATGTGGGGTTAGAAATAGAGTCAGAGTAAAGGAGGAACCCCTGCTAGAGAGGCACAAGGGTCTAATGGGCAGGAAGAGGAAGAAGGGAGCATGTGGGGGAGGGAGAGACAGCGTGTGGAGTGGTGGAGTGAGCAGGGAGGCGTAAGGGGGGTTAAGAAGGGAGTGAGAGCACCTTGTGCAGGAAGAGTGTGGGGAAGGAGGTGGCGCCAAAGGAGGTGGAGCCAAAGGAGGTGGAGCCAAAGGATGTGGAGAGAAAGGAGGTGGAGCCAAAGGAGGTGGAGCCGAAGGAGGTGGCGCCAAAGGAGGTGGAGCCAAAGGAGGTGGCGCCAAAGGAGGTGGCGCCAAAGGAGGTGGAGCCAAAGGAGGTGGCGCCAAAGGAGGTGCCAGGACATGCCATGCCATGCCCCCTGTGCCATGCCACCCCATGCCATGCCCCGTGTGCCAGAACATGCCATGCCGCCACACGGCATAACCATGCAACGCGCCATGCATTGCCATGCACAGAATGGCAAGGGAGGAAAAAGTTTGGCGAAGGCAAGTGATAGTACAAAGCGAGTGTAGCGGAAGGTGTGCAGGGAGGTGGGAAGGGAGGTGTGAAGGGACAGTGACACTACAAGACGAGAGGGTGGCAGAGGGGGAGCAGAGCTGCAGAGGTTTGCTGTAATGTGAGAGGGGCACCTGAACTGCAGCTAGAGGGCCTTAAAGAGCAGCGTGACGGCAGGAATGGTGGAGAAGAGAACCACCAGGCAGGCAGGGGTGGAATGGCGGGCAAGGGGGGCATGGGGGATCGGAGATAAGGGGATTAGATGCACAGGCGACTTGGTTGCAGGCGCGCAGGCGTGAGGGTTAGATATGTGTGTGAAAAGAGGCGATGGGAGGGGCGAACCTTGTTGAGAGTGGCGAGGAAGGCATCAGCAGAGGCGGCAGAGGAGATGTTGGTCACCAGGTCGTGTGGCAGTGGCAGGGCGGCTGGGGGAGGGGCGGGAGTGAGGGCACGGGCAGAGTGGGGAATCAGGCTTGAGAGTAATCGCATATCATTAGAGGAAGGAGATGGGGAGAGTGGGGGGAAGGAGGCGTGCCTGGGTGCAGCAGTGAATGAAGAGGCAAGGCAAGGGAGCGAGAGAGGCAGGGGAGTGAGGAGGAGAGGCAAGGTGCGAAGAGAAGAGGCAGGGTGGCGAGGAGGAGAGGCGGGCTGACCAGTGGCGAAGCTGCCGAGCGCCTTAGCGGAGTTGTGTCGCGTGAACACCTGAATTCAGCTGCGGGGGACACGAAACACGGAGAGAGGTATAATCGTCAGATGTGAGAGAAGCGAGGAGGGAAGGGAGGTACTGGGGGAGGGGACGGGCTAGTGGTGGTGCGCATGCAAGACAGGAAACGAGACGAAGAGGGCAGATCTACTGCGGCTGAGAATCACACAGGGTATGTTTACATATAAGCATCCCCTCCCGTTCCCATACTCCATTTCCCCCGGGTAGCAAACTCACCCTGAATGCAAGCAGTTCCTGAAGATACATGGGAGGGGGTGAAGAGGGGAGAGGAGAGGGGAAGAGAGACGAGGTGAGGAAAGGGGGACGCGGGGAGAGAGTGAAGAGAAGAGATTGGTGACTTGAGACGGTTCGCATGGGGACCGGTCGCATGGGGACCGACCGGTCACATAGGGACCAGTGAGTGTGGTGACAGACAGTGAGTGTGGTGAGAGATAGTGAGTGTGGTGAGAGACAATGAGTGTGGTGACAGACAGTGAGTGTGGTGAGAGACAGTGAGTGTGGTGAGAGACAGTGAGTGTGGTGACAGACAGTGAGTGTGGTGAGAGACAGTGAGTGTGGTGACCGATAGTGAGTGTAGTGACAGACAGTGAGTGTGGTGACCGACAGTGAGTGTGTATGCCATGACGTCATGGCTCAACCTACCTCTCCTTCCTCCTGCCCACTCACTCCCATCCCCCGTCCAGCCCACCCGCTCACTCGCTCACCCACCCCTCCTCTTCCTCACTTCTTCCTCCCGATTCCCTTACACCCACTACCCCCCCATCGCCCCCCACCCCCCCATATTTCATCCTTTCCTCCTACTAACCACCCACTCATGGCCGCCAGCATCTGTGGTAAAGTCAGGGACCCAAAGGGGTACCCATTGCGGCCACCCCTTCACTCACAGTCCCCTTCGCCCTCCCACACCCGTTCCCCCCACTCCCATAGTCTCTCCACCCCACTCACGGCCATCAGCGTCGGTGGTGAAGTCAACGAGCGGCCCCAAGGGGGTACCTTTGCGGCGCCCGCGACGACGGCCGTGCCTGCCCACAAATGCTAAGGAAGCGCACGGATCCCTAAAGGGGTAGGGAAAAGCATCCAACGACCCGAATATTGTTGCACATTCGGGTGGCCCATGTTCAAATACACCTACCAGAGCACCGTCAGCTTGGTTCGCGTGCACAGAAAAGTTCGGCGCCCGCGACGACGGCCGTGCCTGCACACAAATATCAATGAAGCGCACGGATTCCTAAAGGCGTAGGAAAAAGCATCCAACAACCAGAATATTGTTGCATATTTGGGTGGCCCATGTTTAAGTACACCTATCAGAGCAACTTCAGCTTGGTTCACGCGCACAGAAAAGTTTGGCGCCCGCGACGACGGCTGTGCATGCCCACAAATGCTAAGGAAGCGCACGATCCCTATAGGCGTAAGGAAAAGCATCCAACGACCCAAATATTGTTGTTTATTCGGGTGGCCCATGATTAAATACACCTACCAGAGAAACTTCAGCTTGGTTCGCGCGCACAGAAAAGTTCGGCGCCCGCGACGACGGCCGTGCCTGCCCACAAAGGCTAAGGAAGCGCACGGATCCCTATAGGCGTAGGGAAAAGCATCCAACAACCAGAATATTGTTGCACATTTGGGTGGCCCATGCTCAAATACACCTACCAGACCACCTTCAGCTTGGTTCGCGCGCACAGAAAAGTTCGGCGCCCGCGATGACGGTCGTGCCTGTCCACAAATGCTAAGGAAGCGCACGGATCCCTAAAGGCGTAGGGAAAAGCATCCAACGACCCGAATATTGTTGCACATTCGGGTGGCCCATGTTCAAATACACATACCAGAGCACCGTCAGCTTGGTTCGCGCGCACGGAAAAGATCGGCGCCCGCGACGACGGCCGTGCCTACCCACAAAGACTAAGGAAGCGCACGGATCCCTATAGGCGTAGGGAAAAGCATCCAACGACCTGAATATTGTTGCATATTCGGGCTGCCCATGTTCAAATACACCTACCAGAGCAACTTCAGCTTGGTTCGCACGCACAGAAAAGTTTGGCGCTCGCGACGACGGCCGTGCCTGCACATAAATGCTAAGGAAGCGCACGGATCCCTATAGGTGTAGGGAAAAGCATCCAACCACCTGAATATTGTTGCATATTCGGGTGGCCCATGTTCAAATATAACTACCAGAGCAACTTCAGCTTGGTTCGCACGCACAGAAAAGTTCGACGCCCGCGATGGCGGCCGTGCCTGCCCACAAATGCTAAGGAAGCGCACGGATCCATATAGGCGTAGGGAAAAGCATCCAACGACCCAAATATTGTTGCACATTCGGGTGGCCCATGTTCAAATACACCTACCCGAGCAACTTCAGTCTGGTTCGCGCACACAGAAAAGTTCGGCACCCGCGATGACGGCCGTGCCTGCCCACAAATGCTAAGGAAGCGCACGGATCCCTATAGGCGTAGGGAAAAGCATCCAACGACCCGATTATTGTTGCATATTCGGGTGGCCCATGTTCAAATACACCTAACAGAGCAACTTGAGCCTGGTTCGCGCACACAGAAAAGTTCGGCGCCCGCGACGACGGCCGTGCCTGCCCACAAATGCTAAGGAAGCGCACGGATCCCTAAAGGGGTAGGGAAAAGCATCCAACGACCCAAATATTGTTGCATATTCGGGTGGCCCATGTTCAAATATAACTACCAGAGCAACTTCAGCTTGGTTCGCACGCACAGAAAAGTTCGACGCCCGCGATGGCGGCCGTGCCTGCCCACAAATGCTAAGGAAGCGCACGGATCCATATAGGCGTAGAGAATAGCATCCAACGACCCAAATACTGTTGCACATTCGGGTGGCCCATGTTCAAATACACCTACCCGAGCAACTTCAGTCTGGTTCGCGTGCACAGAAAAGTTCAGCACCCGCGATGACGGCCGTGCCTGCACACAAATGCTAAGGAGGCACACAGATCCCTATAGGCGTAGGGAAAAGCATTTAACGGCCCGAATATTGTTGCATATTCGGGTGGCCCATGTTCAAATATAACTACCAGAGCAACTTCAGCCTGGTTCGCGCGCACAGAAAAGTTCGGCACCCGCGATGACGGCCGTGCCTGCCCACAAATGCTTAAGAAGCGCACGGATCCCTATAGGCGTAGGGAAAAGCATCCAACAACCAGAATATTGTTGCACATTTGGGTGGCCCATGCTCAAATACACCTACCAGACCACCTTCAGCTTGGTTCGCGCGCACAGAAAAGTTCGGCGCCCGCGATGACGGCCGTGCCTGCCCACAAATGCTAAGGAAGCGCACGGATCCCTAAAGGGGTAGGGAAAAGCATCCAACGACCCAAATATTGTTGCATATTCGGGTGGCCCATGTTCAAATATAACTACCAGAGCAACTTCAGCCTGGTTCGCGCGCACAGAAAAGTTCGGCACCCGCGATGACGGCCGTGCCTACACAGAAATGCTAAGGAAGCGCAAGGATCCCTATAGGCATAGGAAAGAGCATCCAACGACCCAAATAGTGTTGCACATTTGGGTGGCCCATGTTCAAATACACTTACCAGTGAAACTTCAGCCTCGTTCGCATGCACAGAAAAGTTCGGCGCCCACGACGACGGCCGTGCATGCACACAAATGCAAAGGAGGCGCACGGATCCCTATAGGCGTAGGGAAAAGCATTTAACGGCCCAAATATTGTTGCATATTCGGGTGGCCCATGTTCAAATATAACTACCAGAGCAACTTCAGCTTGGTTCGCACGCACAGAAAAGTTCGACGCCCGCGATGGCGGCCGTGCCTGCCCACAAATGCTAAGAAAACGCACGGATCCATGTAGGCGTAGGGAAAAGCATCGAACGACCCAAATATTGTTGCACATTCGGGTGGCCCATGTTCAAATACACCTACCCGAGCAACTTCAGCCTGGTTCGCGCGCACATAAACGTTCGGCACCCGCGATGACGGCCGTGCCTGCCCACAAATGCTAAGGAAGCGCACGGATCCCTATAGGCGTAGGGAAAAGCATCCAACGACCCGATTATTGTTGCATATTCGGGTGGCCCATGTTCAAATACACCTAACAGAGCAACTTGAGCCTGGTTCATGTGCACAGAAAAGTTCGGCGCCCGCGATGACGGCCGTGCCTACACACAAATGCTAAGGAAGCGCAAGGATCCCTATAGGCATAGGGAAGAGCATCCAACGACCCGAATATTGTTGCACTTTTGGGTGGCCCATGTTCAAATACACCTACAAAAGAAACTTCAGCCTCGTTCGCTTGCACAGAAAAGTTCGGCGCCCGCGACGACGGCCGTGCCTGCACACAAATGCTAAGGAAGCGCACGGATCCCTATTGGCGTAGGGAAGAGCATCCAACGACCCGAACATTGTAACACATTCGGGTGGCCCATGTTCAAATACACCTACTGTACCAGAGCAACTTTAGCCTGGTTCGCGCGCACAGAAAAGTTCGCCGCCCGCGATGACAGCCGTGCCTGCCCACAAATGCTAAGGAAGCGCACAGATCCATATAGGCGTAGGGAAAAGCATCCAACGACCCGAATATTGTTGCATATTCGGATGGCCCATGTTCAAATATACCTACAAGAGCAACTTCAGCCTGGTTCGCGCGCACAGGAAAGTTCGGCGCCCGCGATGACGGCCGTGCCTGCACACAAATGCTAAGGAGGCGCACAGATCCCTATAGACGTAGGGAAAAGCATTTAACGGCCCGAATATTGTTGCATATTCGGGTGGCCCATGTTCAAATATAACTACCAGAGCAACTTCAGCTTGGTTCGCACGCACAGAAAAGTTCGACGCTCGCGATGACGGCCGTGCCTGCCCACAAATGCTAAGGAAGCGCACGGATCCATATAGGCGTAGGGAAAAGCATCCAACGACCCGAATATTGTTGCACATTCGGGTGGCCCATATTCAAATACACCTACCCGAGCAACTTCAGTCTGGTTCGCGTGCACAGAAAAGTTCGGCACCCGCGATGACGGCCGTGCCTGCCCACAAATGCCAAGGAAGCGCACGGATCCCTATAGGCGTAGGGAAAAGCATCCAACGATCCGATTATTGTTGCATATTCGGGTGGCCCATATTCAAATACACCTAACAGAGCAACTTGAGCCTAGTTCGCGCGCACAGAAATTTTCGGCGCCCGCGATGACGGCCGTGCCTACACACAAATGCTAAGGAAGCGCAAGGATCCCTATAGGCATAGGAAAGAGCATCCAACGACCCGAATAGTGTTGCACATTTGGGTGGCCCATGTTCAAATACACCTACCAGAGAAACTTCAGCCTCGTTCGCATGCACAGAAAAGTTCGGCGCCCGCGACGACGGCTGTGCCTGCACGCAAATGCTAAG